ACCAGCGAGGATACCGCCGTCGAATCGCCCTTCGAAAGCCTCCGTTATCTGAGCAAAATAAGGCGATCCGCCTTAAATGGGCGGAAGAACATATATCCTGGTCAGAAGAGCAATGGTATACTATTCTATGGTCTAATGAAACGTGGATAAAAGCTGGAAGACATCGCCGTACGCTAGTTACTCGTAAAATTAGCGAGGAGCTTCATTCTGACTGTACTATCGATCGTATACAGCGTCAATTAGGATGGATGTTCTGGGCTTGTTTTGCTGGTAGTGAAAAAGGTCCTTGCCTCTTCTGGGAGAAGGAATGGGGTACTATTACAGCAAACTCCTATAGCGAGCGGATTATACCTCTTGTTCACGGCTGGATTCGCCTTCGTCCAGGTCTTCTATTTATGCAGGATAACGCGCCAGGACACGCTGCTGAGTCTACTATTCAAGAGATACAGGAGAGAAATATACAAGTAATTCCATGGCCAGCATACTCACCAGATCTTAATCCAATTGAGACTGTATGGAATGAAATAAAGGACTGGCTAGCAAGAGAGTATCCAAGTACTCAAGCGACGTACGATCAATTACGAGAGAGAGTTACTCAGGCCTGGCACGCTATAGGACGACAGCTATTACAGGATCTCATTGCTACAATGCCACGGCGCTGTCAGGAAGTAATTGACGCCCATGGAGGTCATACCAAATGGTAAATACTGTTATTCTACTAGGCTAAATAGGGTATAGCAATATGGCTGGAAAAAAGCGAACTAACGAAAATTACCCTGGAGGACTGTAGTTATTCGGCCTTGTTGTTGAGAATGGCTGGTTGTTGGCCAGTTTCGATTCAAGCTTGGCACGGATCTATTAGCACTTAAGTAGTGGAGACTACTCACCCACTTCGTAGTTGCAACGAGAGGGATCGGTAGCGGCCCCTAGTTAGGACGGGGAACGGGGGGGTCGTGTGCCTTATGCTATCGCTAAAGGTAAAAATGAGCCGAAGGCCCAGGCACCACGGCCCGTGACAGCCAGGTCCCTCGAGTCTCCTTGGCCCCTCTCCACCTGGGTGCCACCTATTCCGTACTCCGTGACATTGGTACCGAGTATCTAACGAACTATTGTACTCGGTAAAGTAACGACCTACCTAGGTACCTAAGATACCTAATTTAGTGGTTGGAGGACAACTTCTCAAGCCATTCAACCTCAATGCGTACTCCGAACGGAATACGAGATAATGATGTCTGGACAGCGGAGCCGCTGAGAGCATCCGAACACCATCTTCTGTACTCGGTAGACAGCAAAATATAGGTAGGTGTGGAGACTAAGGAGCCAACGAGTGCCGCCTGTCCTTGTAGCGTTGAAATAGTTTGAGCGATGGCTTTCACTGCCTTACTACAGGACGTATCATCGGCCCTTGATAACGACTCAATAAATTGCCGGATCCTCAGCATGTGCGGTATCCTTCGACCGCACGGGGCTCTTCAACACCGAATACTCGATCCTCCGATCAACATATCTCAACACCTCTGGATCCATAATGTTAGTGTTGAGCCCCATCTTATGCTCTGCTCCCTCGGCAGGGGCCGTTTGAACCGGCAACCAATAACAACTGTACGGCATAAGTTCACGATCTTGTGGAAGAGGTATTGCTTTGACTCACACGCATCCACAATTGCCGCAGAAGTTGAAAGACAGGTCCCGATCTCCCCAGATGTACTGCTTGGTTACAGCCCCCGGCTTCATCTCGATCATGACCTCTTCTGGCTCATAGTAGCCCCATGCGGCGCCATAACGCCTGCATATAGTGCATTGACAGTTATTGACATACTCGGGCGGTCGCGGAACTGTTACAGTAATGGCGCCGCAGTGGCAGCTGGCGCGGATTGGAGTGTTTTCGACCGCCATACTTTAGTCTGCTCATACAGGACTGGGCTTGGTAGGATGTGCAGCTCAAGCTTATCGAAGGGTTTGTGTTGACTTAAATTGGAGGACGACCATAGGTTGAATATGGTGTGATACGTTCACTAAGAACCTAACATCCATGGATGTTTGTGAATGATTATTTACAAGTGGAAGGATCACAGGCCACGGGTTTCGAGTTTTGCCAAGGATGCTTGCAAGGACATGATGGGGCCTCGGGCCCAGGGGGCCGCGGGGAGGACCGCCTAGGCTGTCTTGGCCTTCGGTATACAAGTTCAACACGCAATAAGCTTTCGAGGAGGGGCCCGTCCAAGCAATCTTGAAGCTTGAAAGAGTGGCCTAAAAGACTCAAACAAAGTTCTTTTGACCGTCACGGACTTGTTGGTTGAGTATTCGGTAGGTAGTTTGCAATAGCTCTTGCTTTACCTACTGCCCAATGAACAGTTCAGAAGTCATTGAAATCGCGCTTTCTCCGATGGTGGCAGCGATAATGATTGCTGGAGGCCTAATCAGCTTTCATCGCTGATCTAGTACGAGGTACATTTGCCCGTCCAGGCAGGCTTTCAAACATCACGTTAGGCCTATCAGCCATCTGCAAGGAGATACACCTAAATCGATTTAGGGAAGCGTGGCAGCCACGCTCCGGCGTTCGTCCTAGGCCCTTCAACCTGCAGATAAGTAGCCAAAGGAGTTGTTTGCTCTTTCATAATTGAAACTAAACTCGTGGGGTCTTTGGGAAAGATCTGCACGTCGCAGAGAGGCTGGCACGGCATTTTCCATTGAGGTTTGAAACTGTTCGTCCTCTTCCCTTCGCCCACTCGTACGAGGTATTCTGCAAGGCGATGCTGAAGTTTCTCGAAATCTGTAACCTGAGCCACGTAGGGATCTTTCCACCTTCCCGTTCGAGACTGGATTTTATTTCCAACCGATGGTCTGTGCCTGGAGCTTGAAGCCGACCCGCCGGATCGTGGCGCTCTCACCCTGGGCCGAAACCACACGGGTACTTCTCCTGACCAGGTTGCAGTTGCACAATCGCGTCTCGCTGGTACTCGTACCCGTTGTACTCCGTACGGATCCCTCGTTCGTAAAATGAAAGCATGGGAACTGGAGATCTAGTGTCCGTACGGCAAGCACAGTTTTGCAATAAAAAAAAGTTGTAGAGGATGGATGAATGCTTTTGTGCACGGTCTCGACAGAATATCAAGTAGATGAATCACTCCATCTCGCTCTCCTCTGGACCTTTACAAGACCAGTAGTATGTATTTACAGGTAACATCTCCTGGTTGAGACAGGTACTATGCAAGCGATCTTCTAAGCTTAACTTAGAGGTCGCGTTTAACTTGTAGAACAGGACCGGTATATTCATGCCTTGCCTTGACCACGTAATATATCATCGCAAAGATGAGTGTACCGCCGAACATTGTAGAGGACCAGTTCATGGTTTCAGCAGTGACTGGTGTTGCCAGCGGCCAGAAAGCAAAGAACCACAAAGGGGTCAGGAACAACAGTGCTGCAATATTGACGATGAGGCCATATCTTCCGAGCGACCAACGCCTTGGGGGTAGAGGTGGTCCTTTGAGTCGTCTCCAGACCAAGCAGCCGATTGTGATGTAGTATGAGGTGAGAATGGAGACTCCGCCCAGGGAATTAATAGCGTTCAAGGCGACAGAAGAGCCAAGATTGATGCATGCTAGCAGCGAAGTCACAACAACTGAGACTGAGACAGCGCGAAGGGGAATATTCCAGCCAGGAGAGACCTAAAGGATTATGGTCAATATACGAGGTTTGAGCGTTAATACAGTTCGCCATCGACTTACCTGTGACAACCAACGCGATCCTGGTAATCCTCGATCTCGTGCGAATGACCAGATCTGTCGAGAAGCCGTGGCCACCTCACTGACGCAGCATGCTGCAAGGAGTATGATTACTATTGCGGTCATAGTATTGGTCGCCCCGTAGCTTTGCGTAGAATTGTAGAACTGTTGGATGAAGGGCTGTCGGGTCACCGATTCAAAAAGGCTGTCGATATCTCCAAGGGTGAAAATCAATGTGACGGCCATCAGAAACCCTAATGTGGCATTCACGCCTACTGACCACATGATGGCTTTTGGTAGAGTGATTGATGCATCTCGAGTCTCCTCAGCTACAGTAGGTTTCAGTGATTAGCATCGAAATTGGAAAGATATGAAGAGCTTACACATGTGAACTGAGCAATCGTAACCAATGAGCACACTCAGTGGTGTTGTCAGGCCAATCATGCAAGACAGACCTGTGCTTGACCATCCTCCATTATTCTGGAACACGAGTAATGTGTCATGCGCAGTTGCGCGAGGGGCCATGACCCACAAAGGGATGATGATGGCGAAGAAGCCGGCAAGATGAAGAATTAAGACGACCCCTTCTATCATTGGTAGTTGGACTGCCAGAGCAGTGTTGAAGATTATTGAGAACAAAATGGCGGCAATTGATAGTAGAGTGCCGTGCCAGTTATGCCACACATAGTCTTCAACATTCAAGGCAATGAGGCCTTGTATAACGCCGCCGACCATAAAGGCGACACCTGCGAGGTACACTTGCCATCCAATTGCAGACAGCCAACCTATGGTAATGTCAATCAGAGTGAACTTCAGAGCCAAGTATCCAGAAATGCATACCAACGAGGTAGCTCAGAAGCTTTTGTATCCTTGGTGGTGCAAATTCTGATACCCAGTGATATTGGCCACCCGCCGTTGGAGACCTGGCTCAGATTAGGAAACCTCTTGTTGGTCCAGTATAGATTTCTTACATCGAAGCCACCTCCGCTATGCTTGCATAGACCAAGAGCTGCCCAGAGGCGACCGCTATGAAGCCCCAGAAAAGCAAAGCTGGACCACCATCGGTCAAGACGAATGTAAACAGCCTAAATCCCGGTATATCAGCAACGCTGGTGTGCATCTGGGCAGGATTTGGGCAAAACAAACGGAAGTAAGATTTCCCAACTAGCCATGACTGTGCTTGCAAATCCCACCATTGTCACGAACTTGAAATTCCGCTGCTACCGTCAAAATAGGATACCATGGAATAGGGGAGCTTCCTTACCCGAAGTACTTGTTGTTTCCCCATCACGCTCATTTCCTTTTTGTCATGTGCAGTCCCTCGATATCTTGCCGGAACAACTCCTGGCTCGTCGATCTCCTTTTCTTCATACTGATGAGCACTTCCGCCGTTCTGCTCCTCCGACAAAGTGATCGTATCCTTGTGGGCGCTCATAATGAGAGAAGCACTCCGCTATGTTGAAAATGCAAAGGAGGAAAGAACGGAGGGGGGAGGCAGAAAATACAGAGGTCTAGCCATGGCAAACCTAGGGATCATTGGACGTCTTAACGGGATTCTCAGAGCCGAAGTAAAGACAAGGGCGACCGGCCTTAAGCACCATGTCAAGATTGACCTCGGTGGAGAGTATTGTCCAGCCAAGAAGCGAATCCCCACCTGGTTGTCAAGATATCTCTGGATTCAAAAGCCATGCTTGAGCACGTTCCTCCGTAAGTTAACCATGAACTCGTACCGACTCTGTGAAGTTGCATGGCCACCCCCGGAGAACCACCTGGAAATCGCTCATCTTTTGCCATCCTTGCTAGCGCTGTCACAAGCGTGCTTGTCTGGAGCTAAGCTTGCCGGGAGAGCTTCCGGGGACTCTAACTTGCATAAGCTACCCGGGAAGGGAAGCTCCACTGGTGATCTGACTCTCCTGCAGGTGTGATCACTACTGATAACGGCCAGGAAATGGCGAGCTTGTTGCTGCACAGACACAATGGAACAGCTGAGCAATAGCTGTCAATTGGCGAGTCGCTTTCCCAAAACTCGCCCTCGAGACACCCTGGCTCAGACGCGTTGAGTTAGTTCAAGGGGTCCTCCAGCGGGAAGATGCCGGGATACAAGTTCAAATCACTTCCTTCTGTGCATCCTACGAGGTGATAGGCGTTTTGCACAAGATCGTGCTTCATTAGATCTTATTGAGGAGCTGATATGCTAGAAAACGATTCAATCGATGCACTTCCGTGCTTCGAGATCGACTGTTGGGCGTTTGAGGGGGGGAAGACTGTACATGCATCCAAAGCACCCAGAGTTCTCAATTGCATGGGACCGTACGAGAGAACCTGTCACACCCTAGTGCCAAGGGCAGTCAAGCATGAAGTCCAGGATGCTTGGTATTTTGTGGCGTTCATTAGTTGGTTTCCGCCATCAGTGACTTTGATAGGAAAAGCCGATCGGATTGACCAGACCTCCGGATAAGGTCTAACGTCGCCCATCATTCGTGGGCTGGAGATTCGTTTCAATTTTCCCCTGCTTTAACGATATCCTGCCTCTGCTCTTAACATTGCAGGCCCGATCAGAATATCTACACAGATGGCGCCTGCTCCTGACAGCCTCGTATCTCACAACCACCTCTCAGTCATTGCAAAGTCGCACACCGATCATGTCAGGTTCAAGTTCAGGCTTCGTTGTTCCGCCAGGTCAATACCCTCCGTTCGCGGTCGTCACCGATACAGATCATGGAGCATGGATAATTATCACAGCCTCACTCGGACTATGTTGGGTTCTGTTATTTTCCGGAATTCGTGTGTTTATTCGACCTTCAGTTCGCCATGGTTTAGAGCTTGATGAGTACGCCATTATTGCGTCAACAGTAAGTATCCTCAACTTGAGATCATGGGCACAGCTGCTGGATGTTCTTGGGCTCTGGAGACTAATTACGGTTGATAGCTTCTTACCATTATTCAATCATCCATCATACTTTCCGCATGTTCTAGCGGATTGGGGCGGTCGAAAGAGTTACTGGCGAATGATACTCAAAGCACCTTACAGCGGGTATAGTATGAGCATTGCACACCAGACACACGCACTAATCCTCTCCACAGATGTACTATGCCAGCAACTTATTCTTCGTGTTGGCACTTGGCCTGTCGAAATTATCAGTAGGCCTGCTACTTTTACGGTTGACCAGTGTTCGTCTCCATAAGATAATCTTCATGAGTGTCATGGCATTCATCGCCGTCTGGACAATTGCAGCATTTTTCACCTCTGCTCTTCAATGCGATTTATCGCAGCCGTGGATCATCATTAGTGCACGCTGCACGGATCCGGTACGTTGCACACTACCATCAAAATCGATGAGAGAATCTTGTTAATCAAACGGTCTCCACAGTCTCTTCGGGTCAGAATCATCGGAGCCTTCGATATCCTTACCGAGATTTTTCTCTTTGGTATGGCCGTCATTCTTATCTGGGACCTTCAAACTTCGATCAGGAACAAAATTCTCGTCTTGAGTGCATTCGTTTTCCGTCTCCTGTACGTCAACTTCTCTTTCTCATGAGTTGCGAACTTGAAATGCCTAGCCCATTCCGCTGACTCTAAGCAATAGGATGATTATTACCACAGCCTTTCGAATTGCTACCTTCGACTCAACAGGTTGGACTACCGATCCAACCATCCGCGAGGATCTCTTCATCGTCTGGACACAAACCGAGCTTGTTTACTCGATCATCTCTGCAACGATACCCATCCTTCGCCCGTTCATGCAAAATCTCAACTCACAGTTTGGTGGTATGGGAAAGACTTCCAGTGGCTATGGTTCTGGCTATGGGCATAGCTCACAAAGGGGATATCAGCTGTCGAACATGAAATCAGCTGATCGAAGCAAAGTGCGAAACGAGATCGATCCTACGACTTCGACTGGAGCTTTAAATCCTCAGCCCCATGACTACAACTATGAGATCTGGTCAAACAATGAAATCCAGGGGCAGCCACCTGGTGAAAGGAAATTGGAAGGACAAACTCACTCCAAAGATGAAATACATGGAGACACAACCAGTGTTGATAGCAACGACAGCCAGAGACTGATTATCAGGAAGGACGTATCCTTCCAGGTACGCTATGATACTGCCACATAGAAAGAAATCTGTCGTGGTCATCTCTGGACGCGCTCTTCGCGTATGCGGCGCTTGAGCAGCGTTGCAGTGTCCCTCAACAAAGAGCCTTCCAGCAGTGCCCAAACTTGAGCGAGACCCATGTGAAACACTGAGGGTGTTTTACATTCTTATGCTACGATATAAAAGTGATTTAGAATGTATTTTTGATGCAGCACCTACTTGGTAACCAAAAGCTTCATTTTCTACAATGACTTTAGCAATGACCGCACAACCTGCAGCACATCTACTGCTCCTCTGAACGGCCCAGCGTTGCGACTACTCCCTTTTGCTCATTGCGTTCACTTCAACATATTTACCCGCACCCACCCACCTCCTTCCCGAACTGCTTCCTGCGGTTCACATCATTCCAGGTCTTCCGAATCGTCCTTCGAAATCTACGACATATCTCGGGAATATGTGCATGATCTTGGTATCGACAGTAAGTCAACATCAATGAGCTCCTGCTTCACATAAGAATATTATCGACCCACGTACGCTCAATCAAGGCGGGAACCAATCCCTGCAGCCAGACCAGCAAGACGTCGTCTGCCAGACAGCAAAAGTCAGTCAAGTGTTCGCAAAGTCCACCATTGAAATAGGCAGTGCATTGGTCGATTTCCTGGACTCTCATGTCCGATCGTATCCACGACCCATTGTTCAATTCCGACTCTAAGCCTTCGAGCAAGTCAGCAGGATGATCAAGTCTGAGAACCCTTCGTTGGCGGTCTTCCTTCATCCGGACATAGCTTCGAAGCTCATCTATTGAAGCGCCAATTGCTCGTGACGTGTAAACTCGTATCGAACTGGCGCAGATGAGGCGTCTTCGTCTCGTCGGTTGCAATCTCGAAAATTCCGTGATTCTCAGCAAGCAAACTTTCGTATGGATGTTTGTTTCGCAAACGAACAGGTCACAAATATCCTTTGTCTTGGACCCCCTTTTCCCACGACGTGTCAAATCTTCTTGAAATGCTTCCCGTTCACCAAGATTCTGCACCGACGAACCCATGAAAAGGAAATGCTAATTGGACTACTCGGCAACCGACTTAGATTCCAATGGTCCATCGTCTCTGGTTGGAGGGTCAATACCTCCCCCTCCTCATCGTGTCAATCTCGTCGGTTGCACCAATGCCAACTACAGCGCAATGCACCCAAAATCTGGTCGATCTTGAGATGACATATGTTTCTACCCTGAGCTGTAACAAACAGGAGGAATACTTCTACGTCTTAAAGCTTTTATGAGCCTAATAATTGTTCGAAGTTTTGCTTTCTTCTTTCATTTGTTAGCAGCATGCGTCCGCTATTTGGCTTTGGTAACATATCGACCTTACTCTCATCTGAATTCCCTCCTTCGAAAGAGCAGTCATATTCTCACAGCTTCTACCACTATCAGGGATTAACAGCTATTTCCAAAGACTCTGTCCGCTGGAATATGGTTCAAGAAGCATGGAATTGTTTCGTGCTCACCACAATCCAAATCACAGTTGTCCTAATAGCTCTTCGTGTTCTGCTTTCGCTTATGTAAGTGATTAACCCTTCCCCTGAGGCTTGATCTCTTCACTTGTTTCGAACATGCAGGCCTCGGGTGTTAGAATAATTGTTCCCATTGCCCTCGTGTCTCAGCGTCGATGTCGCTCGGCACCACTACCGATCCAACGTTATGAGGTCATGTATTGCCAGATACTTGATGATCCTTTACCTCTTCTTCCTTTACAATGTGCCACTTGACGTTACATTGGTACCTTGAATATTAACAACGTTGCTCTTGTTGCTATTCTTGATGACGCACCGCAGGCATCGTCAATGACGTCCCATCATGCTCAACGGGTCTATTTCACAAAATCCGTGACCTCATACTGGATGATACTCGGCCAGTGAGCTCCTGCATCGCTTTGAGGCGTTCAATTCATGATATGCAGCCACCCTGCTATGCTATATCCCATGTCCACCCGACGTCGTCAACCCTTCGCTACCGAGCCCTAGTATGGCAACCACATGCCACTTTTTACATAGTATGCAGCAATCATTCTTTACTACACACACTGCTTGACGCATTAAATCTTCTTATTTAAGACTCTTCTCCTGGCAAGTTATCCTAGCCGATGACTCCAGGCAACGCTGCTCTTTCGTTTCATATTCACAACTGCTAGTATTCTCACCTTTCAGTGTCGATTCATGACGATGTCCCTACTGTGATAAGTACGAGAGCAGGGAGCGAACCTTTGGAATTAAGTTCATCTGTGGCAAATTCGAAGATAGGAACAGCGTTGATACACATTAAGTGAGCACTGGAACCAAAGGTGAGAGATGCAGATTACACCAGGAGTCAATGGGAAGGGGTTGTTGAATAAGGGAGAAGTACAAATCCAAGACAAGAAGATCATTAGCGGTAGGCTGCAAGCCATGAACCACTACTTTATGGGGGAAGGCACTGGAGCAAACAGCAAAGTATGAGGAAGTGGCGATGCTGCAGCACCAGAATGCCTAGTTGGCAATGGAGGACCAATGGTTGATACTGATATGCTACAGCTACGAAGGAGCACGCCTGTGAGAAATACATTCCCGGGGTCCTCGGTGGGGAAAAACAGAGTGACGTGCGAAGATGAAGTGACCGTAGCGAGAAAATAATGGCCTCTAACAAATGATAGGCAGGAGAGTGATGTGTAGGGCATCATCGTGAAGAGTGGTGAGTGAAGGAGAAGTGTACAGAAGCAGGCACAGCGGCAGCAGAGTGGACAAGGAAAGGGGTTCACGGAAAGGACAGGTGTTGGTGAAGTGGATGTTGTAACAAAATCTGCTGTCGAAAAACATGTTGAGGTGAACAACAATAAGGGATCAACTTGTAAGGAATAAGTTAGTTCGAACTGATAATATGGTAGAGTAAATATCTGCAAAGGAACCTCTCAGAAACGAAGTATCTCACACAGCAAGTACTACGAAGAAGTGACTGGTGCAGAAGGATGCCACCGTGGAGAATGTTGAGAAACGGGGAGAGGGGACCTTACAAGATTGACGGGTAGGTATTGGTGAGCAAGCATGACTGAGAAACAAGTAGATGGAAGGTACGGAACTATATCACGAGACGAATCACGAAAGCAGTGGTGAGAGCGCAAGGAGATGAGGCAAGATCGTAGAAATGGACGTCACTAAGTAATGGGTGAAAACCGTATCGATAGGAAGCGGAATTGCGTTAGGACAGGGATTGGGAAGCAGAATCGTGGGAGATGGCATCCATTGATAGGGAAAACAGTACTTGGAGAGAGGGGTGCTACGAGACAGGAGGACCCAGGAAACAGCACTTTGATTCGTAATCATCGGGAAAAAGCGGTTGTATGAAAATGGGCATAGTTGTAAAGAGCAGGAGGAAGGCGACGATGGGAGTGGTGTAGCACAAAGGGATAGAGAAACATGACTTAAAACTAAAGATACGGAGTTGTCAGCAGGGACATCAACGGCAGGGACATCGACGGCAGGGACATCAACGGCAGGGACATCGACGGCAGGGACATCGACGGCAGGGACATCGACGGCAGGGATATTAGCAGCAAGAACTCCCTCGCGCTCGCTTGCGATCAGCGTTTCCTATAGTTTCAAGGGCAACAGTGTACTACTCAGTACACCAGACTACCCTATACAACTCACGACGACGAGGTCCAATTCCACTCCAAGGCCTTGCTCGATGGCAACGACAATGATGTGGGGGACATTATTGTTTTATAATTTTCAAGTTTTTTTTGTGATTTTTTGATTTTCTGAAATTCCAAACGCAAAAAAGCAACGCAGCCACAAGAGAACTAACTTGACCAGCGCACGTCGAAGTTCTCACAAAGCCAGAGCCATTCCCAAGGCCCTTTGAGCCCATACCAGGCCCTATCGCCCCAATACCCAACCACCCGCCACCCCCCACCGTAAGCAGACACAACCAAAGCAGCAAGCCCAGCAAATTTGACAGAGTAGAAACGACAAAAGCCCACAGACGAAGATTCCAGCAACCAACCATGTGTAGAAACATCCCAAGCCAACAACATCAGTTACAAAGAACACAACAACCAAGCACGAAACTGAAATCCAGAGCATACCTTCCTCAGAGACTCCAGATTGTGCCTACCTATGGGATTCGGACCCATAGCAGAGAAAAGAAGAAGGGGAGAGAGAGGGAGAGATTTTTTTTTTTGAGGGGACACAATCTGAAGCCTCATCCATGATATGATGAATAAACAGAGCCGGAGGTAGTGAGCCCCCGTGCCCAACGCTGCCGACGATAGAATGCCACATAGTCTGGCACCTCCTCCTCAGGCTCTGTGAGCCCCTGACGCACCCTGTCCTCCTTTGCTAGACGAGCCGCTTCTCGTGCACCCGCCATGGCAGAGCGAGGCATCGGGAAGGGCACCGAGTTGACAGGTACTGGGGCCGGGACAACGGGACGAGGTGCAGGGGTAGCCTCGAAAGAGGTCTTCTTTGAGCAAATGCAACCCATGATTGAACCTAGTGCAGCTTTCTGATTCAAACAAGAGTATAATGCAAGTTGGCAGAGCAAGAGTAGTCTGAAGAGAAGAAAAAAAAGATTTCAAAGGTGCGAGCGAGGAAGGGGTAGATATAGGCTGCCTGTTCAGTCAAGGTTTGGGCAGAAAACGGGTTGATCTGCCCTCGAAGAGTTATCAGCAACGATCAGAAGCAGCTCGATCATGATCTTGAGCAGTTTTCGAAAGAGAATATGGGTCTATACCACGAAGCGGCCGTTGATCTCATCCTCCATTGGCTAGTACCACTATAGAATTCGCCTGACCCACCTTGGAAAAAAGCATATCGAAGTATATAACGGTCAAAACCTTACGTGAGTCAACTGTTGGTGCCCCTCCGGTTGATGCAGACTTCCTCAATGGCTGAGATCGATTTCACCGCCATAAGAGGGCAATTGAAGGAAGATGGAGGAAGAGCGAGCAGGCTCAATCCACCAGAATGAATTTTTCAATTGGCAGACCAGAGTATTGCGCACTGATTGAATTTGGCAGGCCAGGCGATTTCATATTCCGCATCGATTGACTTTGGCTGCTCAAGCCCGCCAGCTTCTGTTGGGTAGGTGGGTGACACTGGTGCATGAACACTGGATAACGAACACTGAACCGAGCAAGACTCTGTCACTGGAAAGGAGTCTTCTCCTATACTCGACGAGGCCCCCGGGTTGCCGTTGATTTAAGACCAAGTACTTGAAATTTCATAGAGATTCGGTTGCACAAGGCCGCGTGATGTCGATTTCCCCGTGGTGGACGCACATGGCATATCTGGGGAGTGGATCTCTGGCGACCACCTCAGTAAACGATAAGTGGGTCCAGCTTAAGCTTGAGGAGCCTTTCGGTTCGGGCAGGCTCATTATCTCTTAGATCTCTCAGATCAGATCCGATCGATCTAGATCCTTTTTGGTCCAATCACTTTTGAGATCAGCTTGGATCCAAGATCAGAACGACCGAGATCATTCTTAGTCCAACCACAGGAGAGCAATTGGTTTTCAGATCAGAAAGATTTGAACCGCAGAGTTTGACAGCCCAGGCTGCCGAGTTTCCAGGCTTCTGATTGGCGGAGACCCAGGAGAATCATAGATCATGATCTTCTGAACGTGAATGTGCCAGGCAGTGGGGTATAAATAAAGGCATTGCAATAATTTGTGATAGAAGATCAGAGCAATCTTGGAGCAAATGCAACCCATGGTTGGAGGGGGACGTGGGGGATGGTTTTTCGGAACAATCTGGTACAGCAAAAGCAGAAGAGGAGAAAATTTTGTGATCGAGGAGCGCCCGAGTTCCAAGCTATGAGTTACTCGATAGGAATAATAATCACCCGAGATCCGAGTTGGATTTGATGCAGTGGGAGGTCACATGCGTGTAGGCGAGAGTTCTCAGACTCTTTTCGTAAGTAACCGCATCTCGTGCACCTGCTGTACCACATAGCTTGCTCCATAAGAGCAATAATGGATGTTGCAACTGACGAGCTCGCTTTTCTCAAGATGTCGCGAGGCTGAGATTTCCTGAGTGAAGTGAGATTAATGTTGTGGGTGACGTGATAGTGCAGGGCCCATCCTCGCTCTGAGCCAAACCCGTAAGTTAGTGCCCGGCGGGTGCCCGGCACCCACGGGGAAGCTCGAGCGAGCGCTAGGTCGACCGTAGTACTGCCTATTGGCCGGGTGGTTTAGGCGCTAGAGCTGCTTCTTAGGGACACCTAAAGCGGCATAGTAGGCTATGGATTGGCGCACGTACTCGGTTGAGCTCTTTAAGTCCGTGCGGGGTAGCTCTCCCCAGGCTGAAGCTATTCCAGGCGCCCTCTTGCACCTAACCAACTACGACAATGGTTACGTTTACTCACAACTAATGACTTGGGCAGCCCGTCTTTGTACCTCCCTAAACCAGATACAGGGCCGTTAATTCTTGAGCTTGAAGCTTTCCCACCTCGCTTCTAGAGATGGCGAATTGGGCTGTCCTCCCTCACGGAGCTTCCTTTCCCCATCCGGGCCACGTTACGTTCTAGCACTGGATACGGCAGTTATGATCCGCGTCATAGATCTGATTTCCATTTGCCAGCTCACCTCGAAAGGAAGCTCGATTGACCTGTCCAGTGCAGGTTTGCTATTTTACGTCACACTGTGGATATACATAACTCATGGCCACATTTGTACCGAGGTTCGCTACTGGTGTGCGCACGTCTTCTGGAGGTAGGTTGTAGGCTCGGTAGGCAGCAATATATATTGATTGTGACTCTCCCGGCTCACATTCGAGACTCTCTTCGGCTGAAGGTCTCTCCTCCGGAACTGTACGTAGGTAGTAAAGGACCTCGACCACCGCCCCCGGCATCATGTATACGCCCATTAGCTACTTCGCTGTTGCCAGTTTGTTATGCTATCAAGCTGCTCATGCACAAAGCTTGCCACAAGTCGACCTGGGATATGAAATCCACCAAGCTATCGAGCTGAACGTACGTTGTCTCCGAATATAGTTGCCTCTGCTCTCCATTAATTCGGAAAACCAGGAAACGGCGCAAACGTACAATTTTACCAACATCCGCTTTGCTCAACCCCCAGTGGGGAAGCTTCGATTTGCTGCTCCTGTCAAACCCGAGGGCAGGAACACAGAAGTGGTCAATGGAAGCACTTTAGGAAGAATTTGCCCACAGGCCGCACCCGCATGGGGCGGAATTGCTGCTCAATTCATTCCTGAATATCTCAATGGGACAGCGTCAGAATTCAACTACACCCAAGCTGTTCAGCTACTTCAACTGTACTTGGCAAGCGCGCCACCTAGTCAACCGGATCCTCGCACCAGCGAGGACTGCCTCTTCTTGGATGTCGTCGTTCCTAAAAAGATTTTCGACAATGCCAATAACCGACACCGAAGACGAAATAACGCAGGCGCACCAGTTCTTGTCTGGTAAGTACCCACAGGGGCCTGCCAGATTCGGGAGTAGCTGACTTGCTTAGGATTTATGGAGGTGGGTATACATTGGGTAACAAGAACGCGTATGGCAGCCCAAATCATCTCATCAATGCGAGTCAAGCAGATGGAAGCGATGGCATCATATATGTTGCCCTGAACTATCGTCTTGGAGCGTTGGGTTTTCTTGGTGGCCCTAGTCTGCAAGCAGCTGGAGGTGTCTCGAATGCAGCGCTTTATGATCAACGACTGGCAATTGAGTGGGTGGCTGAGAACATTCACTTGTTTGGCGGTGATCCCAATCGTATCACCTTGATTGGCGAATCTGCTGGAGGTATGTCCTATCTTTCCATCCGTGTTATTTCCCGTGACGGAGGGCCCTGGATCTTGTCGCAGTCCTAATCGTTCGATTAGGTGGCTCTATCGAGCATCAGATCACAGCCTTCGGCGGGCAACAAGGTGTCTCCTTTCAGCAGGCAATCCCTCAGTCTCCAGCCTTCGGACCAATCGCCTCCAATTTCTTCCAGGAGAATGCCACTCAGAACTTTCTCGCGCTTTTGAATGTCTCGACGATTGAAGAGGCCCAGAATGCGTCATCAGCAGCGGTGATCCGAGCCAATGCACTACAAGTTGGGGCCGCCCCCTATGGCACGTTTGTCTACGGACCAACAGTGGATGGTGTTTTCGTCCCTTCCTTGCCAGGCCAACTTTTTGCTAGGGGCCAGTTTGCGAAAAACGTCACCGTAATGGTCGGACACAACGCTCACGAGACACCTTCTTTCACCCCTCCATACATCTCAAGTGATGCCGATATCAAAACTTGGGCGTTAAGCAACTTCCCGGGAATATCCGACACGGTAGCCGACTACCTCGTGGATGTGCTGTATCCTGCCGACTACAGTGGCTCACAGACATACACCAGTCCCTTGGAACGTGCGTTCCGAATCGTCAGCGACTCGGCTTTTGTCTGCAACACGAACTATATCAACAAGGCCTTCAATAATCAAACTTGGGCTTATGAGTTCCAAGTTCCACCGGCTCTGCACGGGCAGGATGTTGCATACACCTTCTATCAAGGCACCGGAACGAATCTCTCTGCAGGGTTGATTGCACCTGTTGCCGACGCATTCCAAGGGTATATCACCAATTTCGCGAAGAACGGGAATCCGAATGGACCTGGCTTGCCATTCTTCCCCATCCAGGGTTCGAATGCTACGATGCAAGGGATCAATGCGACATATATCCAGCCTCAGACCGATGACACGGTAAACGCAAGGTGTGCGTGGTGGCAGCAGGCATTGTTCTACTGAGGCCAGCTGTGGATGCCGTCCGCCTAAGGCACAATGTGATTATGTCAGTCCACACTACCTCACCTGCACTGCAGGGGATTTGGTTGCCACCAAGGGTTGGCCAGCTCATATTAATTGAATAATAATAAAAATTTCCTATTCACAGAACCTGAATATTCTGATGACTCCTGTGAACTTCTTTTCATTCTGTAATGCACAGCTGCAGTGTACTCGTCGGCGTCGAGGAAGACCATGCTAAAAAGTGAACATCATCCATTGAATGACTAAGCAACACTGCCGATCATTGCCAGATCCGAAGAATTCACGATATGCACATTTCCCTCACCAGCTGAAGCCATTCATGATATATAACATAATTTGACGTATTACATATGAATCTGTGAACATAGTAAGCTCTTTATCGTGTGAATTGAAGTCGTGGTGGTGGGGTTGTGGCATGTTGTAGTTGCTGATGTGGTTGAGACATCTGGATGAATATAATTTTCGAATTCCTGGGGTGAGTTCCGTGCGCATGTGGCCCAACGTTCCTAGCCAACTCACGACCTTGGACAAAATATCACAGAAAGCAAGTTGAGTATGTCAAAACCTTCCCCCAAGTCTCCCTTGATGACGAGTTCATCTTTTTCACTCATGACACATAGATGCATAGCTTTGGGATTGAGCTACACCGTCGCACGAGATCAGAGTGGCGTCTCACAGCGTTAGGTCCTACCGTAGTCTATGCTATACAGTTAAGCATTAGTCATTTGAATAGCATGAATTTTCCACAGCTGCTCAGATGTCTGCATCTTCTAATTTCTTCCAAATTCAGTAAGCTCCTTGGTTATGGTGTCGTTAATATAGGGAAGAGAGAGCTGGAAACATCGAGACTTCTATCTGTCCACACTCAGTTCTACACCTCCCATCCCGACGGTTCCCACCCTCCAAGGTCTACCACCATCTAAAGCCATGTCTTCTTCCTCCGCACCCTCAGACGAAGCCGAGCGCCTGCACGCCTCACGTATGGACCAATCATATCGGAAGTTCGTCAACGGCGTGACGCTCGGCACGCTCTTCCTCGCCCCGATAATGGTGATGCTCCCGCCACGACGTCTCAATTTCACGTCATTGGCATGGGGCGGCGCATTCGCCGCGGCTGCGGTACACAGGGAGATACCCGCGAAGATGGCCCGTCCATTCCTGGATATCTCAATGCCGAGGCGTGCGAGGGAACTTAAAGAGCAGAGGGAGCGGGACGAGCAGAGGAGGAGGATGCTCGATGCGCAGCCTGGTGCGGAGAAGGAGAAGGATCTGGGGAAGAGTTATGCTCCGAAGGATTTGTTGGAGGAGAAGGCGAGGGAGATCTGGATGGGTGGCGAGACGGAGGGGTGGAAAGAGCGCAGGCTCCAGGAGGAGAGGGAGAAGCTGGCCCAGGGTGAGGGATATGGCTCGATGATCATGGAGCAGATTTGGGAGGTGTGGAATTGGGGTGGTAAGAAGGGTGAGGACGACAACCCAGCGGAGGGAGCAAGCAGTTCAAAGGGAACGTGAGGTGCATGGAAGCCTTGAATTGGGATTGTCTCTGGTTGTGCTGGGGACTGCCATCCTTCAAGCCTTTGCCCGCCTGCCTGAATGATCTTATGCCTTACCACTGAGGGGTGAGACTCTCCATGCCGATGCATGAGCCACGCCTTTCTCACACTCCTCCGCTGAGGTCAACGAGGAACGAAATTATGGAGTTTTCACCTCCGCCAATCTCCCACCTGCACTGGCGTCGCGAAAGCCCGTCGACCAGGCTCCGGCATCGTCTCCGGCCCTGGCGGCCATCTCGGCATATTTCCTCGCATCGGCCTCGACTTGGAAGTCTCGTACTTCGATCCCGTGCTTCAACAACTCATCCCTGGCAGCTTCACTTGCCCGCGTCACAGCATTCGCCTTGCTGCCCTCACGGAATATCATGGGTGGACCGTGAGCATATCTTGGGGTACCACTTGAGCCACGTGGTTGGGAGCTTGAGGCCCGAGGGTTGGATCGATGGCTGGCACTGCTGCTGTCCGACATGTTGGCACCAGTGCCCACAGACGGCGCTGAGTATGTGGATTTGGGAAGGAATCGCGATGATATCTTCGACTTGAGTTTGTCGGTCATGTCTTGGAGCTTCAGCCTGAGTTCTGGCATCGCTTCGGACTATCTCAACTTACCGGCAATATTTGTTTGGGGTTGGATTGATGTATACGGTTCTCTGAGCGTGCACGTGCCGTGCGCCGTGTAGTGGTTTCTCTTCTTGGCTGTATTATGTTGATGGATGATTCCACATGCAGCATGAGTGGCAGCTCGAGAACATTTCAGAATGACTGGGAGATCAGTGTGAGTTCTGGAGGTTGTTGGTCCACTGCTGTTTCTGATTTGGCAAAATCAGCGTGCGCCGAGCATCAATTCATTCCAAGGCTTTGACTTGCAGACAAAAATGCCGTGCAAGGGTGCTGCTGGTCAAGGGTTTTGGAGACGGTGACATGACAGTGACTGCAGGTTCTTATGCCCGAGCCTGAAGTCGCACAGATGCGGGCTGGGAGAGATTGGATGATGGGCAGATTGACAGCGTGTTCTAGGTGACACCGCACAATTTAGAGGAAGGGTAGGACAAATGTTGTCGGAAGACTGTCTCATCAAGCTTGACTTGGGAAGAGTTGATCCTATATATCAACGTTGGTCTCATGGCTAACTCAGCTCGAATTGCAAGGAGGAAATAATCGCCGCTTCATGTGATTTGTTATCCTCTGGATCATCGGATGGATGTCATTCTCAATGGATCAAATCGCCACGTTGGAGTATGTGTACAACCAACGTGCCCGACAATGTCATTGTTTCTGGCTGTCGGGCCGCCAATATTGACACTCTTCTATCCAAAAATGTTCATCTGACATAATACGTCACTTTCATTCATCTCATGTATGTCGAAAGCAGTCGAGGAGAGGTTTCCCGTTCCGTTATCACCTGGACTTCTTCCTTTTCTTGTTTGGCTGTTTCCCGCCATTGCTAGTCTCTGCATTGGACTTTTTACCGTCACTGTTCTGTCTTTTTGGTCCCTGGCTCATCTGAACCCCATATTCAATCTTCATATCATGGATTTGCTTTTGCTTTTTGTTCTTGGGACCCTTGACAGTTACACGGGAGGAAGATGTATCACTTCCTCTCTTGCGCTTTTTATTCTCACGGGCCTTTTTGCGCTCTGCTTTTGCTTTGAGCTTCGCTTCCACTCCCCGATCAAAGAAGTCGTCTGCGTCTTGAACCACCCTGTTAGGTTGCACGTGGCTTCGCTGCTTCTTCGGAGTATGTTGTTGATCTGATAGTCCGATGGCTTCAAATGGTGCCTCCAGATCAGCGATTTTCCTCTTCAACCCACTTCTTGATGGTTGTTCATCATTTTTGGGCTGATATAGATGCTCGAACGGGGTTGGATTCGTGTCAACGGAGAACAGACCACTGGCATCCACGGTGGGTTCCGGAGCAGTCGAAGGGTGTAAGTTTGTGGGCGGTTCGGTAATTGGAGCTGATGATTGTGACTGTCCGTTTGCCGTGGCATTCGAGATCTCTCCCTTGATAAGAGTTAGCGGACACTTTCTAAATAAGAACTTAGGAAGTTGGGGTGACGTACCAATGCTGAGGCTGATTCTCTGAAGAACAAGATCAGACCTTCCGTCTTCTCCAGGCGGGTCTCTAGTAGTTTTTGTGCCGAACTTTCTCCCGTAACATGTTGGCTCATGGAGTCCACAAGTAGTGAGGCATGGGCCTCCAGTAACGTGACGATTGAAACATGTTGATCAAGGATCTTGTGGAAGGGTTAGCAACAGGTACAGGCGGGTTGGCGCGCAAGAGGACGTACGTCTTGCCATGGATTGAACGCCATGGTGGGTTCTGTCATATTGGATCAAATCAATGAGCTCTTGTATGGTCTATGAAGAACCTTTCGAGCATTGAACACATGGAATTCTTCGACTGCGGGCACAGAAATGTTTTGGAGTGGACTTCAGTTTCTCCAAAAATCCAAGTAGAAAGAGTGTTTATGCTCGACCGGACGAGGCAGCCTTGTAGTTCTAGGCCGGAGCATAGAATCCACATATGACAAGGCTCCACGCTGCTACGTCACGCGTGACTAAGCAGTCTAACCTTCAAGATGTCGATTTCAGCGAAGTGAGATGAGATTGCGTTGTATATAGTGGTATTCGATCGACCTTTACCTTGAGGAGTTGGACTTGGGAGATATGTTATGGCCATGGCTTCATCTATCTGCATTGTCATCGATGTGTGTCTCCCAGCCATCAATGAAGCTGATCTTGATACGATGTCGTGACAATGAGATGGCGCTGAATGATTTTCCTCGCCCTGTTCAAGGGAAGTATAAGGTCACTCAGCCAGATGCCCGCGATGCCAATAGCACTCCAACTTATTGAAGCTCATATCGGACCGGGCAGAATGCAGGATTCACTTGCATTGACAATTGTTCTTTCCCAATGTGCAACGCATCAATGGATTTTCGACCCTCCTTCCCTCTTACCATTGTCGACCCGTGCCTGCTGTCAATAGCACGGTTATACCTTGCTGCTATTGAACAACATGAGCGCTCTTTCCCTGGCAGGAGGATGCCTGTCTCGTCCATTTCCTTCTTCATCTTCCTCCCCTCGCCTCTTTTCTTCTCTCCTCCTCACAATCCACTTAATACCCTGCTACAGCTTTGCTTCAGAATCTCCTGCTGTTAGCCCTCCTCCTTTATCATCCATCCTGCACTACATCTTGGCCTGCTCATTGTTCAATTCTCATCGCTGCTCTATTCATTGGGTTCTCCCCCACTTCTACCCTCAGACTCTCCACGGCCACCTTCTTGTTGGAAGAAACTTTGTTGGGGTTGGTCTTGATCCGTAAGTATGCAATCCAGGACAAGCATCTTTCTCTGATGAACACTGTTACTGATGTCGTTGCTAGGGCCATGTCTGAAAAGCCTTCTATCCAAACTGCCACCGGGACCGCCTACCCTGGTTATCATCAGAACAGACTTCCGTATTCTGGCACAGCATATCAGCAATTCAACACAGGCAAGTTTTCCTTATGTGTCCGGCTTGAAGAGTACACACTCATCCCTCATAGGTTTGAATTTGGCCAACCCAAGTCCACTCGCCAGCATGCAGAACCTCAAGGCCAACTTGGCTGCTTCTGCCAACTACGAAAATGAGCTGGGTGCCGCCAACCGTCAAGGCTACAACAGTCCGCTCATGATGCTCCCTTCTGGTCAAACTGTGCCATTGACAGGCTTTTATGGTCCAAATCAAACCTCCACTGGAGAAGTTTCGGCACATCTTCCTTACGTTCCCACTGGAATGTTCCCAAACTTTGTTGGAAACACCACGATGGGCTCATCAACTCTTCCAGCCTGGCCGTATGGCATGACAACCAACGTTACTGGTTTTGATCCTTCTCGTCATGGTTCTTGGTCCTCCAATGAAGAGAATGCTTCCCATACTCAAGCAATGGCATTAACAGGCCCAGCAGACTACTACACTGGCTTGCCAATGCTCCCTGCGACCTTGACTGGTCAACACTACATTGCTGGTCCAATTCAACCTATGAAGTGTCAGGACAACAAGTCATATGAGATGGCCAACCTTGACGAGTTGGTCACCCGTGATCCTCCTCTCCCCCGTGCTGTTCCAGCACTCTGGACCAACCAGGAAGAACTCAGTCTTGCCAAATGTCTCCAGAACCCTGAAGGCATCACCAATGTCTACATCCGTGGCTTCATGCCAGACACCACAGATGAGGATCTTGAACGTTGGGCATCTCGTTTTGGTGAGATTGAATCCTGCAAAGCCATCATCGAGCAGGACACCGGAAAGTGTAAAGGGTAAGTTTATTGTTTGAGAAGTCATGGCTGTTTGCTCATTTTGCTTAGGTTTGGTTTCGTCATGTACTATTCTCCCGCTGCTGCCGAGAATTGCATTCGAGGCTTCTTCCATATGGGCTTCCAGGCCAGTTATGCTCAGGTTCGCCACATATGTTCCCTCCCCAACGCCTAGTTGACCTTCTCTAGAAATCCCGGAACTCTCGTCTCAAGGACCTTGAGGATCGCAACTCCACCAATATCTACTGCACCGGTGTTCCCATCGACTGGAATGAATCTGTATGTGTCCATACCTTCGCCACACTCCCTCAATTTTGCACTTGCTGACCTCTGACAGGACCTGGCCAAACATTTCTTACCTTTCCATGCAGTCTCCACCAAGATTTGTCGTGATGCTCCTTCAGGTGTCAGCAAAGAGGTTGGGTTTGCCAGGTTGGTCGATGCTCCTTTTCATCTACGTGTCACCACTCTAACCTTGGCAGATTCGAGAGCCGAGACATTGCAGAGCGTGTCATCAAAGAGTACCACAGCGTACTCACTGACCATGATGGAGTCAAACTCTTCCTTCGTTTCGCCGACACCAAAGCTCAGAAGCAGCTCAAACAGCAAAGTCAAGAACGTCGTAATTGGCGCAGCCGAGAGTACAGCTACTCTGTTGAACATACTCCATCACCAACCTTGACTCGTCTTCAGAATGTCAACAATCACCTCAGTCCCGCAAGCTATCAGTCCCCAGCTGGAGCTAGCAATGGATTTACCCCTGCGACGTCAGTCTCTCCAGCGTAAGTCCAGCAGAGCTGACGGTCATTGTATGTTCAGTTGCTAACCCATCTCTTTCCAGTGACATGCCAGGTATCAGCAAGACGATTCACACCACTCGAAGTTCAGCTTGGCCGATGCAAGGTAGTCTTCAGTCGATCACCAACACCACGGCTACTCGCAACAATGTTCAGACAACTACGGCTTCCCAATCTTTCATCGAAGTGCCTTCCAAGGTCAACATTATCGTTCCCAGTCCCCAAGACACTGTGGACGTGAAGAAAGCTAAGACTCCAAGCCCAAAGAAGGTGGCCATTCGTGTTGACCCCCCAAGTGGCAAGGAGAACTTCGCCGGTACTCCACAGTCCATTGATTGAGTCTGATCATCCCCAAAAGTCACTGAGAACATCTCCATGCTTCTCATATTCTGGCGTGCATACAGTTATTGGTCTGTGAACATGAAATGTTTCCTTTGTTCATTCTTGCGTCCTGCATATGATGGAATATGCTTACGGACAGTATCAAGCCACTGTCCAAACATTCACAGGAAGATATGTGTATTATGAAGGACATGAACACACAGCATGGAGATTTACTCGATGCAGACTACATCGCAGCAATCATGATAGGTCACAAAAGTCTTTGGGGTCAAATATATTAGCAGGTGCTCATCTCTACAGACCAGGCATACTCTAAAGAGAGCTGTGCTCTTCAATGTATCAAGGTTAGATAGGAAAACTATTGCATTGCCTCTCATTCTTGACATTCTTGTGAGACTGCTTTCTCTGATCGTCATAGTCGAGGACTTGATTGAGAAGCGTTCTCCGTCCTCCGTCCAGTGTCCTGTATGTAGTATCGCTGTCGCAGAAGGTTCGGGGACTTCAGTAGGGATCTCGGCCACCATTATCGACAAAGACAGCTTCATGAGACATCCCACGAAAGAGAAACAATTTGTCCGCTGGAATTCTGATGTGGACCGTGACAACTTTCAACAGATTTGGATCGTCCAACTCGACGGCTCAAGTCTTTTCCTACCTACCTATCTGAGCGGGACAGGATCAATTGGTTCGTACGATTGTGGAAGCATATTGCTCGGGACATGCACGAATCGGATCAAGTTCTGTGTGCGAGCTTCTTTTGGTTTTCACTGGCTTAGATACTTCCCACATCGGGTGTCTACGAAGGGAAGCTCACTATACTTGCAGGAGATATGGCTCCCAACACAGCAGCTCCATTTACGCCGGGACGACCCCGGGGAAGGGTGTATCTGGGGAAGGATGTATCTCTACTCAAACACTTCATAGCTTTTCTCAGAGAGAAGCTAGAAGAACATGCTATTACAAGGACGGCCACCAAGATGCCCAGTACCGCGTCCCTCTCCAGAATTTATGTCAGCTCTGGCATATTCTCCTTCATGGCTCTCGTGAGCAAATCGGTGTCCGAATACGCACGAACATGGACAATTTTGCCACCCTCAAACCGACAAACCCAGACATAGCGCATATCATACTTCAATCCATTCTTGCACACCGCGTCGATGGCCTGTAGTTCGACCGCCACCTCCCCCTCCATGGCATCCCCATCGCCATTCAACGCGCCCACAACATTCATGACTCGCAGCCTGAGGGGCTCGGTGAGAACCCTTTCGGCCAGAACTTTCAGCGTCCTGTCCACGAAGTGGTTCCGAGACGTGTATGTGCCAGACATGGGGCTGTGGCCGGGGATCTCCCAGTGCACGGACTCGGAGATGTGAGCGATGAACTCCTTTTGGCTGCCTTGCTGGGAGAGGGGTGAGAAGAGGGCATTGATCTTGTGGAAAACGGTTGAGTTGGGCGACATGGTTGGTTGTGGCAGCGGGATGAGAGAGGAGAAACTTGGAAGGCTGGCTGTGCCCTGAGACGAAGATTGGGATGGTCCACGACTATGTCGCGAGCAATCAAGAAGCACGCTGATCCACCAATGGTAGATAGGACACTTTATGCGTGGATCAAAATTCCTCAGTCTTTAACCCTGAAGTCATGAAGCGGACTGTGGTGCAGGTACGGCCGATGTGCTCGATGCCAGAGGTACGCCCAGTCACACTGGCTCTTTCGCCTTTTCTGTGCTCACACGAGTCGTCAAATCCAGAATTTCAAACCTTGAGCTCTCTGACGAATGTTCAGAAGTCGTTTTCGGTTCCTAACCTCGGCAAATTCGTGAATAGGAGATCAACGTTCTCACCCACGAGCCTGTTGCAAGATGTTGAACAGAAGTTGAAGTCAGGAAAGAAGGGTAAGCTGAAGTGGGCGTTACCACCAGAGATACTCGCAGTATAAGCTGGCGACCATGTTCAACGTCTAAGTACTAAGTAAGTACGGATAGTCGTGCTTCGACATCATAGCCTTCGATATCATAAATAGCCGAGCCAACGCTAGGCTGGATCTAGAGTTGAGGGGTCCTGTAAGGCAATGTAGTCCGTAGTGCGACAATGACCACTTTCGAGAAGCGAATGGAACACTGCAATCATCTTTTGGTGACTGTGCTCATTGTTCTTGTTCTCGGACTGAAACTACAACCTCACTGTTACCCAGACATACTAAGTACAATGCACTTTCTGATTCACGACGTGGGTAAATGTGAAGAACACGTGACGGGCTTATGTAAAGCATCGTCGATTGACATCTGAGTGACGCGCACCATCGCGAAGTTGGTCGCTTCAGCCCTTTATCTTCGTCACTAAGCCCAAATAACTTTCAATACAATCACAGCGTATTTGCTGAATTAGTCATGTCTTGAATATCAAGCATGCGTTCCCACCACGGTTGTGCAAGATGTAAGCGGCGGAGACAAAAATGTGACGAGAAAAGACCAAGTTGCTTTCGTTGCGTCGAAGCACAGGTAATCTGTGAGTATTTGGTAATATTGAAATGGAATGGGCGAATACCTCGTCGCCATGAAGTCCCACAGAAGAGAAAGCGAAGGATCGATCCCCAGACAAGCAGTTTGAACGTGGCTCTGTTGCCCGCGCCTGAGACGTCAGCGCCAGCGAGAAACCATCCTCCGTCACTGCCATCCAAGGATTCTGGGGAAGCACCTCGAATCCATGAGCTGAGCCTTCTGGAATCATGGATACCCACCGAAAAGCTTCTGTTGGATCATTTTGTAACTACAGCATCAATGGTAGCGAGCCATAGCCAGCTTCGCGAGCAGATATGTCATGAAATTCTGCCTATGGCTATTCAGATTCCTTCTTTGATGTATGGTACTTTGGCACTTTCGGCTCTTCATCGCTTTACATTACTCAACACAGTCCCAGAGACGTTCACTCCCGAAGCAATGATCTCCAATCTTATGTCAAGAAGCCTGAAACATCTTCGAGAGGAGCTCAAAACTCACAGTCCTCAATCAAGACACTTGTTGCTCCACACTATCAGGACACTTTGTGTGTGCGAGATCTACTCGGGCAAGGCGGATTCCGCATGGCGCATTCATGTAGACGGGGCAAGAGCCATATTGTCTTCGATGCAATCTGCTTCCAGACAATCTGAAACCGATGGCGAGCGCTGGCTTACATCCCGATGGTATTCATCAATGGAGGCACTCACAGCCCTGACCGATCGAGGTGCTGTAGACACTACTGACCATGATGGACAAGCTCTCAGTACTGGTGCTGAGCTCCTACACTCTCGGAACCAATTCCTTGACATCTACACCGGATACTCGTCTGACCTCAATGCCGTGTTCCAAGACATCGGATTACTGGCGAGGAGGCGAGAAAGCTTATTGGCCTCGTCCGACTTGGTGTCATCAGCGAACTTACAGACTCAGTCTGACAGACTTGAGGCCATGCTACATGAGATGATTCGACGTGACAGAGACGAAGGACTAAAGATACCATCCGATGTCTTCCTTCCCAAAGCGCAACTCAAGCAATTTAATGCTTGTAATGTTGCATACCAATACTCGGCATTGATACATATTCATCGAAGGCTGCAAGATAAGAGACGGGACTCTGAAGAAGTTCAATCTTCTGTTCAAAAGATCTTGGATACCGTCTGTGGAATCTTACCCATGGAGGCACTTTCACCTTGGGCACTTCTGACAACTCCAATATTCACCGCGGGGTAAGCAATGTCAAATTTGCCACGTGGCATATCGTCTGCCACAACTCCGTCTGATATACTAACAAAGTGATCCATCTCTTTAGATGTGAAGCCCTTGGTGAGAACAGGGCCTTGATCAGAAACCTTCTCCTCAAACTTTACGAGACCCTTCGGATCCGGAACGTACTACGGGCGAGGGATGTTCTTGAGAAGCGATGGGCACGAACTTTCGAAGACGACAACAAAGGTATGTAGCCGAACATCACCAGTTGCTTCCGACCGACTTTGCTAACAGAGATCCGGCAGCTAATAATGAATTGATTGACTTCATTCCGTACTGACCAGATCCATCGGTGATGTGTGGTGGAGACGGATTTGCCCGACATTTTGAGTTGGAGATAAAAGTTTCTTCACGAACTTCATGTCTGGTGCGTTACTTCAGCATTTTGCATCTCACAATTCTCAGCAAAGCATATCAATATGACAGTTCGGGCATCGACACGAATCAGCATCCGCTGGCCACCTGCCGCAGCCTCAGAGCCTACTGATACCCTTGTCCTCAGTATAGGGGACTATTATGTCGACCTGAGAGTGACAAAGGCGGACCAGAGCATTGACTGGGCTCTTGCCGGTCAACGCCTCGTGCTGTCGGAGAATCCACGTAAGTCAAAAATCCAGCTTTGCCCTTGGCGGTAACGCCCTGGAGCCTCCCTGAAGCCCTTAGTAGTCGGCTCCTATTGATTGTGACCCTCAAGTCAAGGTGAAATTCACGCATCCTTTGGACTCGCATTATGTCGCTGGCGAAGAAGAAGGAGAACCCGACATCGGCGAATTTACAAAACTCCCGAACGGCGATGATCTCGAAACCGGAGTTATGACCGCACCTCACCTAGGCGGGAAAATCATGCCATACGAGGAGATTTGGCGAGAGCTAGACCCTGGAGTTGGTCAAGCCGGCGATGGTAGTGATGGTAAGACTTCTTCATGGATTCTGGAGAGCGTCGATCCGTCAAGCGATGCCGAGGCCACCAGACTGTCGAAGTCCTACTATGCCAGGGGAGGAAAGTTCTTCCTGGCATTACGCCAGGTGAATATCACGAGTCCCCCGTCCATCAGTGTCTCCGCCATTCGCCAAGATTGGGATGCAGACAAATCGGCCTGGGTTACCAAATACGCGATTGGAAACGTCGATGGGTTGTTCAGTCTAGGAACCGGAACAGATGGTGCTGGCGATTGGAAGGTTGGCGATGAGGTCAAAATCGGGCTCGAAGGAGAGCGCTGTATTGTCAGGGCATTGGATTAAGATTATCGACACCTCCTACGAGATTCGCCCTAGTTCATCAGGTCGTCTTTTCGAAAGTATTAAATTCTATGCCTCTTATCGCGGATATGACGTTGGCCATTTCTACAGTCGCCCTCCCATCGATTTTGAGAAATACACGCATGACAAGCTCTAAACCTAAGAAAATCCGCCTGTGGTGTAACCCGGATCATTGCCCACAAGCGCCATATACTGCGGGACTAGCTCGACCGGATGCCGGACTCTTCCAAGAGGTGTGGCGGCGCCGATACGCATGGCGCCTTCGGCGGTCTGGCCCTGCGAGGATAGAAACGGGGTGTAGGTGATGGCCGGCCGCACGGCGTTAACGCGGATTCCGGCCTCAGCCATCAGGCCTGCGGCCATTGACTGAGCGAACGTGAGCAGGAACGCCTTGGACCCGCCGTAGTCGGCCATCAGGTACGATGGACTCTCAATTATCAGGGATGCCGTGAAGACGATGCTGGATCCAGGAGGCATGAGCGGCACGGCGGCACGGGTGAGGAAAACCGGGGCGAAGACATTGGTCTCGATGGTGCGCGTCAAGCTTTCGGTGGTTAGCGACGTGATGTTGGGTGATGCTAGTGCATAGCCAGCGTTGTTGATCAGGATATCGAGTCCTCCCAGCAAGTCTGCAGCGTTGTGGACTAGTTCTTTGCAGAACGTCTCATTCCGGAGGTCCCCCGGTATAATATAGATGCTGGAATTGGTGGTCGCTTCAATGACAGAGACAACATCATCTGCATCTGATTGTTCTTCTGGCAGATAGTTGATGACGACGTCGGCACCCTCGCGTGCAAATGCAATCGTAACAGCTCTCCCAATGCCGGAATCACCACCAGTGATGAGTGCTCGTCGGCCTCTCAAGCGCCCAGACCCAACGTAGCTTGTCTCCCCACAATCAGGAGGAATCTCAAAGTCGCTTTGGAGAATGGGAGATCCAGGGGCGGGTAATGTGATGTTTGATGACAGGCGCGTCCGAGGATCGATCAGCACACTTTCATCAGAGTTCTGTCCTGTTGTTCCGGCATCAGGTTATGACGCTTCCTAATGATGAGAGGTTTCTTACCCTGTACCAAGGATAACAGTCCTGCAGCAACAGATACTACAACCAGACGTGAGCAGATAAACATGTTGAATCTATATCTCGATGTGTTGAAGTAATTACACTTTTCAGGATTTTCGCTCTTGATGCTTGAAGCTCAGGAAGGCTGTCGACGCCGCCAGCAGGCTATATAGCTCATGATGATCCATCATGAGTCCCTGAACATACCCATTAATTACGCGTCTGAAGAGGCGTAGTCAGGTCCCAGGAGACATCAAATATTGGTACCAAGCACTTCGTCCTCCTCCCCACAGAGGATGAGCGAGCGCAACCGCGTTTTTGTAGCCTTGGCCTACGGACTCGCAGCTGCGCAATGACATCGACATAAGCTGATCTACAGATCAATTAAATAGTCCAAAGGGACGGCGACTCCACCAAGAACATCTGCTCATGTCGCCGCGAAGACGACGCTACCATGGCTGCTGAGTCCGCGGAGGCTTGATATCTCCGGCACATCCATTTCCTTGGCATCAGCGTTCGTAAGTCGCTACCTAAGTAGTGGTAAGGATAGTGATATATTACCTCGGCAGTGAAGCATCATAGGTCGATTAGGTAGGCATACCTGTGTTAGGACCGAAGAAAGAATAACATGGAAGGCTCAAGACATCCAGTGTCTCCTCTCGCTTGGACTTGAACTTACAATCATCGCTTTTCTTGAGAGCCCTCGAAGTGCTAACCCGACGATCGACTATTGGATTCTCTGACGTATCATAAATGTAGTGCCTGCGTGACCTGAGTCTAATATCGGACACATGGTTCTGAGCATCCATGGATGCAGGGTAAAGGACTATAAAGCGATCGGTGCTAGTTAGGGTGTTCTGGCTGGGGCGACTAGCCTACTGACTTCACGATATTTCGCGTCATTCACCGCTGTGAATACGAAAAGCAGATCAATCTCCGACAATAGCAACTCGCGACGTCTACGGTGTCTAATACTTCATTGCAAGATGAGACCAAAGCCTAGATGGACTTGCTGCTATGTCATTTCGGCGTCGTATGATGCTCGCTAGAAGCCCGTTGATCAGACAGTGTTATATAATCGAAGAGTGGTAAGTCCGCTTATCATACTTAAAAAGGGAACTGCTTGGGAAGGGCTGTAAGAATACTCCTTGTCGAATCTTTTTGGGCCCGTGTCCCGTAACGCTCCATGCGGGGTTCACATTTGCCAGTGTTTTCTTAGGGCTTAGCACCTGCAGTTCTGGAAACGACGCCAGGCAATATTGTAGTGGCTGAAGCTGAGATTCCTCTTCTTCAGAAATGGCCTTCTCCGTGACAGGCGACGACAGTATCCTAAGCGCAAAAGCCATTCCGTCCTACAGAGACTTATCCTAAACACTTCAGCTGTCTCAGCCGTTAAGAAACACATTAACAGTCCGCGGGCCATCCCTAGCCTTATTCCTGGAGTTTGAGTCTATGGAAATGTGCAAATGGCCACCCCGAGGAGACCACGAAATCGCGAGGAGTTTAACGTTGCATTAATATGTGCTCTTCCAGTCGAGTCCGACGCTGTTGAAGGAGTGCTGGATGTTTTTAAAAGTTTCATGGTGGCGAGTTCGGAAAGGCGAAAAACGACAGCAACATTTACCAGACCGGTTGGGTGGGAGAGCACAATGTGGTGATCGTCTACATGCCTGGACTTCTACTAGGATTTCCGGAAGCAAATCGACGCTATGAAGAGCGGGAGAATGAAAGATGTACTGGATAAATCTGCCCATCGAACGATATTACGGGAGTTGATTGAAGGCGATCTGCCACTCTCCGAGAAGGATTCACTGCGACTAGTGGGCGAGGCCTCAGTCGTCGTTGCAGCTGGCGTCACAACTACTAGCTGGGCATTGTCTACCGCAGTATTTCACATCATCCATACTCCGTCTACCCTCCAGATATTGCGGGACGAGTTGAAGGCTGCTACTCCAAATTCCAATGGGAAACTCAGCTGGACTGAGCTCGAAAAGCTACCATATCTCGGTGGTTGCGTGCGAGAAGGGGTACGCATGTCCTACGGGGTAACGGCGAGGCATCCAAGGCTCTTGTCGAAGCCACTAGCATACAAAAGCTGGGTCATCCCTCCAAGGACCCCTGTAAGCATGACGAATGTTGATATCTGTGACGACAAAGAGATATTCCCAGAACCTAGGATGTTCCGACCTGAGAGGTGGATCGGCAGTCCAATGGCACCGAATGGACAAAGCCTTGAAAGATACTATATCGGTTTTGGCAAGGGAACACGAAGCTGCCTCGGCATCAAGTAAGTGTTTATGATGTATTTTTGACTGTCTGCTAAGTGTCTTCTAGTCTTGCACAGGCCGAGCTCCATATGACGCTTGCGGATCTGTTTCGGGACTTTGACTTCGAGCTTTATGGTACAGATATCAGCGATGTACAGTTCGCGCACGATTTCTTTACGCCAGCCCCACGACTCGACTCAAAGGGCGTCAGGGTCAAGGTCAAGCCAGCGTAGATAGAAGATTCTGCGAATCTGCCCCGCGGGTTCTATCAACTGAAAATCAGCGTCGATGAAGGGGTGTTGAGTCCACGTGAGGTCAATCGCGTGTGGACCGAGACTCGATTCGACTTGGGAGAAAACGAGATCAATCCCTACTTGTCCCCGTCGTCGCGCCCTCTTGCTGAAGCCGGTGATGATATTCGTTGCCATCTGCATCGATGAACTTTATTTTGTCTCCGTCCCCCTGCTCTTCGTCGTCCTCTGAGTTCACCAACCCGTCACAGAGGTCAACATCAAGGATGTCTACCCGCGGCTCGTCCTCAGCACCCCTACCACCCCGTGTGCCCTCAACGGTTCGCCACCGGGTTTTCTTATCCAGAAAGAAATCCTTCTCCACTTGCTTGCTCCGAAACCACCTCATTTTGATTCGTCGATATCTCACGGCGTAGATCATGTCATCGACGTTGAAGCTTTGCGAATCGCTCTTCTTGGCGTCCCTTGTTATCGATATCCCGGGACTCGCCAGAGGCGAGCCGAACACCGCCAGCGGGTCTCCTATAATTGCTGTCACTGGGACTGTGACGGATGTGTTTGCGTTCCAACTACTTCCTGTCGACACAGTGATTGTCACGTCCTTGACGGTGTGGATGCCGACGACGAGATAAAGCTTGAACCCGAATGGGCCCTCTTCCTCCACACAGTCCTGTACCCACTTGCGGACCTCTGCTCGGCCAAACAACGCCTCGAAGCACGTTCTGGTGTCGTCAAGTTGATTCGAGGTCATGACGGAGCAGCTCAAATCGACCGACAAGGACTTGTCCATTTTACCCCCAGCACTGAAGAGGTCAGTTAAAAACACATCTAGACCGGTGCCGCCTCCACGAGATGAAGCCTGTGAATAGTTCTGGAGCACTGATTGAACGGCTTTGGGCGTCCATCCAGCTACCTCGAATCGCCGTGCCAACGGATCTTCAATATCAAGAACCAGTGAACCGAGGCGAAGTGAGTCCGCTGGAATCACTCTCTTAAGGATTTCCAGCGTGTTGACCATGACTGCAAGAACCTAACTTGACTACCTTCAGACAATTGAAGAGGAGTGAAGGCTCAGTGGTGTTACTATACACCTGTCTTTATTGGGATTACTCCGGTGTGTCATAGCCCTTGTGAGGTGAGCAGCTTCTGGCAGTGCTGGACCCCAATCCAGCCAGCCTCTTTCATGGTTACGTGGTGCAAAGTTGATGTATCCATCCGCCAAGGCTTAGCGCGGTTTCGACTTCCAGCTGAAACTGTGGTTGCAGAAGGTGACACAAACGGTTGGCACATGACTGTGTCCAAGCTAAATAGCAACATGTTGCCAGGTCATGAGTTGTGACGGTGCACTCGTACGATCAAGCTTAACATTAAATCACGGAGTACGAGTGTGTGTCCCGACGATTGCTCCAACTGAAAGGACGGTTTAGCTTTATCCACGGCCTGGACGATGTTAAATAGCAAAAATGAGCGGCGACACGGTGGAAATCGTCGAGAGAGAAAACTATGGATGTGGAGTGGCCATTAGCCAGCTTCTGGCTTCCAGCGAGTATGCTGATCCGAGGGCTCTATTTGTGAGAGGCACAGTCTCCTTTGAACAATTTCTCAACGATGGTCTTCCGTCACACTTGCTCGCAGCGCAGCAGTTTCTGAATTTTGCTCTTGATCGACCACTGAGCGACTCAGATCTGGATTTGGAGGGCTTAATTGCTGGGAAGTGTATGCAAGTTCTTGTGGAACTTTTTCAATACTCCAGGAACAAAGACTGTTTGATCGAAGCCATGCGTATCAGCGACCGTGGTCTGCAGAAGCTCCCTTCAGAGAGTGTTAACCCACGGTTCATGATCCTGCACACTCTGAGCTTGGTGCTCGAAAAGAGTTACATGTCTGGAGGTGGTCTACCAGACCTGAGTATGGCGATCCAAAGATCTCGCGAAGCAGCTAACCTTGCCAACACTAATCTGGAGAAGATTGGCGAATTGAATTTGCACATGAGCCGGACGAATCTGTCGAATCAATTGATGCTGAAGTATATGGAAATCAAGATATCTGCTGACATCAAAGAAGCGATTGAAATAAACCAGGTCGTCTACGACGCGTTCGCGAGTGACACTGTTCGGCGGGCAGAGGCATCCAGCAACCTGTCTCTGAAGTTCCTCAGGCGATACCTCCTGGCTGAACCGCAAGAGTTAGAAGATTTGAGTCAATCGATCAAACTTCTAGAGGAGTCCGTACACCTGAGTGCTCAGAATGCTCCAATGCTACCACGAAGGATCGTCAACCTCACTACTTGCCTGCAAATGAGATTTCAAGAAAAGGGGACAATCGCAGACGTTGAAGCGGCTATCCGATACTTACGGCAAGGCTTACGTGTTGTCCCTCCTAGCAGTCCCCTAGCTTCAACGCTGCAAGAATCACTATCTCACTTCACCATGATTCTCAGTCAACCAGACGCCGCTCGCGCCGCTTTCGAATTTTCACGAATCCTAAATCAAATGGCTCGCGACAACAAAGAGGGAGGGAATAAGACCGAATCTGATTCCAGAGCCGACGAAAGCGTCCACTGTCGAGACATCTTGTCTTTTCTCGATAGCCCTGATGCGCTCGTATTGTACTGGGTGCTGCTGACGTTCTGCATTTGGGCAATGGTAGCACACCTAACATATATTGGGTATGCTGCAGAGTCATCCAATGAGCAGACCCGTCGGTTGGAGGTATCCCTACAAGACCAAATCGAACGCTGGCTCGAGTCAGATGATCAAAACGATTTGATGGAAGCAATTTCACTCGTCAAGAGCTCCGTTCTCAACGGCCCCGATAGTTTTCTCGCTCGAGAGAAAAGTCTGGTCGATAGGAGACAACAGCTTATATCATTTGCGTCCCTCTTGAGTGGGCTTGTTCCAGGTCCCAGCATTCTCAAGATCGACATAGAGCTTAGTCTATATGAGGCGTCTCTGGAGATTATGCCCATTTCTTCGCCTGAACAAATCGACCTTGTGAATTATCTGGCAAATTTATATCTTGCCCGGTTTCGGCTGGGCGGAGACCGGAATGACCTTGATAAAGGTCTTTTGACGACCCAAATTGGCCTTGAGCAGGCTGAACCGAGCGAATCACGCAATTATCTCATGGTCACACATGCATCAATGCTATCGATGCAATATGAGGTGACCAATGCTCTTGGAGACATGAAGCAGTCAATTGACTGGCTTTGCAGAGCACTCTGCCAATTACCAGGAACCTCTAACAATAATGTGCTTCGGGGCAGCATCCTTGGAAGCCTTGCACGTAATCTGTCACTGTACCGGAGGGATGTTGGATTCCCTCATATTGCGCAAGAGGCAATTATCTTGTTGATTAATGCACTCAGCCTTCCGAAGCTCTCGAAGGATAGTCTCTTTCAGATAACACACACTCTTAGTGCTTTGCTTTCTAACAAAGACAACGAAAATCAGGAGACCAAATATTTAGACATATGTCTCCAGATTTCAGAAGCAAATCTTGAATTTGCGCCACCTAGCCATCCCAGACGCTGTGAGGCTCTTCGAAGCCTAGGACATAAACTCCGAAGCCGGCATAGGATCAGCAAAAAAGTTGAGGACATTAATAGAGCCATAGCTCTTACCGAGGAAGCCATTGAAATCATACCCAAGACTTCCGTGCGACGAAGTGAATATCTGCTACCGCTGGCGGATGCCCTAGAACAAAGGGCTGACGCACTGAACTCTTTGGCCGATAACAACGCTGCAATCGAAAGATTTGTCGAAGCATTCAACAACGAGTATACGGCATATCAAGTGATGCGAATCAAGGCTGCCGGAAACGCAACTCGAATGCTAGTAAGGGAGAAACGCTATTTGGAAGCCAGTGCGCTTCTCGCCAAAGCGGTTTCAATCTCATCCGTACTAGCTTCAAAATGGACCGAGACGGGCGATATACAACGTATAGTCGGCGACGTGAACGGATTGCCATCAGATGCTGCAGCCATGGCACTTGAGGCCGGGAAGTCACCGTGGGAGGCGTTGAATCTTCTTGAGACGGGGCGGGGAATCATTCTTGGTGCGAGCATGGAAATGCGACGCGACGTTTCGAAACTCAAATCCATAAGCCCTCAAGACTACGAAGAATACGAGTTGCTCAGAGATAGCGTAGCGGATCCACACGCTGCGTCTCGAGGTGAGAACACCGGCGCCAGGGCTGCAGGAGAGACTGCCCCTGGGCGCAGGATGCAGCAGTACCAAAAGCTCGAGGAGGTGATGACGCGGATTAGAGCCATCCCCGGCCTCGAGGACTTTAACTGTCTCCCATCCGAAGCGAAGCTGATGGAGCTGGTGGAGTCAGGACCAGTGGTCACTGTGCTGAGCAGTCTTTACACTGATCACACATGGGCCATTCTTATTTCGAGAAACGGGATACAGCCCCTCCTCTTAGAGGACTTGACATTTGCGGCGCTTGAACGACACGTCAGTCGACTGGTGGCGGCAGTCGACTACGATGTGTTTACTTTCTTCCAGAAAGGCCGACAGGTGCAAGAGGTGCTGTCGTGGCTCTGGGATGTGGCTGTCTATCCAATTCTGAAGGCCCTGGGTTTCGACTTGGAAGCGTCGAAGCCAATGATTGAGCTCCCTAGAATTTGGTGGATTGCAGCTGGCTGGGTGAGCCAACTTCCCTTCCACGCTGCCGGACATCCAGGCAGATGGAACCGATCTACCATGGACCATGTGATCTCTTCATACATTCCCACCATCAAGGCTTTGAGTTATGCAAGAGAGCAGCCGCCACTTGGTACCGGTGCGCAAAATAATGGGGTTTCAATTGTAACTATGAAGACAACGCCAGGCTTCCAAGACTTGGCGATGGCAGAAGAGGAGGCGCAAGTTATCAGCCAGATTCTGACAGAATGTGCCGTTCCATCGACACATCTGCAACAACCAAACGCATTCAAAGTGCTTGACCAGCTCAAGTCGTGCCAGATGATGCATTTTGCCTGCCATGGACAAAGCGACCAGGAGGACCCTCTAGAAAGTCACCTCCTCCTGGAGAAAAAGGACGCATTCGGTCAAAGCCAGCTCGACCGCTTGACCGTTCACGCCATTATCCAGGCCAAATCCAGCAAGGCCACGTTGGCATACCTCTCCGGCTGTCTCACGGCGAATAACCCGGTCCTGCATCAAGCCGACGAGAGTCTCTCCCTGAGCAGTGTCTTCCAACTCGCGGGTTTCCGGCACGTCATTGGAACATACTGGACCTCAAAGGACGAGGCCTGTAAAGAAGTTGCGCGAGGCTTTTACACGGCGCTCTTCGATGCACGTCACGCCCATATAAACCCGGATCGGCGGGTCGCTCTTGCGTATCACATGGCTTTGACAGAGTGGCGCAAGAAAAAACCCAAGAATCCGCTCTGGTGGGTGCCGTTCGTTCACATAGGAGCCTGAACGGCACTCAATCTTGCGGCTGACGTAGGCCAGAATTGCGAGGCTTTGCTCGAATGCATGGGAAACACTCTCACTCGGATTTGCATTGTCTCAATCGCAAACTCCGTCAGAACATCGGCGGTTAGCATGGCACGAGAGTCTTGTATTAGATGGACTTCCGCCCAAGGGCCGATATTGTACTTGCCTGTAATCAAAACTAGTCATACGGCCAGGGGATGGTCGTTAGTTCGGGATACTAAAGAACGTTAATGTAGATAGATTAAAAGGACATCCGGCTGAAAAAGGGGAAGACTTGCTCGGTCCTGGAATTCGCGGACAGAGTCAAGAGATAGCATAGGATTCTCATCTTCAACCCATTCGTTGACACGGCGTCATGCATTCCTACTAAATAGGTACCTAGGTAAGTAAAGAGACCAAGGGTGCCCAGAGCCGAAGCCTGAGGCGTTAGATTAGGAGGACCTAAAGATGTCTAGCTTCACCACCTAATTAGTTAGTAGGTGGCTACCTATAATTTATTTTGTGATGATAATGGGCCCTGTACCAAGTTCCGAAGGTCCCAGGTGCCTACCTCAGCTACTTAACTAACTTAGGTACCTCCCTAAAGGGTGGTAGGTACCTAACTAGGGAGGGAGTAGGTAGGGGTAATGGCTGCTGCCTGCTTCCCCCAAACATCTCTTGGCACGTTTTCCGGGCTCACCTAACTACCTAAGTAACTAACTAACCTGCCTACCTGCCCTTCAAGTTCTTTACATCTTAAGCAGATATTACCTTCTTGTTCTCATGTTCTTCTCAGACAAGCCTCTACCATGCGTCAGCAGCGGTCGGCCTGTGATCACTGCAGAGGCCAGAAGGTCCGGTGCCTACGCAACAAGCAGTTAGACAGCGAAATATGCGTCCGATGTTTGCGAATTGGAGTTGAGTGCATCACGAGTAAGTCACGACGTCTGGGACGTCCTCGTGGCCCAAAGGCGGCTGAGCGAAAACCAACGTCTACCACGAAAGGGACATCGAAACTTCAAGTTATCAGGGCCCATGAGACCCCAAGCACAGATTTGATGGCGGAAGACTTGGAAATACCTTCAGAGCTATGGATGCCTTCAAATTCGAACTGCTCCTCAGGCGTACTTCTCGGCCCGTCAAACAGTATATGCGTCGACCACGGAAGTCTACCACCTGTCACGACGTTTGGATCGACCACACACTGTGCTTCCGACCTACTGATGCCGTTTGATGACAGCTTCTTCAACGCAGAGTCGTTCTTGGAACTCCCTGGGCAGGCTCGCGACAGCCCGAGTTATGTGACATATGCGCAAAGCCTGGGAGACATGTACCATCTCGATGCCTCGGAGCCTGCAGACTCACTAAGTGCCCTCGCACGATTGAATGAACACATCTCCAGACAAATACCCCATGTCGACGCGTATCTATCGCGGCCTGACAACGAACCACAGCATTGCCGCAACGACATTTCAGACAGCAAGGGAAAGCCTGCTGATGATATACTGCAAAGCACCTCCAGGTTTATTACCATTCTTGAAGCCTTGAAGACATCATCTACCTTAGCACAAGCGCCCATCTCGTCTGTCGTAAGGCAACCACCAACCTTGGATCCTGACAACAACGAGTCAAGCTTCCAAGGAAGCGGGTTGCCACCCAGTCAATCAGTCTCATCAGAAATTCGAGCCCCCATGTTCCCAGTGCCTTGGAGTACACCACTTGTATTGATGATGCTTTCAAGTTACATCCTACTTCTGGATCTCTACGACACCGTCTTTCGCCACGTTTATGACAAGATCTCTCGCGTAAAGAACTTTTCGAAATTCTCGCAGGACATGCCTGAGATCAAAGTAGGTGGCTTGTCATCGATGAAAGTCCATCTGTATGCTAAGATCGTCATCCAAACCATTGAGCATCATTTTGACCGCATTGAACAACTTCTAGGACTTCCGGTGGAGTTTCGCCTGTCAGCGCAAGACCCATGCTCCGACGGACTGTTAGGCAATGCAAACCTTTTGCATCTTCTCAGCATCGCCATGATGCAGATTACAGGCAATCCCGGAAGATCAGGTACAACGACACTAAAATCGTTCCGAGACAACCTGAAAGGTGTCCAGGCCATTCTGCCTGATTGACAGACCGAGACTCTATTCCGGCCTACTACACTAAACGTACAAGTACCGTACCCCATGGTCTGCCAGTGTGCCAATCTGCTATGAGAAGCATCTCGAAGCACTCAATTCAAGCAGTCCCATGTTCCTCGGTGCCTCAACCTTTCCAGTCGCTTGAAAAAAGACCTTACCACCACAAGATACGAATAAACTCCCCAATGGAGCCACTGTAGACAGAGCATCGCCGAAATTTGTCTGAAAATTTGTGGATAGAATTACTTGACATTTCCATCCTCCTCATAAGCTGTCCTTATTGTCGGCTTCTTCTCCATGCCGAACTCGGTCTCAAGTTCCTGACGGAGGGGTACATCTTTCTCCAGAAATACGAGAGCAAGGCCAAGCGCAGCAAAACCTATCCCAACTTGCCATGTTCGACGAAGACTCTGATTTAAAACCGCGATGAATTCTTCACGAGTCGTCTCGGACAAGGTGTGAAGAAAAGCGGCTGTGGCATGGCTATATGCTTTGCCATTAACTACCTGGCTTCGAATGAAAGTGTCTGTGATGGTAGTCGTCGCAAGCTCATCGAAGCGATTGTTGAATATCGCGGCAGGAATAGCGGTACCCCAGATGACGCCAAAAGAGCGTAAAAATGCCCAAGTTGACGTTGCAAGCGCCGTGTCGCGTTCTGTCAGCGGTGCCATAACCGCAGGAAGCAATGTTGGAACAACGAGGCCGACTCCAGCCGCTCCTATCGCTTGGTATCCCACCCACGCACCGGTGGAAGAGTTCGAATCCAAGAGATTGAAAAGCCCAAAGCTTAATGCTATCAGTGCGAAGCCTGCGACATGGAAAGGTCGGTAAACGCCGAACTTCGACAAAGCTACCCCTCCCAATGCAGCAAATGGCATCAGCACCAGGATACTCGGCAGTAGTTGAACTCCTGAATATGAAGGTGAGGAGCCGAGAACACCTTGAAAGTAGACAGGCAGAAAATAGATGGTCCACATGGTGACGATGCCATGTAACAAAGTCAATATATATGCCGTGGCTGACGTACGATTTGCCATCAAATGAAGTGGCATGGTTGGTTGACTGGGAAACCGAGAACCTTCAAACATGACGAATAATGCTAGGCCTGCCAAACCGATAGCCAGGGGAACAAGAACATGGTAAGATGACCATGTATACACGGCGCCTGCCCAGGACAGTGCAATGAGAACGCTAGAGGTTGAACCAACCAAGATGAAATTCCCAACCCAGTCTATCGATGTCAGTCTGGTGACATAGCTGGTATTCCTGTTCCATGTCACCCTCAAGAAGACAAATAGCAATACCAGAGCGACACCTCCAATGGGAAGATTCAGCCAAAATACCTGTGATTGTCAGTACAAAGAACAAAGACTTTGAGCATCCCGCCAGTCACATACCCATCGCCAGCCCGCAGGAGAATCAACAATGAGCCCGCCGATGAACGGTCCCACGGCTGTACCGATGGCGATCAAGCCCATGACGACTGCCATGTAGTTGCCTCGTTGTCTTAGTGGTACCAAATCGCAAACGATCATTTCGACGAGGACACCAATACCGCTTGCACCGACTCCTTGCACCACACGACCAGTGATTAGCATTTCTATGCTGGTGGTCCCGCCACAAATCCCGCTGCCGAGGATGAAAATTGCCGCAGCACTGATAGTTGGCCACCGCCTCCCAAATAGATTCGCAAGCTGTCCATACAGTGGCAGCAATGCAGTCCTGGTGTGAGAATTAGCTGCGGCGCTTCTCCCAGATGTGGCTGCTCGAGGAGCCGAGTGTGAGAGAGGTCCCTTCTGACTTACATGGCTAGGAAATACCCATTTGCCGTCCAGATGAAAAGATCACCACCGCCGAGATCAGCAATGATGGATGGCAAGGCGGTGGATGTGATTGTGGCTTCCAACGATGTGAGCAGACTTGTGAAGCTGAGTGCGACCAGGATCAGCCAAAATTGCAAGCCTTTCTTGGAGTTGGTCGTGGTGGATTCCTTTGAGGTTTCTGCCTCTCTTGAAACAGGTGTATCGACATTCTCTTTCTTGTCTTCGTCCATGATCATCTGAGTATTCGAGGTTGGCGCGGTCTCGTGTCCTCCATCATCTCTGGGATTCGGCTTTCGCTCGTGGTTCTCTGCATTGGGGAAATCCATGCTCTTCTCACGTCGGGCGAGTTTCTGGGAGATTGGAGAGATAGCAAGGCACGCAACAGTCAGCCAATTGTTGCTGATGACAGATGTTTATGATGATCTTGCAGAGAGCATTCGAGAGGTAATCTTTGCACAACGAAATGGAAGAAACAAATGCAAGATATGCAAGGCAAAAGAACTCGATCACAATCGCATCAAGGAGTCTTGGTGTCCTTGTAACTGATGCATTGCAGGCCACGACTGGAATATATACTCCCTTCAGCACTATCACGTATTCTTAAATCGGAGGTCTTTTCGACCAATGACAATCGGAGTTTTCGGCATTTTGGCTCGGAGGCTTTTCTTGCTGCCTGCCAGCTCAGATTAAGCGAAGCACATAGCATAGTCGATTCGCAGAGCTTTCTCTGTCACCGGAAACAGATATCCTCCGTGCGCCATTCTCAATGGTGGCTGGAGAACGAGGAGGACTCTAGGAGAGAACCTGAAGCGTCCAGGAGCGGCGTAGCAGATTCTCAAAGCGACTCGCCAACTACGGTGTCCTTGGCACTATCGAGAAACATCATGAAAAGATACGAGTTGCGACAAAAGGATCTGCGAAGCTACACGACCGCTGCTTCGACTCTAAAATCAATGACAATGCACGCCCTTGTCACTAATCTTTTGTCGACGAAATACAATCCGAACCTTTCAGCCATTGGCATTGCGATGGTGGAGGAGATCTCCATCTCCTCGACTTGCCGCATTGAGGTTAGTGGATCGTTGTTGTTCCAATGATTGAGAAACTTGGTGCTCCCACTTATCTCCCTTTATTTTCGTTGGATTCCGTTATGGGGGGCAATTATCAGTGGGTGTCGAGATAAGTGATGAATTGAGCCCCCCATCATCCTCATCTCCTCGACTTTCCCGATCGGGACGACTACGCTTCTCTGATCTGGAATCGATAAATTCCACGTAATATCCCTCAAGTTACATGGATTATTTAGATCAACTACTCGCCTAATCAATAATCACAACAGTCCAGACTTTCGACATGTTGATGCCGCTCGTTGCCTCGCTGGCATGGGTCATTTTCATCTTCGTACGGGCCATCCAGGCATATCAGACCAACGTACCAGGCCCCTGGTACACCCATCTCACCACTCTGGTTCTCAAGTACCATGAGTTTACGAAGAATCGTCGGCTTTGGATCCACGAGCTTCATCGACGATATGGACCTGTGGTTCGCTTATCTCCAAATGAGGTCTCCTTTGCCAACTTGGAAGGCATGAAAGAGATCTATCAAAGCGGTGGTAGTGGATATGACAAGACTGAGTTCTATGACCTGTTCAAACAGTATAATCATCGGTATGTTCGGATATCGTTTCGTCAACTATGGGCAAAACTGAGATATGATAGGACAATGTTCTCGACCTTGAATCGGCATGATCACTCGCAAAGAAAGAAGCTCTTTGCCGAGAGATATGCCATGACGAATATTATGAATTCCCAGATCGTGGAGGGCTTCCAGCAACGCACAGCCAGTGTAATGAAGAAGTGTGAAGCGTCTCTAGGCACTTGTCTTGACATTTATGTACGTTGTACCTCCTGTGCGCAGAGGTGACCTCAACTAAATCAAACACTAGGTGGTACTTCATTGTTATGCACTCGACTGTGCATCTCACTTTCTTTTGAACCCTGGTGGCACCGATACTCTCAACAACCCGCAACATTTCAAAATGATGGAAGAGCTTTCATATCACGACAGCATCAAGCGTACGTTGAGCCAATCCGCGTCAAGGCTAGTATTTTAATGTGTGATTTAGAGAGATGGATACAATACTACTGGCCACTTCTGGACAAGATCAACACATTCTTCAGTCCAAAATCGACTCCGCTATCCAAGAATTATATGATTGATCGCGTTCAAAACACCGAAGCCCAGGAGTCGTCACTTCTCCACAGACTCCAAGCGAAATCAGCTCAACTGAGTAGCGTCTCGATAGCAGCGGAATGTATGGACCATATGGCTGCCGGAATTGACACCACAGGGGACGGGCTCTGTTTCCTGATGCATGAATTGTCCTTGCCTCGCTCTCAGATATTTCAGAAACGCCTACATGAGGAGATTATCCAGAACCCAGAAGTCAAGCTTAACAATCTACCGTATCTTGATGCTGTCATCAAGGAGGGTCTCAGACTATTCCCACCGATCCCTATGAGCTTACCACGGTATGTACCGCGGGAGGGCAGTACCATCAGCGGCTACGAGCTTCCTGGCGGCTCCATTGTCAGCTGCCAGGCTTACTCAATGCATCTCCTCGACGAAGAGGTCTTTCCCAACGCCGAGAAATTCCTGCCTGAACGCTGGTTGGAGAAAGAAGGTGAAATGGAGCGGAATCGTCTGTTCTTCGCCTTTGCTTCGGGTGGCAGAGGCTGCATAGGAAAGAAGTAAGTCGGCGTGGCTGCCATGCAGGTATTGTTGAAGATGCTGACAATTTCTCCTACAGCTTGGCACTGGTCGAGATGAAGACAGTGCTGCGTGAAATATATGGTAGGTTTGTCACAACTGTGGCGCCCGAAATGAAAGGTGATATGGCAATTGATGATCAAATCATTGCTTCGAGGCCCAAGGATCAAACCTGTCTGTTGAATTTTGAAGTCATCGGACAGTAGGTAGTGATTGAGATCTGGTGGGAAGCAAGTGGAGAATGACATTAGCCATCGCTCGAAACATGGGCTTTTGTCCCGTTTAGACGTCCAAATAGACAGTTTAAGACACCTGTTCCACCATTGTCAGTAGTATTAACTCATAAATGATGAAATGAACCATCCTCCTGATGGCCTTTCATTATCTTCATTGTGGTGCACCATGATAAAGCAGCAACACTGCCGCCTTAAAAACTAGGCCTTGGCACTCTGTTGAGCCTCGGTAGGACTGATGATTTGGACGACGGACATTGATACGCAGACTCAATATCTCGCTCTGCGGGATAAATCTACTTCATATTCTCCTTTGGTCCTAATGGCCGGTGCCTTTTGAGGTGATGGATTACTGCAACACTCCTCTGCGGTGAAATGCAAGAGACTCCTCCAGCGCGCCATCATGGAATATCTGAATGCGCTGCAGTCCCCAGTTGATGAACTGAAACCCTCTCTCTTCGAACTCCTCGCAGAACAACAACTCTCATCTCTACTCCCGCCTACACTCCGCTACCTCCTTGCGGTTGCTACGCACCGATACCCTCGCTACTTGCTACGCGTCCTGAACAACTACGATGAAGTCTATGCCCTGCTCGGGATTATCGTGGAGAAATACTACCTCAAGACCTTCGGCGGCAGTTTCACCGAAAATTTTTATGCCTTGAAGCGCGAGAAGGTATTGCGCGTGGATGGCGGCGAGATCAAAAGAACCCAGCTGGCGGTGCCTGATGAAGTCCGCCAGAGGTTAAAACTGGGCGGCGCTGACATATGGAAGAACCTGCTAGTCATGGTCGGCATACCATATCTGAAGAGGAAGCTGGATGAGAGTTATGACATCCACATCGCTCCCAGCGCCAGTCTGCTCATGAGTGGTAGCCATGGGGGTCCGCGGTATTTGGACCGTGATGCGATGCCGCCGAATCCAACTGTCAAGCAGAGGTTCCTCTTTTACTACAAGTGGTTTCTGCGGAATGTCTATCCCAGCGTGAACGCGGCCTACTATTTCAGCATCCTCGCTTTCAGCTTGGGCTATCTCTTTGATAACACCAAATACCCCAGTCCTTTCCTGTGGATGATCGGGACTAGAATGAGAAGGATGGGAGCAGCAGACTTTCGAGCTATCGATGCTGCCTCTGCAGCTGCGGAGAAGGCTACCACGGCAGCAGGCAGACCGGGACAGGGCCTCAGTGGCATCCTCAGTCCGAGAACATTGTATCCTCGGTTGTTGTCTAGTTTGAAGATACTATTGCCAACTAGTATTTTCGCATTGAAATTCCTGGAGTGGTGGCACGCCAGCGATTTCTCCCGACAATTGACCCGAAAGGCTGCTGAGGGTCTCGAACTACCGCCACCAATTGTCTCCGGGATGGATCTGGCAACTAAGCCGGTGGCAGAGAAGGAGACAAGAGGCATCACCGCAAAGAATAGCGCCAAACGCTCTCCTCCACTCTCGAGCACGACTTATCTTCCTATTTTTACAGTCCCTCCACCACCATCCAGTGACCTTTGTCCCATCTGCCTCCATCCAATCTCAACCGCGGCAGCGTGCCAAACGGGCTATGTGTATGATTTCAAATGCATTTTCCAGTGGGTTGAGGGACAACACGAACGACAGGAGGCTTTCATGAAAGGTGAAAAGACCAATGAATGGGAAGACGATGAAGACAACGACGAGGACGAGAAGACAGATGGCCACAAGTCCAAAGAACAGAAAAGTCGCGAAGGGAGCTGGGAGAGCGGCAAGGGTCGCTGTGCTGTCACGGGTCGAAGAGTACTCGGCGGGACGAGTGGCCTGCGCCGGGTGATGGTCTAGAGCTGCCATGCTCATGAAGTCAGTTCGAGATGCCCTTCAATCATGGAGCGTGCTGAATCATGATTCACAAGCCCTCAGGTGCAATACCCACCTATCGCTCAAGACTGTGCAAATTCGGAGCTGGGTCACGACGCCCCACACGCCGTTTTCGACACCGAAATGATATACAAGAGTCAAAGAGATGTTCCTCGAGAAGGTCCTCGCCGGTATAACTCTTCCAAGTCGTTCTTGCGAAGTACGAGCATCTGAATAACTTTTTTGAAGTTTGGATCCTCAAATTTGACAGAATATCACGTGTGCTTCCCAGTTGATATCTATATAGCTGGCACCAGCCTTCGAAAGCACGCCGGCGGCATTTTGTCTCCACAATTTTTACAGAGCTTCAATGGCCCCAACCAGGGAGGGCAAGTCAAAAGACGTCCGCGGGAGACTTGACGTGATCTGTGACCCATGGTCTTCGCATTTTTGCTCAACGCTAAAGCTCAAGGACTCCCTGTCCATTATTTGAGCTTTGGAAGTCAAAGGCCCAAGACTGGTCGAAATCACAGCATCTCGCTAACGCAATGATTGAAGGACTGAACTTCAATTGCATTCCTTGTCCCGGCTGGCCAGGCTTACTTTTGAATCTGATGTTCAGGGGCAAGCGATTGTTCTCCACTTGGACCCGGGATAGAGCAGCAACTTTAGCCTTCATGCACCGAGCGAGCCCGGTACTCCACATGGCGGGCTTATTCGCCGAGGCAGTGATAAGGAAGCGAAAGGAATTCGGCTATCATTCCCGTGGGGCTCTTTACACGAATTCGGTTGCTGGCGAGCTGGGGACGACTTCAGATACTCCATAGTTTAGAGCAGCAAACATTTACATGTATTTATGATATCCAATATCTTGCGTCGAGGTTGAATGAACGCTACAAGTTGACAATCAGCTTCTGAGTTCGCCAGGGTAATGCATATCCATTGAACCATCGAACCAGGGCGACTAGTCGTCAAGAGACTTCCTCAAGCCTCCGCTTGGTATTCCATTCGCTGTCTAAAGTGTGCAATGGAGTGACAATACGTTGGGTCTACCATCTTCCCTGATTGAAGTCCATCACTTTGTGGATTTGAACTCCGCAAGGTGGGATGACGGTAAGGGGCTGAAACAATCCTATTGCTTGGCAGCGCACTTCAATCTTCAAGTTCACAGGTTCAGTCACGAGATATCGATTGCCATTTCTCAGACCACAGGCCCCAGGGCCAACATGACTGCTGGTGATGATAAGCGTGTAGAAGCAAACATCGTTATTCGGATCATTGCTATCGCAGGCACATTACATATGAATCCGAACGATGGCAACGTGGGTGACAGCAGTCACTCGAGAACTATCCTCTAGCAGTCATGAACGCCCAGCCAAGTCAACTTCCGAATCCCTGCATACACGTTGAGTCTGAAACAAAATCCATCCTCTGGCCTGCCGGCCGGTAATCTTGACTTCTACCAGCGGATCTGATGTGATCATGTCCCAAAGATCCAGCGTTTCCGATCCAGCCCCCCACAACACTTTTCCCAAGTTCAAGCATTGTCCTCTTCATTGTTCGGCACAACTAGGCTGCCAAATATCTATGTAAGTGACTTCGACCACATGTCCCATGCCCAATTTTCCATAGCTTCTCCTATCATTCCCTGTCAGCAATACAGCTAGCCCTGCTGGCCCCTCCAGTGTGAAACTTGCCAGTTAAGCCAGCATATGCTGAGGCTGAGATTGGTATTCGCCACTTCGAGAAGATGGAGACTTCACAGCCTCAGCAAATGGTATATATGTCCTTTATTACTTTTCGCGATGAACGTCCATTCTTTTTCCCTCCAAAGCACAGGATTTCTCCCAACATTTCCAAGCAGGTCTTTCGTTTGCAAGGTCAATTGACCGTTTCGTTCATTTATCCCACATTCGTTTCACACAGTCTTCATTGATTGAAGTCAGTCCTCATCACTCTCTTTGTGGACTATTTCACAGTGCAATCGACTTGCAATTAAATAACTTCGTCATTCTCGAGACTCACCTATATCTTACCTCACCAATCTTCTACGATGTCTTTCGCCAAGTCTACAGCCGTTTTTGGCGTGCTTGCCCTTCTTTCCAAGGTCCAAGCACATGGCCACGTAACTGGCGTTGTTGCTGGCGGTGAATGGTATTCTGGATACATTCCATCCTTCGTTTATCAGAGCAAGCCTCCAGTTGTAGCTGGGTGGACCACTAAGGGTGTCGTCGACAACGGATTTGTCAGTGATTACAACTCACCTGATATCATTTGCCACAAGGGCGCTACCCCTGGTGGCAGCTATATCAAGGTCGCTGCTGGTTCAAGCATTGATCTTCAGTGGACGGCATGGCCTGAGTCTCACCATGGCCCGGTTATGGACTTCCTCGCCGCTTGTGGAGATGATTGCACGACTGTTGACAAGACCAAACTCCTCTTCAACAAGATCGACGAGTCTGGACTGATCGACGGTAGCAATAATCCAGGCCTGTGGGCATCAGATGATCTTATTGCCAACAATAACACCTGGAGTGTAACAATTCCTTCCAGCATTGCCCCTGGCAAATATGTTCTTCGTCACGACACCATTGCTCTGCATTCGGCCTTTGATGTCGGTGGCTCACAGGCATATCCCCAGTGCTTCAACCTTGAAATCACTGGTTCGGGCTCAAATACTCTTCCCAGTGGAACCAAAGGTACCGACCTTTACAATGATGAGGATCCCGGTATCCACATCAACATCTACTATCCCAAGCTGACCTCATACACCATTCCCGGACCTCCCCTGATCGACGGAACCTCATCTGGTCCTCAACCAGGACCAAGCTCAGCCGCATCCTCGAGTACCACCAGCGCTGCAGCTGCAACTTCCGTAGCCGCTTCGTCGTCCACCAGCACCACCAGCAAGAGCGGCTGGGGCGTAGACATCACTGCCAGCGTAACTGCTCCTGGCCAGGTCATCTCAACCAATGTATCTCCCGCCAGCTCAAGCTCAACGAGCACCACCACCACCACCACCACCACCAATGCAGGTCGACCAAGCAAACCCGCTACGTCTGCACCTTCCGAGCCTTCCACCTCTCAAGCACCTCCTCCCGGTCCCAAGCCAGAGAGCTCAGCTGCTCCTCCCCCACCACCGCCACCACCAGCCAACACTGTTAATCCCGCGGAAGGAAATACTGGGGGAAACCCCGGAGGCAATGGAGGCAATGGAGGGTGGGGCAACGGCGGCGCACCCACCAGCCCGGTCTCATTCACCAGCACCGTGACCGGCCGTATTGGCAGGCCGACGAAATTCACCTGCTACATCGAGGAGTAGATTGTGTTTCAAGCAGGCATCACGCAACATTCCGCAGAGTCATTCAGTCGATGACAGCTCCTCAGCGACTGTATTCTTCATCCGTTAGCTCTCAGTCTCCAATGCATGCATCATGAGCTGGGACGAGGCTATCACCTTTATTTTTCGATTCTCATGTACAAAATTTATATAGCCATGCTGGTTTGTTTCGCTGTGCTGGGAGCCAGGGGCATTTGACAGTAGTTTTTGGATGGTATGAACGACGAAACAATGAGAAATCATGCTTGTGAGGGTGAACATGCCAGTACTAGATACGGCGGCCCTTAATTAAGCCTTTGGAGATCCAAATCTACTTTTTCTTCTTGTTCTGGTGATGTGATTTATCCCGGCTCATTACGGCTCATTCAGCGTGACCTCCTCCCCAGCCTTTATGCGTCCGAAACACTTCTTCCACAATTCATTCTCCTCGCCCAGGTAATAGTACAAGTCGGTTGAATCCATCCCAGTTTCCTCACCACCTTCCATCCCCTCCAGTTGCGCAATCACATTCCCCAACCCAAACGCCTTGCCCACACTCTGCGTCGCGCCCGCCTCCAACATGACATGCACCACGTGCACGTGGAAATGGTAGTACGTCGGCTGATAATGGATGTAGCACTTGAGCTCATCGGCGTCGACCTCGCCGGGAGGGAACACGCGCGTCGTCGCAGCCTCGACGATGCGATCGCGCATCTCCTTCAGCCAGGGGACGTGCTTCTTCTTAAGATCGCGCAGCGACCAGATGTCGCGCCGCTGCACCAGCGCCAGCAGGTGCATGCCCTGCACGGTCTTGCGGTCCCAGTTGAGGTCTGGCAGCAGCAGGAACCCGGAGTGGGACGCCGAGTCCCACGCCACCCGTGCAATCACGTCTTCCTGTTCCGTCCGTCCGTCCAGGATGTTGAAGATCCAGTCCAGTCGCCCCGCCGTGCGTTGCCGCGATATGAACGGTTGGATGTGCGTCTTGTAGATGCTCGGTGTTTCTGTCACCATCCGTACCCGCTGCGCTGAGTATTTCCGGATGTGCTGTGCGGTGCATGGGTAGATGAGGTTGAGTTTCAGATCTGGGAGGATGGTTGGTGGTGGTGGTGATGATGCCGGTGTTGAGGAGACTATGTCGGATTTTGAGGGGGGTGGTGGTGGTGGTGGTTGAGCTGGGCTGGCTGAGGCGGAGCGGTTCGCCATGTACCATCTGTAGATGTCATTTGCGCCGAGATTGGTCGTATTGGTGAGTGACTGGAGTAGAGTCGAGACTAGAGCTGTGTCGGTTGGAAATGCTGCTCGTTCTAAAGTGATCAGTGCTGGCTTTGAGGCGATGTTGCCAAGAAGCGTGATTCGGCGGCCATTTTGGTCTGGGGTGGGAGTTAGTGATCTTTCTGGACGACTTTGGGAAAAGTTTGATAGCTCATATAGGCCGATTGAAGCAGGAATATACATGATGGCATACCTTGATTAAGGACTCGCTCGAGTTGGAATTGAGGAACCAGAGCCTCGGCCTCGGCCTTTGTTTCCGGTTGAGAAGCCATTGAGACTGGTCTTCTTCGGGAATGAGAACAAGGCCTGATGTGTATGTCGTTGAAATGAAGATCTAGGGTGCTCGAGGTGGCCTTCTCATTACTCGGTCGGCAAGGCTGAGTGACCCTGAGTGCTCGCTTCTTTCACGCCTAGGGGTTTGTGGCTTTTGACTTGGGTCGAATTCTCATCGACAGAAGCTCTTCACGGTGAATTTCTGAGAGAAGATGATACAGTGGCCCGATGAGACACTTCAAGGAGAGCCTCAACACTCCCTGCAGCTCCAAGCTCGGAATGGAGAAGGGTGAAGCCCTTCAAAACTGAACCGTCGGGCTGGTGCATCGGAGCAGGGAAAATCATTATTGCGGGTATCGACCGGAAAAACTTCGGAGAAATTCGACCGTCCGGTTGGGAAGAAACTCCAAGAATCCAAAATTCTCCAGAAGCATGTTGCTCAAACTAGGGCAGCCTCTCTTGCAACACACCTCCCAGCGAGGGATGATGGAGGGGGCAGTCCTGTCCTCAAACTGGAAGAAACTACAAGCCAGCCTGAAGTCCACTAAACCCACCGAGTCGTCCTCCAAAACTGTGACCAAGTCCAGCCATGGAGTGAAGCGCAAGCGTGAGCCCCTCCGACCGGGACCACTGAAACAGTCCATAAGCCAGCAGACGCAGAAACCAAGGAAGAAAGCACGCATGGAGAATTCGATGACGCAAAATGGGGTATCGAGACCTCCGAGAACGATTCAAGATATGGAGAATTCGGAATCTGCGCTTCCTCTTCGGCCGGTCCTTACGGCGGCTGACTTGGTCAACTGCGGGCTGTCGGCGAAGTGAGTCTCTGATTGTCTACATCCACTGTCACTGGACAGGTACTAAAGCCTATCTCTCACAGCGTCGAAGTTGGGAGATACATCGCCATTGACTGTGAAATGGTCGGCGTCGGGCCCAACCCCGATCGAGAGTCCGCACTGGCACGGGTCAGCGTGGTGAACTACAACGGCGAGCAAGTCTACGACTCGTACGTGATACCCAAAGAACCAGTCACAGACTGGCGAACACATGTCAGCGGGATCACTCCACAGCATATAAAGATCGCGCGGTCGTTGGAAGAGGTGCAAGCGGAGATCTCGAACCTTGTCAAGGACAGAGTACTCATTGGACATGCGATTCGCCATGATCTTGATGCTTTGATGCTCGGGCATCCGAAAAGAGACATACGCGACACTGCACGCCATGCGCCGTATAGAAAGTTGGCTGGCGGGAGTTCTCCGAGGTTGAAGATACTCGCGTCCGAGTTGCTGGGGCTTGAAATACAGGATGGGGCCCATTCTAGTGTCGAGGATGCTAGGGCTTGTATCCTGCTATTTCGACGTGATAAAGCAGCCTTCGAACGAGATCACGCAAAGAAATGGCCTACCCGAGTTCCTGTGGAACCAACAGAGACCGACGAGCAGTCGACAGCCAAGAAACCTCGGAAGAAAAAGAAGAAGAAGAAACACTGATCCATCGATCAACAGTTATTGATAGGAGATTCAAGATGCAAGAATCTATCGATAACCAGCTACGAGGTGTTCACTGCTCATAAAGGTACTTCCTCCATCGTCTCCATGGCACCTTCGCGAGCCGCTGTAATGATCACATCACCGAGAGTTTTGGTATTGAAACCAGCTTCACAATATGTGAAGTAGTACTGCAATAGAGAGTCAGCTTCTCCTGTTGTAACTCGGGAATTCAGTATCAACTTACCTCCCACTTCCGTCGAAAGAGAGCCACGTCACTGGAAGTCATGCCTTCATGCTCAGCCAGCAATGCTGGTCGAATCCGTGTATCGAAATTCTTCTGGAAGTTTTCTCTCCATAACCTCAATGTCTTTGCATAATGAGGACCAATATTCTCGATGGCATCCACCACCAACAGACTTGAACTCCCTTTATTGATAGAATCCACCAATTGCGAAACTGTCGGCAAGTGACCTCCGGGAAAGATGTATTTGCGAATAAAGTCATCGCCCTTGGAGTATGCTTCATATCTTGACTCCGGCATTGTAATACATTGGAAGACTGCAATACCTCCTTCTGGCTTTAGGAGTTTGTGAACACATTCGAAATATGTGGTCAGGAATTCCCTTCCAACAGCTTCGATCATCTCGATGCTGATCACCTTGTCATATGGTCCTTCGCGGGGCATTGGCAAGGCTCGGTAGTCACATAGTAACACTTCAATGTTCTCTGTCAGACCGGCTTTGGCTATTCGACGATCGGCAAGGTCTTTTTGTTCTCGGCTGAGGGTGAGGGAGGTTATTCGACAGCCTGTCCTCTGCACGGCTCGTATGGCAAGACTGCCCCATCCTGTACCGATTTCGAGAACATGATCGGTGGATTTGATCTTTGCATTATCGATGAACCTGTCAAGTTTTCGCATCTGCGCCTCCTCGAGAGATTCTTCTTTTTTACCGGGCTGGAGGTCCGATATTGGCTTCCAAATCGGGCAAGAGTAGGTCATGTCTGGGGAAAGGAATGCCTCGAACATTGCATTGCTAATATCATAGTGAGCACTGATGTTCAATTGAGCATTCGCCAGGGTATTCGTCCGACGTAAGAAAGCGCTGATGGTAGAGGATATGGAGGAGGTGATTGTGGAGGCATTTGCGAGCTTATTGCGGTTCAAGATGAAGACCTGCAGATTTGATCAGTCACGGCAGTTGTGATAGTTACGAGCCGCTCACTCGAAAGAAAGCCGTCAAATCTGGACATTCGACATCTCCTAACATGAAGGATTCTGCGAAACCCTGCACGAAGATTCAGTGTCTACACCGATGAGATTGGAGCTACGTGTCGAACCATATCGGCAAAGAGTGCCAGGCGCACCCAGAAAGAGTCTCGGACGACGCGCAACTCAGTCGCAGGCTTGACATTATCTCCTTTTGCATCTCCGCAAACCGTACTTGTGCCGTCTCTTTCGATTACGGTGAGGCGACCCTGTTTGATCTGGGAAAGCAAAGAGAGGATGATTGATCGGGACGTCTGAACTAAGGGGCCCCAAGCGACTGCGCCGGCATAGTTGCGCACTCGATCTAGAGCTGATGTCACCAGAGAAGTCATGCTTGGATTGAGAGGGAGAGGAATCGCGAGCTACGACATGCAAAGGGCATCAAGAGTCGAACGCTGGAGAGCAAAGAATCTATGATTCAATCCAGGCAAAATAAGACTAAGCGAAGAGAGAAGGAATGGAGAAAAGTGAAAGAACGACCTCGAGACTGCGGATTGTCTGGGATTTCTATCTGAGGCATTTGACCGCCCACATTGTCGGTTGAATTGTGAAGGCGCGACCGAGACGCAGAATGCACCAGTCCAACAAAACTTACGTGGATCGGGAGAGGATTCGACTCAGATGGCCCCTCCAATATTCACAGGTGGGGTACTGACAGCTAGTGGAGCGTCTAGTTTTGTTCACTTTGCTTGAGTCAAAGCTTCTTTTCGAAGCATTTTGTCGATTCACCAGGTGGTGACGGGGGCTTCGGTTCGGTCGCAGCGATCTGGATCTGGCACAGCCGACGCCGCACCATGTGAGTACTTGTAGCTTGCAAAAGAGCTACAAAGTTCTCTTCGAATCCCCGAATATGGCTTCATCTCTTCCATTCAGAAAAAACCAGAGTAATCAGAAATCTCGTGTACGCAGAAATGTACCATGTACGATGACGTTTACATTCGACATATTCGACATGGTGTTGGCGTGTCGATGCATGTGCCTGACGATCCGAGCCCCATGCAGGGACTCCTAAGAGTCCTACCGTGTTCCTCCTGCCACCATGTACTCGTAATAATGTGTTTCGGCATCTTCTTGTGCCGACTAAAGTTCGTAATCATACACGCTATCCGAAACGTTTCTACCAGCAGTGATCTAGACCTAGAAGCGCATCTCCGGCTATAGCTATTGGTTGTTTTCATAATGGAGATTAGGCAAGTCCGGCAGCAGGAAGTTCCTTGTGCACGTGACCTGGTGAGGGGAGATCTGCCAAGACCGGATCCCCGCTCGTGAGATAAGATAAGATGGCACAATCTTAAAGTGGCACCGCATTTGGCACACGCGACGCGTCAAGGATTATTGGAACTCACACTGAAAGAGTAGCCCATGCAAACCTGGGTATGACTGGGAACCAGAAGACTGCCTTGATTGGATTATATCGATCCAAAATTGAAATAAATATTTTTTGGTGAGAACTCCTGGTATTGTGCAGCAAATTCATCACCGGACCCGGAAAGGTAACACCTCTTCTCGGAGAGGGCACATCCATCAGCAATAACAGTTTTCCACAATGGGAACGCAAGACTCCGGCTTCCTGCCAATCTCCTTCTCTTCAACATTTCCACAACAGGCTTTCAGGCTTGTGGAACTGCCCCCGGAGTTGGTTGCATTAATTGAAGCAAGAAAGGAGATCCGTCTTCCTAGGTAAGCGAGAACAGTGGTTAACAGCCTTTCTATGTTTCAAACCCGTGCTGACATAATGCTATGAAGATTACAATTCAAATCAGCAGGCCAGCCACTCCAGCATAATAGCAGCCACTCATCATTGGGCGGTCATGGTTCTGCTGGGGCCACAGCAACATCTGAAGGCTTTCTCCACCTATGCAGCGAGGAGAAGGTTTGGGCGGTGAAGCAAGTCAGCACGAGCAACACTGTCTTCGTGACGAAAGCCTGTGATGCGCCTATCAATGACAGAGATCTTGAAGGAGATGTCGACATGGATGAATCTGAAGAGGCTCCACCTGCCGAGGGCCGCGACGACATGAGTGGGACCGGAAAGCCATCGAAAGGAGTCACTACGATCGCTGAAGTGAAGAGCATCCTCGAATTAATCCCAGTGGAGCCATCGGAAGATTCCGTTCAGGAACAAATGCTCTCAATGGTGCATGCTCTGACTGATCGTTCAATGGACGTCCATCTCTCTGAGCCTCACGACAGGACATCATATAGTTTCCAGGAAGTACTGGATAACATTCCCGCCCCCACCGCGGTCTGCTGCCGGGTGGCCAAGAATCTGTTGCTCATCCACGATCCAGCATCTTCAGACCCAGCACGAAAAATCTGTTCATCCGCGGAACCGTCGCTCCTGCTTTCTGCGTGGAAAGAGTTCATGCAGCAGTGCATCATCCTCGGATACAAGATTGATGCACCAGCTAGAGCACAAACACATTCCGAACCGCCAACCTTCAGCACGGTCTTCCAACAGCTGGAAGAACAACACGACCAAGGCCTTAACGCCACTGCCGGCGACTTCCCAAGCACGCTCATCCGCGCCATCTTACGCCGTTTCAAGACAAGATCGATACTAGTCCCAAAATCAAGCCTCGACGACATGGGAAAGGACATGCTCGACGACGAGTTCGACTGGGCTGCCGAGCCTCTAAACAGCGGATGGGATGCCGAACATCTAACACTGAAGCTCGGAGAATGGCAGCTGCAGAATCTCCTCATGCCCGACATCGGGTCGACAGACACCAGCAAGAAGGATATCCGCACCGACGTCTTCCTCGACACGCACTGGAAAGATCTGGTCCCGGACTCGTGGCACCCGTTCTGCAGCGTCGACGCTCTGCTCGCACTGATGAACAGAACCTCCGCCGTAGTCGAACTGTTCAAGGCATCTGTCCCAGACGAGTTCGGTATACCTGAGCAGAAGGACTTCATTCGGGTTGCAGGCACAGGTACAGTGCAGGGCATGGGGTCGGGGATCAAAGCAATAAGTGCTACGACGACAGGCGGTGATCTTGGGAGGGTGTCGGCTGAGACTCTCGCTGCAGCAGCAGCCAAGAATCAGAAGAAGAGAAAGTGGCACGAGAAGTTCGGCGCGCAGAGGAATGCTGCAAGCAAGAAATAGGCTAGGAGAGGACATGTGGGAACATCCGATGTCCATAGTGATTTGGCCGTCGTCCGCTACATGATTGATAGATACATCATGCCAGAAATCATGAGACGCTGAATCTTCCAGACCTGATTGATTGTGTAACTTCACGTCTGATCACTTGTTTCGCTAGTCCTAAAGCAGGGATACGTCTATCTATGTCTGCGGGAAGTGCTACCAATGCTGTGCTAAAAGGGGTATTTGTGCTTGTTTGTCATATGGAATTGGGAGGGAAAGGGGAGTCGGTCCATTTAAAGCAGCATGTTCCGGGAAGGCAAGACATCCTCCAAATCTTCCATCCATACCATCATTTGTTCATCCACTGTTCATATCCACACTTGATTCCGCATGCGCTGCACATGTTGCAGGTATTCCAGCGCGTACCTTTCAGTCTCGACTCGGTTTCCTCGCAGATTTCAACAGCCTCCACACTGCATGGAACGCGGACATGCTGTTCTCGAGACAAAGTTGTTGAATGAGTACGGGTCGATCAGCCTGTACGACCAATCAATCACACGCTCAGCTCTCTCAAGCCACGAGCTCTCTCAACCGCCCCTTCTCCTCCTCAGTAAGCTGTTCAAACAAGGCCGCGAAGCCGTCCCTCCCGGCCTCGTTCTTGAACCACTGGAGAAGATACTCCGCCGTCTCCTCATCACGCACGCGCGATCCGGTCGGACTGGCTGCACGATCCATCCCGGCAAGCGAACCCTCACCCACAAGCCCCATCAGATCGTTTCGAACGCTCTCGCTCGCGAGGTCGATTGCACCAGCCGTGCCCACGTCCTCCCAGTCGTCGGCGTCTTCGGCATCTGAGTCCACCTCATCCAGCGCATCGGCCGCGGCCTGTGCGGCTGCGAGATTGGGGAATTGCGAGGTTGCGGCGCTGGAGAGCTCGTCGACCATCAGTTTCAAGATTTTCAGGTCGGCAGGGATGCTGGTCCACCGGTCCGGGTTGAGTTTGGCTTGCGAGCGGGTTTTGATTCGTCCGCTTGGGTTCGCGTCGATGATCAGATCGCCTTTCACTGTGACGGCTTTGATCCGCGCGTCTTGGAGGGCAAACAGCTTGGAGAGTGCGACGACGTTCTGTCGTACTTCGTCGAAGCCGGCGAAATGTACGGAGTTCTCGAGCCATTTGGTCAGCACGACGCTGAAGCCCGGTGTGCCATTGATGTTGAGTTCGGAGAGGAAGTCGACCACTTCTTTGGGTGCTGCGATTGTCAGTCCGACGAACACCATGCAGAGTGATTGGATGAATTGGATGCGATCGGCGGTTGCAAGGCGGATAGCCACGGCGCGGAGTAAATCCATGAGGTAAGGTCCTAGTTTGTCTGCGCCGCATTTGCTAACGAGGGTCGATGCAAGTGTGCCGACTTCACTACCAGCGTTTTCGTCCACATCACGTGAGTTGAGTAGACGATTGATGATCGTTAGTGTGACTTCGATGGATGATTTTCTCTGAGGATCAGTCCAAGCCAAGTACTGCTGTGTGCCTTTAGAAAGCATGTGCTCAACAGCAAGAGTTGCAGGCCGAACAAGTTCGGCTTCGGTGGCTTCCATAAGAACTCGTTGTAGTTTTGGCATTACAGCATTGACAAAGCCATCAGGGAGAGGTTCGGAACCAAATTCTGCCAGTGCACTAACAAGCTCTGCAGCGAGATTTGTCAGTGCAGATTCCTGGGTCATGTTTGCAATATCGAAGGCTCCTGTCAACGCAGGAATGGTCTTTGCACAAAGACGAACATATGGCTCAGAGCCATGGGCGGCCACTGAACTGACGATGCCTTCGAACGCTTCAGTTAGAAGACTGAACAGTTGGAAATTTCCCGCGCCATCGGATGCTAGCGTGAAAAAGATATCAATCGCATTTGACTCCGTAACTGTCGTCGTGTCAAGCATAATGGCATCGCGCAGTGTTTGAATGATGGCTGCCTTGATATCGTCGGCATCCTCAAGCTCGTCTCGGAGGTCATGCGATGTGATGAATTCGTTGATGACATTGATGATTGCACCTTGCATAGGATGGGTGATGTTGGAGGGCAATGCCTCAAGGTAGTCAGGGATGATGCTGATACATGAAATCTTGACCACGTCTGATGGGTCAGTTCCAGCTGCACTAATTGCATTCGTGAACGATGCGGCTGCTGCATCATAGTATCCATCCCCAGTAACTTTGAACAAGCAGCCGAGGGTTAAGTGAGCTGCGGCTCGCATGAAGATCTGACTATCCTGCAGGGATACGGAGACTTGTTCAAGTAGAGCTGAAGCAGTCGTCTGTTGAAGCTTGCCTGATACATCGTCAACCTCCTTCAGACTTTGATTGAGAAGGAATAACAACGCTTCTCGTTCCTTCCAACCCGCGTTTTGTGTCAAGAGAGTTTGTTGATTGAAATGAAGCATCGCCACGATGGGGATTTGTTTCAGCCATTCACCCAAGCTCCGGACAACAAGTTCGGCACATGCAGCACGAGGAGTGTAAGCTGCAGTGAGAGAGGTTGCTTCACAAAGATACAGGTTAGAGTCGTACTCCCAAAGACCTTCCTCTTCTTTTGGAATTTTTGCGAACTGAACAAGGACTCGGATTAATTCCTGGAGCCATTGAACAGTATGCTGTGCATCTCCTAACTGCTTCATTTGTGTTGACAATTCGGATCGAACTGGTGGAGCTCTGATGGTGACTTGTAAGAAGTCGATTTCTTCGAGAACTAAAGCGTCGAGGCTGCATGGGAGATTGTCACTATCAACCAACTTGCCCTCAGCACTTCCTTCGACGAAGAGGTCTGAATATGGAGCCGCAAGTCTCGAGAGCTCTTCCCATACAACCTGGAACAGTCCTACAGCGTGAGGAGATATAGCTTGGACATAGACTTGGCGGAGTTTGTCTAGAGTCTGAAGTGGGTTTTTAGCTTTTGGTTCGTAGGAAGAACGAGTCAGGGGAATAATTCTGGCTTACCTTGATGGCTTGGACCTTTAACGCAACCAGGCCACGCAACTGGGTGTCGTTTTGATCAATTGTGGAACCTTCAGTACGGGACAGGGGCTCTTTGATGGTTTCGGTGAAAAAGGGCATCCAAGTGGTGATGGACTCATTCAAGAATGCCTTGACTGCAGGACCATGATCAGCCATGACCATTTCCAACATCTCGAAACAGGATCGGAAGACATTGAGAGTCATGGCTCGTACGATCAATGCACGATTGTTGTCCAGTGCGACATGCTGCAAAGCACCAACCAATTCCTGTGCCACGGCGAAAAATTGTTGCTCCGTCAGCCCAGAGTCAATCAATTCAGAAAGAACTCGAAGAGCTCCATGGATTGGTCCATCGTCGGTCGAAGTATTGAGAATGTTGAGCAAGGACGGAAATAAATTTGGCCACGAATCTGGAAAATCTACACTTGCGATCTTACTAGCCACCCCAGCAGCCAGCCCCTGGATACTGGTTTCTTTGGGTGCTTGATCAGCCGAGGCTGTGCAAATAGCGAGGATTTGATCACGGATTCTGGCCTTGGCGTCCTCATTCAGATACACATTCCCGGTGAAAGTCTCGTCGAATTGAGGTGACCAGGTCTGAAGGACATAACTTTTGAGTGAGGTCAGGGCGGCTTTCCTAGAGCCGGCTTCGATATTTTGATGTGTTGCGATGGTTAGTAGAGCAAAGGGAAAATCTGTCTGCGGGTACAATTGGAGTAGTCCCTGTTCAGCTGCTTTGATGACAACCGTGTCAGGTCGAGTTGTCGCCTGGAGAAGCTGAAGGACCTGCTCCTCCATGATGAGCGCAAGGCTGGACTGGTATGGTGGGGAACTTTAGCTTCACAATGTTCAAGGGGCAAGGAGGCCCGTGGAACAGAGGGTGTGGGGTCACAAAGAAGTTTATGGAGACAATTTATGGACAAAGGCGTAACCGAATTCGACAGCAGTGCGCTCGAGCAATAAAAAGCTGAATCCGACTGTCAACCAAATTCCAAGGTCGTGGTGTGAAATGTTTGATGACATCTAGCTAGAAAGCGGGATAATGGGTACATACTCGCAGGCGGCGCGACGCGTCGAAACACTCACACTCACGCTCACGTGCTGCCCGTGCCAAGACTTCATGCTCACAAGGACGTGAGTGACGCCGCCCTAATCGTCCCCCTACCTGAGGCATGCTATTCATGCCGCCCTATACTTTATCCCTCTGAGACATTTTAGGTGCCACTGTCACCTTCACCTTCACCCACACCCATGGTTGAACCAATGTTGATGTATGGGCATACGAGACCAGCACTATCTAGTGTAGTTCCACCCGATCTTAGTCATTCCGTTGCATGATATATCTCATTGGGACTAGGTCGCGCTCTCGACGATGCGTTACGATATTCCAGGGTGATCCCTCGTACACGAGATAGGGAACATGTTCCACGGCACAGAGGTGTCCATAAGTTCCAAAAGTGGCCTTCGCGATTCTTGGCGGATCTCCTCCACTTCTATCAACTTCAGTGATGTATTCACTCCTACTGGAGACACTCAGGAATGCAATATGACCGCAAGCTGAGTCATTCTATACCGCGGAAATCGTTGCCCCTCTAGTCTGCGATGGAGCCCTGGAAAACGATATGAGAGTACAGAGCAGCTCTTGGGGGCGTCCACAGCTCAACTTCGTAAGGCAAGACACGAATCATCCAGGACACGGCAACTAATCATTGAGGCTAAGAAGGCTGCATCTGAAGCTTCTCCTGCGACAAGCCTCTGTTCCACCAGTAGAAAAGCTTGAGGCTGAATGATGTGGCCCGAATTTGCTCATCGGCTCGATGAACTAGATTCAGGTTCACAATCACTATTCATAGCGCGGCCTCTGGTATCTTCCGAGCACATGGCATGGCAAGTTCCGGGAGAAAGTGCATTACCCATTGCACTGCTACTTATTGTTCCAAAGACCTTCAACTCAGCCACGGTGTCTGCTGCAAACTGCCATGAAGCCTCTCCAGCTTGTTTTTATCGACACGGATTTCCGTGATCAAACAGAGCGAGAAAAAGGATTGCTCTCGTCGAAGATTCGCTCGCATAACGCCAGAGTTTACCATGCGAAACGAAACCCACCGAAGAAGTTCGTGGCTCAACCACTACAACGCTCTTTCAAGCAGTTGACGGCGAGTTTCAACATAGCGCCTTCAGATGCGAGTGAAGTTTCGAGGCAGATCGCCGGTGAAAACGCGTTTCGGCCTGGTAACAGCCTTGAACATGATGATGACGACAGCGATGTCGAGGATGCGCCTCAGCATCAGCAGCGGCTGTTCGCTTTCTTATGTCAGCGGTGGAAAGAATCAGTGCGGACTGAATTCTCGGGCAACGTACCCAAACACATCGCAATATGTAAGATGGTCACTCATTTTACCTCCATAGATTCTTACTGCTTCAATCAGACCAAAGAATGATCGTGCCCACCATACAACTAGCATTTGACGTCTTCCACGTTCGCAACTCGCACAACCACGAATTCATGCAGTGGATGACGAAGCCCGCGACGTCGGCTTACCATGCCGGAGCAGCTGGACTACAGCTGCTCTTTGACATGCAAGTCTCGCCAGGCTGTGGGCAAACCCGACAATGTCTTTCTCACAAAGTAAAGGCATTGGAGTATCTGCGACAGACAGTATCGACGTCACCGAGCAGCGTGTCTGACGACGAGCTGTTGGTCATTCTGTCTCTAGCGTCGGTCGAGGTAAGTCACTGCAAAGAAGAACGCCGTGGACCATCGTACCGTTTCCTGACGTGACTCAGCGTACGGTTGATATGAGAGCACACCACTATCATCTCGAGGTTCTAGCCAAAATTGTGGCTGCACAGGGCGGGCTAGAGCGGGTTGCCGACCATCCTAAATGCACAATCTCACAGTAAGCCTGCTTGTAACACGACGACAGAAGACTCGATATCTGATGCCAGCGTTTTTCCACCCTACAGATTCGATGCCTGGTGGAGCCTGTCTACAGGGTCGCGCTTCTTTTCCACTCCTCAGTATCTCCCTCAGCCAGCGGCAAGCGCCGAGGTGATGTCGACCAGGTACCGAGACGAGATCAAGGACCTTCCCAGCGGGTTTCAAGCCGTCATCCTCAACGGCGCATTCTCGTCGAGCATCATCGAGATTCTCATTCGACTGACGTTCGTGTACCGCAAGGCATGCCTCGAGCGGGACGCACGGGGTAACCTCGTGGGCCTGCCATACACGGCTCGCCCGGTGTGGCGGACGTTCCAGGAAGCGTGCCCGGCGCTCGACGCACCAGGTCCAGACACGGAGAAACTCCTGGCCTTGGCTGTCGTGCTCTACTGCGGCATCGGCTTCGACTCGGCACCTATTTCCAGCAATGGCGGGTTGGCAGCGAGAGCTGAGCTTTTCAAATTGCTTAAACAGGATACGCCGCCGTCAGCTTCTACACAGGAGGAGCATCATTTTCACTTCTGGATCTGGGTCGTGACCATTTGTGCTTGGCAAACTCCGTCAGGGAGTGGTCTTCTCCCGCCAGGAATTGAACTTCTCCGAGTCCTGCGAGAAAGGTTCCCAAGTCTAACCGAGCCCAGGGCTGCGGAACATGCCTTGGGGATGTTTTTCTGGAAGAAACGGCTCACTGGCCTGTTGGCACAGGAGGATTTCTGTGCCCCGCGCCAGTCAGCCTAGAGAACAAGCATTCAAGCAGTATGGCTTGGTCTATAGGCACTTTGGCGAATAGGCTGCCGCGGAAGTTCCCTCGGATTCCCGCGGGCTCCTTGATGCTCTGTGACAGCCGTTGATCACTGAGCTGGACCAAGCAAGAGCTTCTAGCGGGGTCGGATGCGAGATCCGTCACGACAGGACTGACCTCAGACGACCTCGTGCTTTCGCCAGATTTAGGATCACAAGGAAATCAATTACTTATTGGAACAGACAACAGTGATACAATTACCCTACAAGCAGTTGTGGGCATTGATAAGTAAGCATTCGACCTTAGCAGCCCAGGTAAATACAACATATGAGTTGGCCTCAGCAGGAGTTAGATGGTGATTGGTATCATGCAAAGGATAAGAAACTGTTGCCATCTGCGATCCAATACCAGCAAACCCCGTTTCCAAACAGCGCTCCTTTTCTGTGAATTCCTGCCCTTTCAGGTAGACAAATAAAACCGCACATTCGTCTCTGTCCCTCCGTAAGCCGCCCAATCCAACTCGGCCCGTCGCTTGTTGATGATAGGGACTTCTTTGTCTCCAATGACACCTTTCCACTCAACACACCTGCGTGTTATAAGGTCTAGTCTGATGATGATCAGCGCCGCAGCAAGGTTCGGTTGTTTCTGCCTGCCAATTACCATAATGAGAAGAACATCAATTGTAAAGGCTTCCTCTTGGGCGAGACGTGCGAATTGCTTGAACTTCCATCTCCAGTCTGAGACTCTCCACAGCAACCCAGGAACTATATTCTTTGGCGTTTGAACCACCTGATCAACCACTTCGATGAATGTGTGATCGAAATTGTGGAGAGCCAATAGTCTCACACGCGTCAATGCAGGCAGGCGATCTCTGTTGATGTGAACGAAAGTATTGAGATTCACCGAGATTGTGGTGACCGCTCGGAGTAGATCACATGGTAGCCTTGCTAGTGGGTCGTGTCGTCCGAATTCATCGAAGATAATCAGCTGAGTTTGAGTGTTCAAAATCGGAATCGCTTCTTCTCTTATAAATTTGCAAGTGTTGAGTATTGAGGTATCGACGTCGCTCAACATTCCGTACACGGCGAGTTCATTAACACGATCTATCCTGGCCATTTGACCTTTGAAAACGTACAGTTTGCTGCCTTGAAATAGAAATCGATAAATGATCTCAGATATTTCAACGGGTAGACCGAGGAAATGAAGCCTGTAGTCGTGGCGGACACCCAGGGAGGAAGTTGATCCGGGGAGAATCGCATCAGAGTCACCACTTGTATGCAATTTGCAGGACTGTGAATGCTTGGGTTTAGCCAAGTTTGGTGGTCGACTGAAAGAGTTACTAAGTGAAAGCGTCTCCTGTTGGACTGTCGATACCTGCGGCGCAGAGTTGGCAGTTAGATGTGAATGTGCGGGGAGAGCAGAGTGTGACGGTGCAAAGATGTAATCGAAACCTGTCCGGTCGAAGGACTGTAGATAGAGTCTAGCCTGTCGCACTTCATCGTCTCTCGCTGTCCGTCCCGAGTTAGAGCACATGGTGGCTGTGAGTGGAATCTTTGTCTAACAGGGCGATACAGCGTAATTCGCGCTTCTTCGCGGCCGAGACTTGATTGAAAGCGATCTGATGAGCCGTAAACTTGTGAAACACTAGAAATAAATGGTCCAATATCCTCGAACGATAGTTTCTTGGTAAGCAAGATAGTGAGAAAATGAATGATGGAAATCCTAGGTTGGGGGTTTTGCTGATGTTCAAGTCCCAGAGTCATGGCAAAGCGAAACCAGGCAGACCTGTTCCCAGTGGGAAGCCACGATAGCGTTGCATTCAACTTGCACCTGCTCTCTCTCCTTCCCAAGAATGTGCAGGAAGAGCGCGGTCCCTTTGAACGGAAGAGAGAGCAGGTATGTGTTGAAATTATCCTCTTGATTTTAGTTGCTAATCAAAACCATGCGTTGGTTCGTAGAAATCATCTGAAAATGGATGACCCCAACAGCATACCAGCCAGGAGCACACATTTCAATGGCAAAAGAGTCGGAGATCGATCGATGGGGGAAGAAAATCCATGGAACTAATAAAAGCCAGCCCAGGCATTTCGGCCGTTGTACCGTGGGCCTTTTGACTTTCGGAGCACTTTCGGAAGATCGACGTCAATGACTGCGTGCTAAAGCAAGCCAGTCAGCATTGTCAGACCATCATTACAGTGACATGAGTTCCATACAATAGTCTCGTCCGACAGAGAAGACACGACATATTGACAACAAAGGAGGATCCTGAATGGCCGTTCGTTGGCACATAGGCTGGTGAAGGATCTGTTGATCCGTCCAAGATTGAATAATGCCAACGCGATCATACAATCATCCCCTGCATCACTCTCCAGATAAGATTCATCATGATACTTGCACCAAACTGTGATATTGCGAAACTCCACTGTCTCCAGAGCCGAGAAGCTGTTGAATTCCATAGGAGTTTTCGAAAAGGAGCCGACATTCAGCATCACGGCTTTGGTGATCGCTGATACATACCGAGGTGGTATCCGATCAATATTGTTCAGTGAACTGCCAACCTGCAATGTGGTTGCTGCGAGTAGGTAGGGCGTTGCTTCATGCCGTAGCTGTCCGCATGTACTGAGAATCTGGTAGGGGAACGCACATGAGCAGATGGGAGAGCCACAATGCCGGGATTCTGGAGTTCCGCCTTCAACCGACAATCGTGCGCCTTCGAAAAGGAATTCATATATCTTGATACGAATTTCCGCGGGAAGATCTAGAAGGTTGGTGCATTCCGATGCTGGTAAGACAGCATCCATGTTCGACTCGGCTACTCAAGTAGGAGTCCAGAAAAGGACAATTAGCAAGGAAGGTCATGTTGATACGAAGGTCCATCTTGAATTCCATCAAGGCACGTCGTCGAATATACTCAGACCTTCGACCTCATCCCCCGCTCAGCTTTGGCGGAAGGCATCCCGGTCCAGACCCCGAGGGCTCGTGTTTGGGTTGCATGATGCGTCATTCTGCCAGCCCAATTAACCTTCCGAGATCGGCGAGATGGAGATAAATCCCTTGGATGAGCCCTTCAGCCAACCGTGTGAATCCACCGTCGGGGAAAGGTGAAAAGTGATTCTACGAGGCATTATCTTGTACACCGGTGTCATTATCCCAAGTGATGGAAGTGCCTTCACTAGGCAGGTCAGAGGATGAGGGTTTGGACCACATGTTAATTAGTCCTGCCACTCAGTTGTCTGATCAGAATTGTCTCTGCAGGGCAAGTCTACGCGAGAGTCTTTCAGGGAGTCAAAAGATTGACCTTACGAGTACTTTGTTGACGGCATAGACCCGAAATATCAAGTACATGACATAGCAGGGCAGGAATAGATTCAGCACAGTTCAGTATGATTACCGTCTTATTTTGGCCTGCCCGAAACCCCGTACGACATGATGCATAGCTATTCAGAATAATATAATGTTACAGGTAACCTTCCCCCAAACTGGTACTGGTACTGTACACTTGGTTCAAAAGGACCGCGGGAGCAGAAGTAGAACGCGTCCTGAAAGTCTCAGTATGGTTGCCAGATGGGCGGGCAGGTGGGTGAACGAATTCATTCAATCACATCGTTCATCGAGCGGAAATGGCCGATATCCATTTCTGTTCGTCCTTCCTGTAGGTGCGCACGTACCGGTCAGCCATGTTCTTGCAGGTCGTCATTGTAGCAAAGGAAACAGAAAAGAAAAATCACCAACATACCGATCAAAATGCAGCAACATCCCCAACACGGGAATCAACTGTCTCTGATGCCCTTTGTCCTTCTGTTCCAGAAACTGTAGTAATACATTTTTCAAATAGACGTAATCGACCGTCCCTTGACTGAGGCCTCCACCGGGCATGGTGGGTGTTTCGCTGCGGCTGTTGTTGCTCGACAGGCCCTGGCGCTCCTTGGGAGCCGGCGAGCGCGCACTCGCTGAATCGATCGAGGTGCGTGAACTGGGGACGCCCGAGTCGATCCCAGTGCCTGCGCGACCGGGAAGTCTGAGATTCTTGACGCCGGATTGCGCGGCCTTGAGCTCTTCTGTCAAGGTCTTGTTCGCCTTGGTCAATTTCTCGACTCGTTCACGTGCCTCCTCTCCGCCCCTTCTGAGATCGGCTTTCTGGCTGTCGAGTTCCCGTACTTGTCTTTCACTTTCATCAAGTGCCTCTCTCAGACCAGACATGGCGGATCGCACTTCCTCCACTTCCTTGGTTGCTCTGGTGGCAATCTGTTCAAGGTCGTCTCTTCGTCTTTTCCAGTCTTTCTGTCTGGTTTCGAGTTCGTCCTTTTCATCTTCCAAGATCTTCAGTGCTCTTTGCGTATCACGAGCTTTGCTCCTCGCCTCTTCGACCTCACGCATCATCCGACGATTGCTGACACTCGCCTCATCTTCAACACGGTCTCTTTCTTCAATGGCGGCGTCCATGCGTTCTTTCATTTCACGTATTCGAGCTTCTGTGCCATTTTGAGACTGGTCTAAAAGCATACGCATTGTCTGGCCTTCGCGTGTTCTTTCCGAGAGCATTCGTTGTGCTTCGGTCAATTCCTCTTCCAAATTATCGGCCCTGGTAATTGACTCGCGTGCCTGCATGTTAAGCTCATGAGTCTGATCTCGCAACGACTGCACAAGTGACTGAGCTGATGAGTGTAAAGCTGTCTTCATAGACACCTCCTCCTTCAATGTGGAGACTTGGCGAGTATGTTGGGCCAACTGTTCTTCCAAGTCACGAAGTTTCGCCTTGAGAGTTGTGGACTCCTCTTTGGCTTTGGTCAAATCCTTACTTAACTGTTCTGAGCTGCTCAAGGCCTCTTGACGGCGGGACTCTGCCGTACTTAACTCGCCTTGCGTCTTATCAAGTTCCTTCTCTATCTTGGTACGGTTGTTTGTCTCCTGCTCAATCTTCTGCTGGAGCTCTTTGATTTCCGTATCCTTGTCGCTCAGCCTCTTACCGAGACCCTTAAGCTCGGATTTGAGATCTTCGTGTCGGGCCTCAAGACGGTTGAGCTCGCCTATCTTGTTTTTCAAATCCTCCTTGGCTGATTTGAGTTCAGCTACTTCACTCCGCAAACTGCGTAGCTCTGGCTGGGCTTTAGCAAGGACCTCTTTCAGGTCAGTGATATCTTTGAATCTAGCAGTAGCTAGTTGTTCAGCTGCTGCCAGATCCTTCTGTAGCGTGGCGCATCGGCCTTGCATCTCGTCATACTGCTCGGTAATCTGTTTGTGAGCTTTCTCCGTGTCAGCACCAATCGCGAGGGCTTTTCGTGCTTCCAAAAGTTCCTTTTCAAGTGCATCTACAGATGATCGAAGCGTCTTTTGTTCGTTGTGAGCCGTCTTGAGCGCGTCTCGTGCTTCGACATGCTCCTCTCCTTGATGAAGGAGATCATCTCGTAGGGTCTCAATCTCTTCTTGCAAAGCTTCCTGGTCCTTGATCTGTTTCGTGAGCCGGTCGATCGATGCATTCTTTGTGGAGAGCTCCTCCTTGAGTCCAAGTAAGTCAGACTCCAATCTCGATATTCGTGATTGTGAATCATTGGTGATAGTCTCTGTTGCATCAACAACGTTCAAGTCCTCTGAGACCTTAACGGGAGTTTCAATGTCAATCTCCTCTGCGGCAACTTGCTGTCCTTTCCCTTTCTTCTTCTTTTTGTTGTTCTTCTTCTTGGATGCAGACGTGCCGGCCTCAGAAGGGGCTGGTGAAGGACCGGGCGCTGGAGCTAACGAATTTGTTCCCGTCGCTTTTTGCAGGCCAAAGTTGTCTGAGAGATATTTTACAACATCTTCTCGAGTCTTCAGACTATCTATAGAAGGCTTACTGTTCTCGTCCAGGAACCCGAACACTTTGGTGGACGGGCGGCTGGAGTACTCATCCTTATTGGACTGAACCTCAGCCTTGAGCTCGGCAACTGTGGTTTCAGCCACGTTCAATTGCCCACGCAGAGTATCCATAATTTTCTGCATGGTCGCAAGCTGTTTGTCACTCGATTGAGTGCTCGACTTTTCCTTGGCTTCTTCCCGCTCAGCTGATTTGTACGATGCCAGAGTATCTTCCAGGTCTTTGACAATTGAATCTTTCTGTGCAAGTTTTTCGTTCAGAATATTCGCATCTTTGGCTCGAGATTCCGACAATTCTTTTAGCTCAGTATTCTGGGTCTCGAGTTCTTGGATTTGCTTTTCGAGTTTCTGGCACTGCTCAATTGCCTCTGATTTCTGTTTTTGCAGGTTGTCGATCTCTGTCTGGAAATCCTCGGATGAGGCGGAGGCTGACTTGGATTTAACCTCGAGATCATCAAGCTGGGTCTGTAGACTGAGTTTGACTTCCTCAAACTTGTCCTTGGCCTCACGCAACGAATGTAATTCTCGGGTCGCCGTCTCTAGACTCTGTACCATGCTTTCAGTGGATTCACGTGCAACCTTCAAGTCGCCCTTCAGGTTGTTGACTTGGTGCTTCAATGCCTCCACTTCAGACTGCCGTTCTTGGAGCTCCGACTCCAATCTGGCATGCTCAGAATCAAAGGAGAACAGATCCTCCGAAGTCTCTTTGGGTGTTGGTGATGTAGGTTTTTGACGGGGGGAGAAGAGTGAGAAGCTGGCAATTCGGGAGGACGTTGACGCGGGAGATTTTGCCATCGATTCCGCATCGGTGTTGTCCTTAGTAGAGTCGATGTCAGTAGGTGCCACTGTGATCGAGTCCGAGATTGAAACAGGCTTTTCAACCTCCAAGGAGGGCTCAGTGGAAATGACGGGGACTGGCTTGTCTTTCAAGGTAGTGATCTCGTCTCTCAATTTGGCAGCATCTTCTTCAGAAGCCTGCAGCCTCTTTTTAACGTCGTCCCTATCTGTGGTGACTCTTTTTAACTCATCCCGGACCATGTCCCCTTTCAAGTTGACCTGAGACAAGTATTCCACGAAGGCATCGGCATCATTAACACTGGTCAAAGGTGTATTCTCCCGCAGGGCAGATTCGAAAGCGTCAACAGCCTGAATACGAGCATGGGCGGAGCGGTAGGCCTTGAGCAATTCGCCGTATCTCGTCTCCATTCGTTCCAACTTGCGGAGTCTGACGCGGACATCTGTAGGAAGTTCTTGAGGGCGTGGTGGGGCGGCTTGACTCGTGGAGGATTCAGAGGGTTTCTTCTCAATGGAAACATCCTGAGAAGTGCGTGCCTCAGTTGGCTCTTCGGTAGTGGTCGACGTGGCCGGCTTCTCGTTCTCGGTCTCTTTCACTGTCTCGGCGTTCTGATCCTTCTCCTTGATCTCAGGCATAGGTGTAGCTACCCTGCTGGGCACAGCGCTGTCGTCATCACCGATTGCAAACTCGGGCTCGAACTCGGAGGGATCAGGGCTTTTGCCAGCCGCGGCAGTATCGTCTATTTGCTCCCGTTGACGTGAAGGTCGTCTTGGGACAGCGCCATTTTGACCCTGAGGACGTCTCCGGGGAGGAGTACGCGTGGTCTGTTGGGCACCGAGTTGGGCTTGTCGTTGTCGAGCCTGTTCTTCGGCGATGCGACTGTCAATAGCGCCTTTAAGGCGCTGGGCCTGGGGTCAGCGAGATGTCGGATTGTTTCAGGGTGTATTTATTCTTACCGAGAACATATCCATCCAATGCGACGGTATTTACCTGGGGAAGCCCCCCAGAAACAGTAGGAAGGGCGCACAGATAACAGAGAAGTCTCAAAGGCACGAGTTACAACATGGCAGACGAAAGTAACAATTAATTCATGGGACAGATTCCATTCCCATATGGAGTCCGCAGTCTGAACTCCGCATTCTGTCCGCAATTTGGGATGACACGTGAGCCCATCCGGAGTATCTGTTTTTCCAGACGCGAGATCGGATTATCTCCTGCTCCGGTTGTGCCTATCAAAAAATTCCATCTTGAATCTCTTCCTCCATTCATGTACCTTGGGTTTCTGTCTCAGCCAGCACATAGAGCAATCTGGAAGTCCTGTAACCAGGCACTCTCAACCCACTCAAAATGGCGTCTCTTGTCACAACTGAAGTGTTTCAACCGACTCATGATATGATTTTTCCAAACGACACTTATAATTGCCCACGTTGATGTCCACCCAGGAATGGTGTCAGCTTCTTAGAAAGAACATGTCCCGACCCGACCATAATGCTAGTCGCGAGCTCTATGTCTCAGTGTGATACCCAGAGCATATTCCCCCCCGCCTTGACCACAGCCTCTATTTTCAAAGATAAGCTGTAACTGATTCTGCTTCCATGAATGAAGTTTCGGTATGGTGTCGAAATTGGCGGAGACCAAAACCAAAACGGTTCACAATTAAGCCGGAGCACTTCCTGGCACGGCATGCCGAGAGGCGTGTCGTGGGTGGAATGGGCTTGACTAGGATGGACTGACAATGTTGACTTGGCCTTCTCTTCGTCTGCTTCTTGTTCTTGGGATCGTTTCATTTTTCCAATCTTATGATCGCGGTAGACAGTCATGGCCCCATCGTAGTTGATATTGATCCATGTGTTCCAAGTCTTGAGAACTCTTCTTGTAGACCCTCTCATTTCAATATGACATTGGCACCTCTAGCAGCGAGATACTGGTCGGGCGCACCCTGCGGCAAGCTTCTGACGACTGCGAAGATCTCCTTGTCGTGATACCTCAGCTTTGTTTTTGGATCGGTGTATCTCGCCGGCAACCCTGTGACATCGCAGTAGTGCGGATGACTGGCCGCCTGCAGGCTCGGGGCACTCTCAATGTTGGTGTATGTCACCGCCGGGCCACCCATGCCCACGCCGGGTGGTAGGGTCAAGCCAGCTCCCAGACTCGCGCCGGGCCCGTTCGCCGCTCTTTGCAGATTACGCTCGAGGACGAGAGTGCTGAGGCTTTGGGTTGCCTGCGCCATGTTGACTGGTCTGGAGGCTGTGGTGGTGTAGGCAGGAGTCACGGTGCCGTCAGAGTTGGCATCGGTCATGGGTAGGGGTGTAGATGCGCCCGAGTTGTTTTGCGTCGCGAGCACTGAAGCTTCTTTCCGCGAGGCCTCGGAAATGATCTGCTTGGTGTTTTTGTTCCTTCGTGTGCCTGGTTTCCAGTTGGGGTTGCGGAAGGGCTTCGGGGTGTAGTAGATGTCCATTTGATCAAGGAGTATCTGATGAGAGTCATCTTTCTCGGGCTGGGGAGTGGAGGGAGGCATTGCGGTTTAAATGTTCGTATAGAGGGAACCTAACAAGACATAAAGAGATAGGAGTTGGTGATGCAACGAGAGACGCGTGTAGACTGACTGTCTAGAGATTTATTTATTATTACACCAATTGCATGCCTACGTGCATATTGAGGCCACGATCTTGCCGCGGTCCCACTTCCCCACCAAATTGAAATCCATTATCTGCATTATTTATCACTTCTACCTGCTCAGAGTATTTTTCTTTTTGGCGGGACTCTTTCGTTCACCAATCGATCTGATATGCATCAGAGACAACATCGTCGGTTCACAAAACATGGGTTGGTGGAATAATACATTTGCTTCAATACATCCATCACCGTAGCGGCCGTAAGGAGCCTTTGAGCCATGCCTTGTAATCATGCCGCATAGGAAGATAGATCAAGCTGTGTAGATACCTAAGTAGGTATGCACAATCCACTCTTGCACAAGTCGTGATGGCAGTGGCAGTGGCACCTGTTCAAAGCCACTCATATGCAGAGCAATGTACTCAATTTTCAGCAACTGTTCCGACTCCTAAGACACCCGAGTCTTCTCGTATCGTTCATTTGTAATCTGTCTGGACAGTTTGTATCAAGTAGTTGAAGGACCAGACGAGAATGTGCATCACCGAAGACCACCAACCACAAGATATCCTATACCAAAAACGGGTCTCCAAAAGGAGCAAGAGTTCTTTGCTCGGAAACCAGGTTGATAGATTGACCAAGTTGCCATGGCTCGTGAGAAATGATGCCATCCCATACGCCGACAGTAGCCGACCTGCCCCGTCAGGAGCCGCGCCTTTTGATGACATATGGCATTGATGTTGTTGATGCTTGCTAACATCTCGATGATACCTACCTAGGTACATAGGTACTCGATACGGAATAAAAGAAGACAGAAACCCAAGGTAAGATAGAGTTGAGTCAAAAGACAGACATCCGAAATTTACACAAACATCTCTTTCATTTCAAACCCATCAAAATGTCCGCCTCGGTAAATGCACCCAAGAAACTCCTGATATTTGGAGCTTCTGGCCTGGTCGGGAGCCGCATCACCAAAGCCATAGTTCAGAACAAGAAGAGCTTCGACAGGATCGCCATCTTCACATCGCCAAACACCGTGCAGACAAAAGGCGAATTCATCGACTGGTTGAAGGGCGAGGGCGTGGAGATCATTCAGGGAGACGCAACGAATGCCGAGGACGTCAAGAAGGCATATAAAGGTAGGTTCCGACCGAGAGGGCGAGCCAGGAAGGCTGCAGTGCAAGCCCAATTGCAGTATCGAGTCATTCACTAACACATGTGGAACTTCGACCAGACATCGACACGGTGATATCGGCCGTGGGACGCAACGCGATCGAGACACAAGTGGAATGGATCCGTCTAGCAGACCAGGATCCCGGAGTCCAGAGATTCTTCCCTTCGGAATATGGCACCGACATCGAGTATGGACCCAAATCGATTGACGAGAAGCCGCACCAGAAGAAAATCAAGGTGCGCGCAGCCATCCGCGCCGCGAAGAACCTCGACCATACCTTCCTCGTGACTGGACCGTATGCCGACGGCGATGGAGGCCTGTATTTCGGTACCGGCCGCGCCGGAAAGGAAGCGGGCCATTTCGACGTGAAGAACAAAGAGGCCACGCTGCTGGGGGACGGAAACTTGAAAGTCAGCTTCACGACCATGAATGAGTAAGTCCCTTGTGCCAACAGACTGCTCACGAGCATCTGGCGAGTTTCTGTATCAGCTAACGTGCCTAGCGTGGGAAAACTACTGGTCCTCGCTCTGCTTCATCCCGAGGAGAGTCGGAACAAGGCTCTGAAGGTCAATTCGTTCACCACCACCGACCGGGAGATACTAAGTGAATTCGAGAAGCAGACCGGTGGGGAGCCGTGGAAGGTGTCCTACACCAGCGTGGCCGACCTGGAGAAGTCAGAAAAGAAAGCGTGGGAGGACGGCGTGCCCTATGCTACTCTCTTTACTTTGAAGCGCATTTGGGCCGAAGGTGGCACTCTTTATGAGAAGAGAGATAATTACCTGATCGATGGAGAGTCAGTTGTTGATACGCTGCAAGATGCTGTTGCACGATCCATCAAGGTCCAGACAGCATAATGGGGAGGCGATGAGACATGGAAATGCATCAGTCCCATGACAGTCAACCAAGTTTGATCACGAAAAGTGCAGAAACAGAAATGAATCCGAGATGTGGTAGATAATTGTCGTGATTAGGGGGAATCTATCTATGCAGGATGGCCAATATTTAGCCTTGATATGAGTCTCATATCCGAGACTCATCCACGATAAAGCCGCATATTCGCCAGTTGCACAGGCACGAAAAAGAATCACACTCTCTCCAGTCTATCATACACACGAAAAGAACCCATGAAAGGGCCACCTCGGATTATTCGGCCCCCACTCCAAGTAATTGCGCCATTCGCCCATCGCGCAATAGCTCGAAACGATTGTCTCTCGCCTTCCCATGTCCAGCGAAGTGAACTCAGCCCCATAGTTTCGCACTGAATCAATTGTGGTGGGATAAAAAACTTTTGGGTAGGCAATGTGGCCTAAATGGATACAACTGTCGTGCAATCTGATAGCGATGTTGCCAAGAAATAGAATCGATGGGTTGGTCGATAGTTATTTAGGCAGCATTCGCTTCCACACCTTCAGCCTTGGAGCCGTCCTCCTCCTTGGTGCCGTTGGGACCCTCGGATCTCGACTTCATGTAATCATCATAGACGCTGAGAGCTTCATCAACCTTGGCGCGCAGAGCTGCATCATCATCAACCCTAGAAGATGTTAGTGATCAGTAAATAAAACAATAAGTGACTTCCAAGTGACTTACAAAGTGACAAGCTCAGAGTTGTCCATCTCCAAAAGCATACCAGTAATCTTGCCTGCAAGTTCTGGTTGCAAAGACTGAATCTTGGGGTAGATGGCTTCACCCAAAATTTGCTTCTGTTGGCTGTGAGGGAGGGAGGAAAGGTTGGCGAGGCTGCTTGGAGGTGCTGGCTCCTCTCGGGTTGGTGCATTTCCTTGTCCGCGTCCAGATGGGGGAAGACGAGGGTTCTGACCACCTGGGATGTTCTGAACACCACCTCGGCCACCACCTTGAGTAAAGTTAGGTCCTCCACGTGGCCCAGGGATACCTTGCATGTTGGGAGGTAGGCCTTGCAGATTTTGAATCTGACCACGACCTCCACCACGGCCCATTTGTGCCTGCATCTGAGCCAATGCTTGAGGGTTATTGTACATGCCGTTGACAAGAGCAGGATTTTGCATGAATGGCATTTGACCGGGCAAGCCGAATTGAGGTGGGAACTGTTGGCCCTGAGGAATACCACGACCACCTTGTTGAATGCCAGGGAATTGGCCACGACCACCTTGGAGACCAGGGATAACCATTCCAGGCTGGCCAGCAAAAGGCATGCCACCACGTTGTTGGGCTCCAGGAGGAAGGAATTGTTGGCCTGGACCATAGAAGACAGCAGGTTGGATATAGCCCTGAGGCATACCGGCGGCAGCGGCTTGTTGTTGCTGACGCAAGGTATTGCGAGCTTGGATACTAGCCTCAAGCTGGTTCTTGCGAACATCCTTGCGTTGAGCAAGCGCAACATAAAGGGGCTTACCACCAATCATCTTTTGGTTCATCTCAGAAACTGCCTTGGACGCTTCGTCAGGGTTGCTAAAGCAAACGAAGCCGAATCCTTTGCTCTTTCCAAAGAGTCGTTGTCCTGACTTGGTTTCTTTCTTGCTCTCATCCTTGCCCTCCTCCTGTGAGTCGTCCTTCTTTTCATCTTCAGAGCTTGGCTTGGTCTCTTCGGCTTCGCCTTCCTTATTGACGTTCTCCTTGTCCTTCTCACCAGAAGGAGAGTCACTTCGCTCAGCACTGTCGCGCATGACCTTAGCCGAAGTGATGGTTCCATAGCTGCTGAAAAGGTCACGGAGTTTGTCGTCGTCAACATCATCAGTCAAGTTCTTGACATAGAGGTTAACACCTTGATATTTGGAAGCCTTCTCCATACGCGCAGCTTCGTATTGCTTGCGCAACTCTTCCTCACGTTCATGTTTCTTTTGTGCACGTCCGACGTACAAGTTCTTGCCGTGGAACTCCTTGTCGTTGAGCTCATCAACAGCTTGAGCAGCAGCCTCGTGACTGGTATAGTTGACGAATCCGAAACCACGGCTCTTGCCAGCTTCGTCACGAGTGATAGTCGCGGAGATGACATCGCCATATGTTTCGAAGAGTTTTTGGAAATCCTCATCGCTGACCGACTCCTCAATGTTCTTGATGTAGACATTTGTGAAGTTGGCCTTCATCTCTTCGAACTTGCTCTGACGGTCTCTCTTTGCAATGTGGTGACCGACGAAAACCTTCTTGTCATTCAACAACATGCCGTTAACAGATTTGATGGCAGAAGTGGCAGCTTCGGCGGTCTCGTAATGAACGAAGCCATAGCCCTTGGAGTTGCCAAGTTCGTCTTGAGCGACCTTGCAACTAAGGATGTTGCCAAATTGAGAGAAAGTGTCATGAAGGGCTTTGTTGTCAATGGCAGCGTCCAAGTTCTTGATGAAGACATTGCCTTGACCAGTCTTGCGCAGGGCAGGATCTCGCTGAGACCACATGATGCGGCAAGGACGACCTTTGATGCTGGTGTAGTTCAAATCTTCGAGGGCGCGCTCACCATCAGCGGTGTTGTTGTAGTTGACATAGGCATAGCCGAGTGAGCGACGCGTAACTGCATCACGGCAAACTCGGATGGAGGCAACTTGACCAATGGAGGAGAATAGCTCGAAGAGCATGGCTTCGGTAACGGAAGGATCGAGCTCGCCGACATAAAGCGAAGCAGAGTGTTGAGCGTTGTTGTTGGGGGTAGCGGAGAAGGGAGTTTGGACATCGTTGTCGCCGGAGCCCTCAGCCTGAGCCACATTGGTATTGATGGCAGGTGCGCCGTTGGAAGTAGGGGCATCAGCAGAACCGTTCTGGCCGGCAGCCGGAGCAGCGGTAGCACCCTCGGCGGAAGACATGTTTTGTGACTGCTGTTGAGGAGTCAGTTGGAGATTCGAGGCCGGGAAAAGGAAGGTATATGGTGACTGGTCTTTGTTTGACTGGGGCGCAAGAAGGTAGATAAAGGAGAATTGACTGCTCACGTTTTTTGTTTAGGCAAAGATGTTGAAAGCGAGGGTGGTAGATGAAGAGGTGGGAGGCCCCGGTAAGCTATTCAACAAGGATACTTGGAATAATGCCGAACACTGCTGATTGAGTCAGATGGATTCGAACGTTGGGAGGTGAGGTTGGTGTTGAGGTAGGAGATGAGGTCAAGTGAGGGTGCAGGTGACTTACATTGACAAGACAAAGGGCTTTTTGAGGAGATTTTCACGTTTTTTTGGGTCACGAGTATTTTCGAGGGGAAGGGGGGAAGACAGCAATCGACTGCGAAAAGAAGCAGAAGATGCAGAGAGGGACGGTTGAGGAGATCGGTAGATGTATGTTTGGTGGTAAGTGGGAGGACGGTGGTGTGCAGGAGAAGTTTCGACCAAAAAGTCAGGCAAAAGAATTTGGAAAGAACGCTAACCCGTTTGCAGCAAGCGTCGACTCGAGATGACGGTTCGGTTCGGACTTTCCATTATTCCATTCCAGAGTGTTGGATCTGAGGTAGGTGCGAATACCGAGTAGAGTACTTTAGGGCTGCACCTGCCACTTACCCACCAGTGCCACCCACAGGCCACGGTCCACGGCATGTGATGATGAAGATGAGGCTCAACATGTCACACCCTTCCAACTTCTCTAACACTGGTGGCAACCAAAATGGCTACCTAGGTAGACATCTTGCTTTAGGTACCTAGGTCCCTTTTACTCCAAGTTCATTTCTGCTCAGTACAATACGAGACAAACTTGATTTTTATGTCGCTGTTGCCTGGACTTTTCGCAGCACCTATATATTGCCGCCACCACCCTTGACTCACCACCTATCTTCCCTCGAGTATTAGCCACTACCATGGATATTCCTGTCACAACAAATTAGCTCGTCATGTATCATGTAAGTCAGCAGAGGTACCAAACTCACTCTTCCATCCCAGCACCAAAAGGTCCCAGTATCCTTCTTATTCTTCTGCTCAATAACCGTCAACATCTTGGAGACACTCTCTTCCGCCCCAATCATGCCTGAGATATCCCATTCAACCTCACCAAGATTGGTGGCCATGTCCCTGAAAGCTCAGCGGTCAGTATGATTTGGTTCCATGATCACCATCTTGATCAAAGTACTCCTTACGTCGACACTTCGCCCGGATGCATCGCCAGCACACAAACTTCACCCCAGAGCCCGCCCTTCCTCTTCAATTCTGCTGCCATGTGTCGAAGCATCTGGTTCAAAGCGGCTTTGCTCGCGGCGTATGCGCCGAATCCGTCTTCTTGTTCTCTGAACAATGCAGTTGAGCCGGAGTCGGATGATATGAATATAACACGTGACGGGGGCGCTGAGGCGCTGATCTGGAGTAATTTCTGTGCCACGATAATTGGCCCAATGGTGTTGGTGTGCAAATGTGCCGCAAACTCGCTATATGACCTATCGTCAAGTCAAGCATACACGTCAGCTAGCACTCTGCACAATGAATTCCATTTGCCTCGCAAAATTGAGGATTTGGCCATACAACTCTGTTGCTCTCTGTTCACATCGTCAGTCAAATTACGTCCAGCAGACGAAAATCCCACTCCCGCACTCACATTTGGGTATCTGAGAATCCCAGCATTCAGCACAATATTATCCAACTTCATCCCCTTGTCGACGAGGGACTTCACACGCCCCACAAAAGCCTAGATATGTACCAAACCACGTGTTAGGGTCGTAGACACCTGAAATGCAAGCATATACCAATTTGCCACTTCCAGAATAGGGAATCACACACATCAATACTCGACTCATCCGTGACATCACACTGGTCGATCAGACAGCTGCCAGGTCTGGTTTCGTTGCCGGTCAAGGGCCAGATACGTTTTGCCGCCTCGACGTTGCGCACCGCGGCGATGACCTGGTCGCCACGTTCGAGCAGCTGCCGCACGAACTCCAGCCCAATGCCCCGCGAGGCGCCGATGATGACCCACGTCGAAGGCGCCATTATATTGTAGTTGCTTAGACTTGCGCTGCGTTCTTGCCGAAGCGAAGCGACTTTGCTGTGAACTGGACAGGGCGCCGCGGGCCAGGCGTCGTCGGTCCAACCAACTGACTGTCTTTGGTCGAGATCGTGATTTGCGATCTTTGCGAAGGAGGGAGGGATGCGAAGCTATTCGACCATGACCCGGCCTAGTGGGAGAATTGCAACAACGTCTATCTGTAGCTGGAAGTCTCGTAGACGATTCACAGGGAAATGACCGGGTTAATTGAAGGTAAAGGGAAAGGAGAGAGCTATATAGTTACTACTCGGACCTGTCGCCGGACGGTGGTGGTTATTGGTGGAGGGTGGAGGGGCTAACCTCTCGCATTTATCCGCAGAAGCAGTGGGAGGCTCAAAGCAGACGAGATAAAATAGCACACGGTGTGATGGTGAAGGTGAAGTGGAGTCCAGAGCCGGAGGATATCTATGGCTTGAACGTTGAGCATGTCATAATATTCCATGCCTACTACTGCCAATAAACGAGGATGGTTTCGATCCGATTCGGGTTCACTGCCTAGGGAGTCAACGAGTACTCGTACTTTTCGTTCCATCGTCAGTGTCCCGTTCCAATAGTATTCCTCCGGTTGCATGCAGGATTGTGGAAACCACTTTCGATCACCTTTCCAGCAACTTCTCGGACATGGGCACTCGGATCGAAGTGTCGGCAAAACATGACTTTTCGTAAGTTTTGGAGACTGGGGTGCCATGTGCGGACGACGCCATGCGACCCAACGGGAAAACGCCATGTCGACTAGACTTTCACTTTTCCCTCCAAGCACATCCCACATCCCGGGGCTTAAGGGGCGATAGATTACAGAAAATGTGTGGACACGATGCGGCTTGCAGCTTGCAGTATGGAGGGCCAGGGATACACCTGTACTGCCTGCGTAATCTATTCGGACGCGAGTTGAGCTTGCATATGACTTAGAAAATCTTTTTGACGACCTGTAACAGCCACCATGTTGTTATGGCTAGCTGCATGTCATGTCGATCCTTGCTTTGATCTCTCACTGGTTCATGCACGAATAAGAAAATTTCCCGACGTCACTGGTCCTGCTATAGTTCAGCTGGAGAGTACAGCCCTGAGGCTTTGCATGGCTTCGGATCCCGGCAAGTTGCCAGGTCACAGCCTGGACACTATCTGAGCATCGTAGCTTTGAAAGTTGACATAATTTCTTTTATCTATAGATCAACATCGGCAGTAGTAGCAGGCTGATTATACTAGTTCCCTCGAGCCTGGTCCTTGGACTGATCAAGACCAGAACCACTCTGTTGGTCTTTTGAGGAATTCCGTGCCTTCAATCCTATGCCATTCCCCCAATCCATTCTACAAGTTGCGCTGGCTATTCAAATGAGTTGCTGGAAAGCACGGTTGACGGGGGAGCGAGGCTTGAGACCCTTGTAGAAGTCGACGGTCAATTTACCACGCTTGGCAATGCCCTCGGGTGTGAACTCAAATTTCTGTTTTGCATTAGTAAAGGCCTGTGAGTTTAAGTAGGGAAGTCACAAACCTTGTAGACCTCAAGATAGGGGCCAGAAGCACCAAATCTGTTCAGTCCGAATTGCTCGTGTGAATACTTCGACCAGCCGAGTGTCGACATGACCTCGACGGACAAGGTTGGGATGCCATCAGGGAAGACCTTGAGTTGATACTCCTTGGGTTGGGCATCGAAAACTTCCCAGCAGGGCAAGGACACGACGCGAGTGGTGAGGTTATGCTGGTCTTTAAGGACCTTGATAGCTTCGATCGCAATTGCAACTTCAGAACCGGTTGAGACAATAGTCAGATCAGCGTTCTCAGCCTCCACAGCAACGTAACCTCCCTTGATGCCATTCTCGATGGTGGAGTTTTCGAGTTGAGGCAGATTTTGTCGGGTCAAGGCAAGAACGGATGGGGTTCCAGTGGAAGTCAAGGCCGAGTAGTAGGCTGCAGAAGTCTCGTTGCCATCTGCAGGTCTCCACACCTGGCAGTTGGGCAGTGCTCGGAAATGTGCCAAGGTTTCGATAGGTTGATGAGTAGGACCGTCCTCACCCAGACCAATGGAATCGTGAGTGGCAACCCAGATGACTCGTTGGTGTGACAGAGCAGACAGACGAACCGCACCAGCAGCATAGGAAACAAAGTTCAAGAATGTCCCTCCAGCAGGAATGACCGTACCATATGCAGCGAGACCATTCATGATAGCACCCATGCTGTGCTCACGCACACCATAGCGAAGATAGCGACCAGACCACTCTCCAATCTTGGTGGAAGGAGGTTGGAAGTCCACGGCATTCTTCCATCGGGTGTTGTTGCTACCGGTCAGATCTGCAGAGCCGGACAACAGTTCGGGGAGGACTTCGTGGATATCCTCCAAAACCTTCTCAGAAAGCTTGCGGGAAGCCTGAGCCGAGTCGGTGGGCTTGTAAACGGGCAGCTTCTTGGCCCATCCTTCAGGGAGCTTCTTGGCGAGACGGCGTGCGAGGTCAGCACCGAGCTCCTTGTGTTCGGCCTGATATTTCTTGAAGAGATCATTCCAAGCTTGCTCAGCAGCCGCGCCTTCAGAGGCATGCTTGTTGTAGAGATCATAGACCTCTTGAGGGACAACGAAGGACTCTTCGGGGTTGAAGCCGAACTTCTCCTTGACCTGTTTGGCGTCATCGGCCTTGAGAGGGTTGCCGTGGACACCACCGGTGCCCTGGAGCTTGGAGCCGAATCCAATGGTGGTGGTCAGCTTGATGACAGAGGGCTTGTCCTTGACATCCTTGGCCTTTTGGATAGCAGCCTCAATTCCGTCAAGGTCGTGGTCACCGTCTGTGACATGCTGGGTATGCCAGCCATAGGCTTCGAATCGCTTCAACACGTCCTCGGTGAACGCGCACTTGGTATCACCATCTATCACAGTTAGAATGAGGCGGAAGCTCAGGATGCACAGTATGGGGCTTACCAATAGAAATGTGGTTGTCATCATAGATAGCAATCAAGTTACCAAGCTGAAGATGACCAGCAGTAGAGGCAGCCTCACTGGCGACACCCTCCATAGCACAACCATCACCAAAGAAGACATAGGTATGGTTGTTTGAGAGCTCATAACCAGGCTTGTTGAACACAGCTGCGGTATGAGCTTGACCGATGGCAAGACCAACTGCGTTGGCAAAACCTTGGCCCAGAGGACCGGTGGTGACCTCAATGCCGGGAGTATCGTGAGCCTCAGGGTGGCCAGGAGTAATGCTGTCAACTTGCTATTGGAAATTAGCTGAATTCAAAGCCACGGAATAGACGAATGGTCTTACTCGGAAGTTCTTCAAATCGTCCAAAGACAAAGCATATCCGAACAGATGAAGAAGAGCATACTGCAACATACATCCGTGTCCGTTTCTGTGAAGTTGGTTAGAATGTTTTTTCACGGTCACCAGCTGTGGAACATGTTGGATTGTGGGGCCAGGCTTTTCTTTGTAGCGACAATGATACAACTCTGGCCAGGAGATTTTGTGTCCAACGCTTCAATGCAAGGTAGGAGGGTAGACTTGGATAGACTCACGATAGCACGAAGCGATCGCGGTTGGCGTAGTCAGGGTTCTTGGGGTTGAAGGTCATGAATTTGTTGAACAAGACATGGGCAACGGGTGCCATGCCTGAAAGTCATTGTTAGTTGAGGGATCGCGTAGATGATAGAGATGATCAAACTCACCCATGGGTGCACCTGGGTGACCACTGTTTGCCTTGAGAGTGGCATCGACCTGCAGAAAAACACCGGGGATAAGTCTGAGTCTCCCTCCCACGCAACTGGCGGGATGGTGGGGTAAAAGGGACGTACCGCGAGCAGTCGGATGGTATTGATGGCCTTCCAGTCAAGGTCGGAATAACCCATGATTGCGGTTGATATGGTAGATTGAGAGTAAAGAAGGAAGAGAAAGGAGAAAAAGAGGCGGTGATGCTTTGAGAGAACAGGTCGTAGATGTTGAGAAAATTTATGAGCCGGGACCTGAGTAGTTCTGTTGACGGGATGCAGATTTGAGCCTAATGAGTTGTGAAAGGGAAGGCGGGGCAGAATTGATGTCAGGGTCTTTGGGAAGGTGCCGCCCACTTTCCAGCTCTCCCGGTGGTCAGGTTGAGGTTATCAGTACGAGTATAGTACCTAGCCCGGCTCCTTAGGCGCTACTGGTCCCTAATCTTCGGCTGTTGTTGCATATAATTCCGTCGCTGGCACGCCGTGGAGATGCTCAGTCTGGTTTCACCCACAGGTCGAGTTTCAACTGTGTATCGTGGAGAGATTGCTGCAGAAGCAACTTGAATCCGAGTCCACAGGTGAGGTCGAGGTTCTTGAACGACAGGACGATCGACTGATTAATAGTATCCATGGCATGATAATGGCATAAGTAATTACCCTCCAGGTCGAGATTACAACATCCTCTATCAACCCGGACTCGATTACCAAAGCACAGGGCATGGAATTGCTGACTACTTTTCTTGCAGCCCAGTCAATGCCCCAGCTCCCACTTACCCATTCCAGTAAGTAGCTTGACATGCTGGTTCGCTGTTTCGTACGAAGTACTACAGAGGAATCCATAGCCATCAACTTCCAACGCCAAAGGCACTCGAGATGTAACATCTGTCGCTTCACAACCTAGATTTGACACCTCGTGGTGCTCAGTATTGGGCAGATCCTGCTCTAATCTGCAACCACCCAAGCTTCTAAACTTGCTGGGCAGGTACTAGTGACAACTGGTCCTTCCTGGGCCATCCGAGTCAAGGTCCTTATGCTTTTTGGCCTCCCGAATTCTGATCTGGCAATTCAGCCGCCGTGCTTTTGAGAAAATGCTAGTCGTCTCGAGATCTCAAGACGATCATCCCAAAATCTTCCCAACGTCTTTCCAAACTTGTAAAACGCCTCGCTATGCCCATCCAACACCCCGTGGTCATTTCAATAACCCCCAATGGAGGGCTCTCATGGGTAAGAGCCATAACCACCGCCGTAAGGCGTCGTCCCGTAAGGAGTCACTCCGCCTCCCGGAATCATATTATACGCTGAGTATGCACCATTTGCTGGAGCTGGTTCATATCCATCTGGACTTGCTCCACCATTCATCCCCTCCATTCCTTGTCCTGCACCGCCAAGTACTCGAATCGTCTCAGCCAGCTTCTTCTGTATCACGTCAATACCCCCCCGTACAATGTCGTCGGGTTCCAAAATTCCTATACTCTCGATGTCGAAGAAGAACGCGCTGGGAACCGCATCGGGATCGAATGACGCGTCTGCAGCTGTGTCGTCTCCTTCCCAGGTGGCGTTGCGCTCATCCACAGGCCATTCTGACTTGGCATCTGTCTCGTACCAGTAGTCAAGGTGTCGTAGCTTGTTGTTCGGATCGTATTCAAAGCCCACCGCCGAAGTGGGTGCCCATTTGGCGTGCTCTTTCGCAATGCCCTTTCTCGCGATGCATTGAAGCTCGATCTCTTGTCCCTGTCGAAGTTTGGCAATCAATGGTCCGGTGTTGTTAGCATTCCGGATTATTGGATGTCCAATGGCGTCTTGACGACCACTTGAAACCATCAAGTCGCGTGCATAAACGTTCATAGTGCCCGGCTGGGTGCACTTGACATGCAGGTTCAGGAGGACCGAGCAGTTGTCACAATGATCATCGCATTCATCGCAATCTCTTGTATATGCCATGCGCTCGCCGACTTCTTTGCTCTGAAGTGGGATCAGTCCGAGTCGATGGGAGAGAAATTCATCGGGTAGGACGGAGGAATTCGTGGTAATCTCGACCCGATCGATGGAGATGGTTTCAATTTCGGCGAGAATCGCACGTCGTACAGAATTAGCCAGTGCTAGAGAACATGACTGCAGGACAAAGTCGACTCGATCTTGCTCAACCTGTCACATATTCAGCGAAGACTGAGAAGAAGAATGTCAGGATGAGGCGCCACTCACTTCTCTCACTGTAACTTTTGGTCCAGACGATTCGACACCGTCCATGGCATCGTCGGCGTAGCCATTGTACCCGTTGAACGCCATTTTGACCTGTGATATGGTCTATTTCAGGACGGCTTCATTCGTATTTGGAATGCGCTGATATCCAGAGAGGATTGGAATGTCTCGCAGGTTGGAAGGAAGCGCGAATCGACGAGTCCAGCCTGGAACTTTTTGCCCGCGTCGGGCTTCAACCAGCGGCATGAGTCTTGGCAGTCACGTGCCAGCCAAGTGAATGCAGCGGTCCAGTAGTCTTCATAGGCAGTATGTGATTGCAGTCTCTGACTGGCCTTGTACAAAGAGCAGTATGGACAGACAGCATATTGACCTTGAGGCAGCCTTCATGATCTACCATGGTCTTGTCCAGCAGAAATGCAATGTTGATTGAAGTGATCCAGATTGGAAGCCCCAAAAGGATTGCAGTGATTCAACCAGAAAGTACGTCATTACGAAGGTGTGCTCCCGCTGCAGAAGGAATTAGCATCTGATTAGTAGACAAGCTAGGGATACTAGCATTGTTTAGCCTTCCCAAATCTGGAGGACTAGTCTGCACTAACGATCGACTACCGGGCATTAGGTAACCACTACTGATTTACAAAATATCAAACTCCAGCCTCCCCCGGATTTTCTTGCTTAGTTGTGTCTGTGAGGAGGACGGAGGTCGAACGAGGATCATCTATCAGGTCTTTGATGCGGTGCTTGTTGCCTTCTGTCCTAACAATCTTTATGCCTTTTCTCCCCTTTCCCAGCCTGGTTTGTGAAATGTTGCAGATAACTTGAAACACCTCCCTCTAAACCTCCGCAAACTGGCCTCCAGCCTTGTGGCATTACTGACCTGTCGTTAATCAACCTTGTTCTTTATGACTAGATTTGAGGCCCTATCAGTCATTCTAGATCATGAGCACCTAGATTCATGTCCACGATTTCAGCCGTTCTCGACGTTGGCTGTATGACGATACCCCTCGACCGATGTTCAAATGTGAGGGTGGCCATAAGAGACAATAAAACTCATGGCCACATCCAGACTATGGCTCAACTACCTTCTTGTTGGCCTGAGCTGTCTCTTTTCAATCGCTATTTCTCAATTCCCTCCACGTGTCGCCAATGACACCATAATCAACATCTCTTCACCAATAAACTCAAACATCACCATCTCATACAAGAGCGTCCCCGTTGGTACATGTACCACCGTTTTTCGTACTCAAAAGCAATATTCTGGCTTCATTACGTTGCCACCTGATGTCCTAGATCCCAGTCAAGGTAATTACACCATCAACACTTTCTTCTGGTTCATCGAGGCAAGGCAGTTGCCGGAAACGGCCCCTTTAACCATCTTCATCAATGGCGGCCCGGGTTCGAGCAGCATGGTTGGTCTTTTTCAAGAGGTCGGTCCATGTCAGATGGTAGAGATCTCTAAAGATCGTCTAGGAACCACGGCTCGGGACTGGGGATGGGATCGTGGAAGCAATCTGATTTTTCTTGATCAGCCTGTCCAGGTCGGATTTTCATATGATACAGCTACTAATGCCTCTTTAAACCTTCTTGATGAAACACTTCAGATTCCGCCGGGCACAAAACCTGTCATGCAGCCAGAAACTACATTTATCAACGGCACATTCGGCTCTGGAAATCCTGCTTTCACTGCCAACACCTCACAGATCGCTGCGCAGTCCATTTGGCACTTTCTGCAAACCTTCTTGACGGCATTTCCAGAGTATAACACTGACCTGCGTCATGAGGCCAAATTGCCAGTCGCTGAGGTACATCTCTTCACCGAAAGCTATGGCGGAAAATATGGACCTGCTGTGGGTTTGTTCTTCAGGTCACAAAACGATCGACGGCGGCATGATCTGGATTACGCTAACAGGACTATTGAGGTGAGCCTCAAGTCCTTGGGAATCATTAATGGATGGGTTGACTTGCTCACGCAAGCACCTTTTCATCCCCAATTTGCATACCAGAATTCGTACGGCATCGAGGCTATTTCACAACTTCAACAGTTGAACACTCTGAGCTCGTATAGGGGGGCCAATGGTTGTCAGCAGGCAACACTTGAATGTCGAGCTTTATCAAGTGCCCTTGATCCACTTGCAAACGGAAACATTCCACAAGTAAACAAGGCCTGCTCAACAGCTCAATACATCTGCCAAACCCAAGTCATTGGCCCGTACACCCTTTCAGGTCGATCTATCTATGATATATCGCAGAAGATGCTTGATCCCTTCCCTCAAGCACTCTACCTTGAGTACTTGAATCAAGTCTCTGTTCAGAAAGCACTTGGAGTTCCAGTCAATTATACACAAGACTCATTAGCTGTGTTCACAGCATTCAATACGACGGGCGACTATGCTCGTGGTGATATCATTGCAGACCTGGTCGACCTTCTTCAATCTGGAACACGGATTTCTCTTATTTATGGTGATCGGGACTACATATGCAATTGGCTGGGAGGTGAGGAGGTCTCATTCGCAATAGCAGGCGCCGCTGGCGCTTCATATCTGCCTTGGTACTCTGCCGGCTACGCACCGATCGTCACAAATGCTTCCTACATCGGTGGTGTTGTCCGCCAATTCGGCAACTTGAGCTTTAGTCGGATCTACGATGCGGGTCATCTGGTGCCAGCGTATCAGCCAGAGACAATGTTTACAGTATTTGCTCGCATAATAGAGGGTGGAGATATCGGGACTGGAAACCCTATTGACTTGTCCACATTCACGACAAGTGGCGATCGCAATTCAACACATACCAACTCCGCTCCTGCCATGGCCGATCCAACTTGTTATTTGCGTGCCATGAATGCAACATGCAACACAGACCAGAAGAACATGATTGCCAACAATGCTGGAGTCATCATCAATGGTGTTCTGTATGATATGTTGGCTGATTGGCATGCTCCCGGCGCTGATGCAACGACAATGGCTGGTGTTCCAGGCACGGCTCCTCCAAGCATGATCACCAGCGCCCCACCCATCACGAGAGTTTCCAGTGATCCTCAAGGCAGTCCGAGTATGAGAAGCAGCATGACTCACAGCACAAGCCATTCGGGCTCTGGAATAGCAGTTACCAATCCGACCAGAACATCTGGCCTTCCAACCGGTGTTTACACCGCAACAGGCGTACCACCAACCTCCAGCAGCCCCATCCCCTCGAGTGTTGCGGTTATGAAGCGTCAATTAACCCTTGCCGTCTTCTGCGATGCGACGACCATGAGATTATTCGGATTCTGTTTGCAAGGACTGTTCCACGTTCTTATCATCTCTTCTGCTGTCCTCATGTACTGACAGTCTGATTCGTCTTTGGCTGCTGTACAATACCGAGAAAGGGATGAAAGAATTGAAGATCGAAACCGATGCCCTCTCAGTGCCATGTACATATAATATCTAATGAAATGGTTGGCACGAACGTACCGGACCGAATCGGGCATCAGATGGGTGGAGCCAGACGAGATAGTTGACCTCCACTATCAAAAGTTGAATGAGTAACGACGCATTCTTACATGCATAATGCATCGACTCCTAGGTATGAGGTATTGTTTCCAATACACAATATCGGAAAATGAATCAAAATCATTTGAAACCTACAAAGAATTCCTGCCAGCTGGACCGAATTGACTTCTCTAAACTGCAGTCACTGCATGCATGAAGACTGCCCTGCAGTGGTGGTACTGACACGCCCATGGCTGCTGAGTACTGTTCGGTGTACTCGGCTCAAGGAAAGCAGCACTCTGATTTGAAGTCCGTCAAACCTCGCCCGGGTCCCAAACAGTATCAAGTATAATGCATACAACTCAAGAGGACATCAGTTACTCAGCCAACACAAACGAAGAGAGAATCTGCGAGGCTAGGTCGGTTAGAGGCGGTTCGAGCCCAGATTAGCTGAGATGGACTCTGACTGCCGAACTTACCTAAGCTCTTACTCGAGCATTTCATCCGGGGCGAACCGGTAGAACTTTCTCCGTTCTGGGCAATCACTTACCAACCCGGGAACTTACTTACGAGTAGTACCCTTCTTTGCTTTGCCTGAAGGACTAGTCTACCTGTCTACTATGTACCTTGGAAGGTACTTGTCGGCTGCAGGGCTGGTTGGCTGCTCATCTGAGCAGTTCGATAAGTGCTTCCAGAATTACTCGCTGGCCAGCATGTCGTTGGGTACATGGGATCGACGCCCTCAAGATGGATAAAGCTCATGGCTGCAAGGAGCCAGACACCTATCTTGTATCTGGGTGGACTGGCTAGCCGAACGAAACCGAGGTTGAGCTCTACCACTGAGCCACTGCATAACTGTCATTGTCGGTGGTTGCATGTCTGCAAGCCCAATGAGCATGAGCAAAGGGCGTGAACAGAATGATTAGGTCTGCAAGGTACTAGTATTTGAGTACTCGACTGGTAATGCAGACAATCTAATCCATTCGTTGCCAGAGGTCTCCTTGGCGCAGCAAGACGAACAGACCTGGAGAACGGGCATGTCATCCCTCGCCCACATCGGGGGATTTCCCCTTCGTTATCGATACGAACACGAGATTGCAGGCGACGTTCGGCTATGTCAGACATCCCGGGCATGTTTGTTGGCTTGTGATATCAGTATTAGGTCAGACACCGGTGGTGGGAACGCGAAACTGTCGACATCATTGGCGCGCGTTCAATGGCCGGCGACCGGTCATAGAAGGATTTCGATGTCAAAGGAGTAGGGCTTTGCCGACTTTGTTCCACTCCATCTACGATCTCATGAGGATCAGTGATCACGGAGATCGAGATTTCGAGTCTGAGGGGTTGATGTAACAGTCTATGAGGCCACTGCGATGGTCGAGAGGACAAGGGGAGCCATGAGAGTGTAATGTAATCACGACCCTTGGGTCTGACGATCGTTTGTCAATGTCGTTCCCATTTCCAGTGACTGCTACTTATACAGACCCACAAATGTCGAGGATGTGGATGCTGCCGCCAACCGGTCGCCATCTGGGACCTCGTATTGAAGATCGATGAGCGATGAGCTGGGTGGGGGGAAGGATTTACAAGTCCTGGAAGGTGTGAGATCGAGTCTCCATAGATAGGTTTCGTTCATACACAAGATGCACTCAGTGTCGTTGGAACTTACGGCCAGCTGCCGCTTGGCGTCACCACCAGTGAGATACGAGTAGATGCCTGGGGACCCAAGGCACGTCAGCACCTAAAAGGAGTGCTACCAGGTGGTGCTATTCCAACATGTAAGATCGAAAAATACATCACCTGTGCACTGTAATATGTATCGGTTGGTCTCTGTGTCTTCTTCGATGTTAGAAATTTCCACAGAAGGTTAACGGAAGTACTAAGGGATTTCAGCCTTATCGTCCCACGGTCAGGTGTTGCCCATTGTACATACAGCTTTGTTCTTGGCTCTGGATACACACACAGTAAGGAGGATCTTCCGGCCAAAGATTCGTGTTCCGTGCATTTTCCAACTGTAATCGTTCAATCGCTGATGAGTACTCACTGTGCATCTCTTTGAGCATTCCCTGGATTTGGTGACCTGTCACGGCAAGACTGAGCAAGGTCCAACCATGCACCGCAGTACTTCCGGCAGAAAAAAAAACCTTCTTGACTTATCAGTTCGTTCCTGGGGTCTTTAGGTGATCATCTATTGGTCTAAAATCGACGGGAATCGCGTCTGTGATGGCCCAGTAGAGTTACGGTTCTCCGTCAGCTTTGGAGCAGCTGTGATCATGATGCGTGTGGTTTGGGGGTGTGAGACATCAAGTACGAAGGATTAGAGATTGTGGGGACGGTAGTCGATGTGTTTTTGATGGATTGCTGGTGGTCAACTATGAAAAGTCTATCGATGCGGCTGCGGCTTGCTCCCACTCAGAGAAGTGAGAGCGGTTGAGACGGTTACGTTCAAAGAGGTACCAAGTCAACGCGGAAATGAATTACCGGGAGGGAATTCAAAAGATGCTTTCGTGGATAGCATGGATTTCATGTTCTACCTTCCCTGCATAATGATGTGTCGTAAAGCTTACTCCATACTGGATATATCCTGAGCAAACCGGCAGGGCATATGAATCGGCTCATTGGCTATTCACTATGTATAGTTGATGAGCAGACGCTTTGTAAGAAAACGAGACCAGGTAATTGAATACTCATTTCAGCCCAGCCTTGAGTAAGCTACCACATGTAGAAAGCCATGCAGGTGTGTTTGTGGAGGATAACGGTCATGAAAAGCCCGAAATTTTCTGTAATGGCACGACAGAGACATCCCGAATCCTCACTAGACTTACTCAGTGAGCTAGAAAGAGTGAGAACATATGAACGCGGACGCACATCGAATTGGAACCAGGGAACAGGCTCGCCGCAAGCGTTTGCTCTCAAAAACAGATACTTAGTATAGAAGGGTCTCTGAAATCGTGTTGACTCAACCTTTTCAAACAGTGGCCTGCAACGGTTTGTATGAAGCAGCCGGAACAACAGAAATCAAATTCTTGTTATTTGGCATTGCCTTGGTCATGGTAAAGGACGCCCAAGAGGGCAGTACTCAAATACGCAGCTGAGTGAGACTGTAACACTGGCGTACAGTGAATAGGACGTCCTTACTGTGTACCTCTCGCGGTGGCCCAACCAAGTCCACATCGAGCACACTGGGTTCCAGATACCTGGATGATGTACTGTAAGTGAATGATGTACTGTAAGCAGTGGTGATTGAACATTTCGTATTCAGTTCGACTGCAAAACAAATGAGTCTGGTTAGGTGGTCGAAGAGATGTACGTGCATACGAACTGCATGAAGAGGTAATCCAGAACTCGAAGTTGCGTGCAAGTGATGCCTACCCCTGGCCCTTCTGGTATAAGGTTCGCGTTGGTATGCGAGCCAGAGCCACTATCGTATGTGCAGGGCTTTCAGTGGAAAGTTCCCAGGAGATAAGTGATGACAGTTTGGTGGCTTTTCAACATCAGTGATGGAGATACGTCGCAAAGACTGATTTGAATGATGAGCATCTTGTGTTGCATACTTGGAATATTGGCCGATCTGGCACTCGAGGCAAGTCCGGACCCCCATCCCTGCGACCTCTTGGCGTTTGAGGAAATTGAACATGATATGTAATAGCTTAGGGTCAACGTGTGATTAGCATGAAAGGCAACTCGTAATTCATAAGTAATCATTTATGCTCCTCCGCATGCGCCACACGACATGACACTCTGACACTGCTCTTTCCGGAAATAAGTACGTTCAGGATTGGTTCCAATCAAGCTCACCGCAGGAATTCCAAGGAAAATTACCAGTTGTTCACTGTTCATTTGCATCCTGGGTATTTTGAGACCCACCGGTCTCCAGCATCGTCCAGGAGGCAAACTGCGCACCAGCAGGTATACGATACTTGCAAATGAGGTGGAATGTTTGTGCCCGTGCTCGGAGGTCGAATGGGGCGCGAACTGAAGCCCAGTGACCATCCACGGCCTGTCTGTTACGAGAGAGCCGTGATCAGCATGAGCAAGCTGTGTTAGGTTTCGTGATTGGATCGTCATCAGGCAGCGGACTGAAAGTGGTGCTTTCTATCGAAGTACCTGCCACGATTTGTGATCCCAATACATGGGAGAAGTGGTTCGTGACGATGATGTCAGGATATCAACAAAGGCTGTGATTTAGGAAGATTTGATCGATGATGACTGTCGCAATGTGCGAACCTCCTACATGATCGGGGCTGCACAAGGCTGCCAGTGAAGGATAGGCAATCATACGTAAACCCTGCTGTGAACAGATGTACCTTCTTTCTAGATGCGGTAATGAGAGCACCTGGATCTAAACCAATAAGAGAGAACCGGAACACTGTGGACCAGTGGCGAGGACTGGGTAGGGATGGAGACTACTTGCGTGTGGGTGGCCCACGATGGAAGTAATCGAGAAATGCGAACGAGGCTTTGAGAAGGTTCTGCCAGTGCGTGGGGAAAGTGTAAGTCAGATAACAGTCAGCAGGAGCAGAAATACGGCTAATACAGAGCAAATGCTCCTTTGAGTAAACAGTCTGGGAAATTGAAATCCCTGGGGCCACGGAGCTGCTCACGGGCGTACAAGGCGAGGCCATTGTGACCCGATGGGGAGTATGTGGTAAGCAAGATGCCGGGAAAAATACCTGGTACATGGACTCGTACATGGGCACTCAAAGGGGAATAGACGCCAAGATTGTGCGTGACGCGGGGAGTGGAGGCAGAAAAAGTAAGCTAGTCGTCATGACCAAGGTTGAGAGTAAAGGTGAAGGTGCGGCCGGCCCACTTACGAGTATCCGTACTTGCAAGTTCAAGTTGCAGCTCCTGCCCGTCCGGAATTCCCGCACTCGTGACTGCAAACTCGTGACTTGCCACTAGTACGGAGTAGTCGACACCCTCGGCACTCAACTTGGTAGCACTTGCAGTCCGCGATCCCGGCTGATTTCTGATGGATTCGTGCCTGCCATCAAAATCAATCATAATAATAATGATTGTCGCGTTCCGTCGTTATGTAAGAAATTGCTAATCCCGTCCCAGGAGCCTTTCTCTTTCTATCCTTCCTCTCACTTACCTAACAATTGCCATTGCTGTGAACTGATCACCACTAAACTCCCCAACCATTCATTTGTTTTTTGGTCTTCTCCGATCAGCCAGTCAGCTTGTCTTTAAACTGTCGCCCACCCAAGCTTCTCACTCGGCCTTTTGCTGACTACGAAGTACTACTGTTTCCATCTCTTTTCACCACCCTATTCCCTTCCAACTCGTGACAAAGCAACACTGTCCTGGTTGGCCTTCAATCTCCACTTCCACCTGCACGTTCACTGGGACACGGTCTACCGAGTACGAGGATACAAGTGAGCGCCGCCCTGAAGTCTCAAACAAGCAAAGAATGCAACCCGCCCTCGCGCCTCGCACGGTCACACCCTCTACCACGGCCAGTACTGCCTCTATCATGGATCATGTAAGCCAACTCGAATCCCAATTCCCAATTCCCCAACCCATCCCTGCCCTGCCCTTACTCAGGCTCATTCAATCCTACCGCGTTCCTTGACCACCCCCAAAATTATTATTGGTTCAACCCGGGCATCTCGCAAGTGGGAGGCTGACCGATCACTCCGGCGTGGGCCCTCGGCCTGCTGGGGCTTGGGCATGGTACCTGACCTGGTTCTCCTCTGCTATTTTCAGCGTAAATGTTGCGGCAACTCGTTCTGACCCGTTTAAGCAACAGGACCATCTCAAATCCGACCACCGTACGTATAGTAATCCTCGACCCACCCTTGGACGCCCATTCCAGGCCTGACCAGACCCTCTTCACCACTTCATCTTCCGGGCCTCCTACTCCTGCTGTTCTCGCCTCTTGCTGCTGCTCTTGTCATTGTCCTTACTCCATTTGTTCTTGTTCCCTGCTCATCCTCTGCACTCTGTTGGTCTCCACCACTTGCCTCCTCCTGCGACTTGTACTCGCCGATCCCCTCCGCCGTACCAGTACCTTTCAATACTGTATCGGTATTTCTGCTACTTTGTCATTCGAAATCCTGTCCTGTCCTGCCCTGCCCTGCCCTCTGAATTGCTTCTAGGTATTGCCCTACCAGGGTACCACCCCCCTCCCCATTCTCCACTCCATCACAATTCACTTTGTCCCATTCTACTGATACATATACTCTCCCCATCACCCTTCCATGGCCAGCCTTGCCTAAAGTATCCCGTTGGTCATTTGCTCTCTTGTCTTGTGCCTTCACAACTTTGTCCCAAGCATCTTTTGTATTGAGCATCACCAGCATACACCACTTGGCACCAACCCACTGCCCCGTGTCCCTTGCACACCACCATGACATCAATCACCCAACTATTATCCCCATGGCCTGTATCTAAACATTCAATAGTCTTGCGAGAGCAACATTATCCCCCGCCACAGTCTTCGGCTCTTCCGGAGCACATCGATTCGATGCAGCAGCAACCTTCATCGCCAAACGACCCCAATGACGGAGTAACTGGAAGTGCTGAGAGTGACGGCGGTGACAACAATGGGGACGGTCGTAAAGGCTACGGGAAACGTGAACTGAGCACGAGTAAGAGAGCTGCCCAAAACCGAGCAGCCCAGGTAAGCAAGCTTCGTATTTGTCGGTTGGCCCAACGCTCACGACTTCCTTCCAGCGAGCATTTCGTCAACGCAAAGAGGGCTATATCAAGAAACTCGAGGAACAGGTTCGAGATTACCAAGTGCTCAGCGAAAACTTCAAAGCTGTTCAGGCCGAGAACTACCAGCTACGTGACTACATCATCAACCTTCAATCCCGGTTACTGGAATCTCAAGGAGAGGTGCCACCCCCTCCTAGCAATGTGGACGGCCTTCAGCCCGGCAAAGCAGGCCCCTCAGCTCAACCAGGGACCCTACCCCGTCTTTCGGAACTGGGTGCAGTTTCTCAGATCCAAGATCATCACGAGTCTCACCGCAGTGGATATCCAGATCCTACTTATTCAGAATCTCCAATCACGAAACGCGCGAGAACAGGCTCGTCAGAGATGACATCGTCACAAGCGGCATTACAGGGATCAGCCATTCTATCCCAAGCATCAACAGGAGCACGATGAACTTGTACCCACAATGAGGAATGGCGTTTGATACACTGATTGAAAGGCGCAATTGTGCCCTGTGCTTCGCATCCGCATTTTCAGGTGGCGTTAGGTGTATGGACACGTCCTAAGGACGATGATGTATTGAACACGACTTGCTCGGGCGTTTTATGGCTGTATGGGCACAACGAGGATATCCCATCAAGACGGGATCCTCGTCAGACAGACTCGATGAAGCTGGAAACACGAAACAATGTAGCTACACGGCTGCGCGAAAGGATCCAGGGATCGACTCCTTTGGCATGTGAATTCAAGGCGAGATTGTGGGCTCATCATACACTGCCGAGTTCCACAAACATCAAGTATTATGGAAGATTCGTAGCAAAGGTCCAAAGCATGCCCGAAGGATCTGTTATGCTTCTACAAGCGGGATGCCTAAGGTACTGCTACAAAGTCAGTGCGTCGCTTGTGACAAACTAGTTATGATGAAATCCAATGCCAGTTTCATGCCTCATTCAAGCAGAGCAACGAGTCATGTGATTATGCTTGAGGCGGGCAGCGTCCTCGGGCAAGGACTTCCTAACTCCGGGTGCGACTCGCAAGATTCCTCCTGTTCTCGTCGAGTGTATTAGTGATCCAGTGGCCCCAAAGGCCAATCATATGTGACAGGAGGATCATCAAGCCTTGTTCTGAGGCCGTGCTACAGCTATCCTGTACCGAGTAAGGTAAAATCAGCAGCACGCCGTTCCGGACCCCCAGGCTCCGTAAACGAGACTCTCTCACTGCGGTGATTGATAGTGTTGGCGGCCTGTCCACGTTTGTGCTTTGCAGAATTCGAGCTAGCTCCCAACATGGAAGTGGTAAGTACCCTGTTCAGCTAAGCGAAGATTTGCGACTTCGGCCCATACCCGCAAACTCATTCTTCCTTTCCTCGTGAGACCACTAAACGGTCAGCCCAGGACTCCAGGAGAGATGACGAGATGACGAGATGACGAGATGACATGCTCTATCTCAACGCGACCAATTGGGTGCGTGGTCCGAGGCGTCAACAATACCAAGTACCCTTTTCGCAGAAAGATACTTCGTACCTACTGGTCGCCCACGGGTCAGCGTCTTTGTTTAGTCGATTAAGCCTTTTGCCGGTTTTGAGCCAGTCTGGTTCTTTTGGAAACTCAAGTGGCATATCTGATTCCTTGGTCCGCGTATATTGGAATCAATGATTACGAAAGCAACCAGGTTTGTTTAGACACGATCCCTCCCTCACCACACCCATGGCTATTATTGGCCCGATAAATCAACCGATATAATCTTGTACGAGGGAGGGTTAGGTCGATGAGGTGACACGATCTACCTCGTATGTGGAAGCGACTTCTTCTGTGGCGCATTGTAGTTGCCTTTCCCTTCCACAGCTGACTTGCGATCAATCCCTGTAGACCTCCTAATCAACTGGCGAAGTCTGAGGCTTTCAGTACTGAGTACGCATTCAGTATCATCAAGAGGATTGTCATTCGTACTCGTTCTCGTCGGCCGAACAACTCATGCGCACTCGTCAGGGCGCAAATCGTAATGCAAAAGGCCGAGCTCCGTCTTCCTTCAATTGATCCTTCCGCCGGTGGGGCCGAAGGGACGAATCAAGATCCCGTCTCGTCCGGCTCGCAAGGGCTGTTTAATCATGGCTTGAGGGTATCGTTCGCGAAATTGAGGAGTCAGTAATTAGTAATGCAACAGAGTAGCGTCAGTTGCAACCCGCTGGGGCCCGGGGGGGACCTGACTGACTGATCTACTTCGTCAGTCGTCCCTCAACTAGGAATGCAGCTAGTTAGGCATCCCGGGCGAGTTTCTTTACCCAAGTTTGGACTAAGGACTTACTCGTACTTCGTAGTAAACGGTCCGCATCGACAAGGTACCTAACAATGCTCATCGGTTCGATCATGGATCTGTACCAGTACATGTTTGCTCAGCATTTGATTCGACGGTCCAGTTCGGAAACCTCACTAGGAGTCAGTTGGTTGGTTGTGCCTCTCCAGGGGGACAATGATGCTCATTGGTATTATAGATGTGTTTTTAAAGGATCGCAATAATACTCCATACTGGTGTGCAGATCCTGTCAGATTAATCGAGATAACCTTCCGAGCATGAGACCCTCTTGTGTTTTTTTCTCGAACCCAGTCCGTGTTTCAGGATACCAATGATCCTACTCTGCTCCATACTGTCGAGCTGGTGTCATGGTTTAGGCTTAGGGGGGTCACCTCTCTGGGGGTGCCTGAAACCAGCTTGGTCATTTCAACGCTGAATTGATGGGCCTAAACCTCAGGTACCTGGGTAAGGAGATGCAATCCCAAGGTGCCGCCATCCCAGAAATAATGGCTGAAAATCCTAGGAACGGCTACTCCAGAATGCTTCGAAGGGCGATACTTGTTTTCGATTTCGTGATCATCACAACTTCGAATTCCCAGGAGCAAATAAGCTGAACCCCGGTGCATGATTTGTGCAATCGGAAATCCACCGGGCCTCCAGTCGCTACCGTCGGTTCAGTGCGGCCGCTCATATTCGTTTACCAACAGATCTACAGATCGCATCAAGCGCACATTCAGTCATGCTGACCTGAAAGCTAATTAAGCCTGTCTGTAATTTACTGTGGCGACCGCAGCGCTCGAGAGCGCACTGTAACTGATATTATGTTTTGATGTACGACTGATGCCGAAACGGCGACCACATCGCGCCGTGGACTTCCGTGGCTGTGTGTGACCTATGGCCTCCGCGAACGACGCGATACCGAGCTCTGTCCGCCTAAGGCATCTTCAACTAATATTTGCCAGAAGGTGCGGCCCTTACCCTGTCTCACCTCTCATGAGCGGGCGTTCCTGCAGGTTGCGTGTGTGAATGCTTCTGCTCGTGCATCAGAAAGGCTAAAACGTCCAACGAATCAAGATGAAGACAACGATGCCCTAAAATTGGTTCGTGCTTAAGCAACAATGCAAGGATATTCTCCTCTGTCGTCTCGAGATCTTTGAGCCTCTTAGGTACCCATCGACAGAAGAACTCAGTCAGCCATACCCACGATTTTTCGACTGATCGATTTGTGTATGCTCCAGTTATCTCCGTTGCTTCCCGCTTATGAAGGAACAATTTCTATCTACTACTTGGTTCTGATCAACGCCAGGATGCCGTCACTCAAGGTCCTTTAGCGCATCTCGCCACCCACGCGGTGATACGGGATGCATGAAATCATCATGTCCCAGTCTCATGGATTGCCAGTTCCGTCGATCTTGCTGCTCGACGAGTACCGTTAGGGAAGTTACACCATCCGTTCACAAAAGACTGGGGGGCCTTCCATTCGCCAGAGTTTTGGATTACGCTCCCAGGATCCGGACCCAATTTGGGCCAAATGTTCATGTCGGAGACCTTGCATTCAACCTCCAGTGTGGCAAGATTGTCTGTCATTGACGGTTCCACGTGTACTCGTACACTCGCATTGTGCGGACTGAAGTCTACGGAGGGATTTTCGAAGATCGATCGATCTTCGAAATACTAAGTACTGTGCTCTTTGATGATTCGCTGCCCCAAGGGTATTTGGTAGTGGAAGGTACGAAGTAAATGCTTCTTCGGTCCGATGCCAAGTGTGGTGTCTGTACTGCTCCCAGAGTCATCGCTCGGGCTTTTCACACGGTGTGCACTCGCGCCAGTGCCAGAGACCGAGGTGCTGGACCGATATACCCGCCATACGATACCTACCAAGTACACAGTACTCCGCAGACGGAGCAGAAATACTGTAATCTCTACGGCCGGGTCTGTGAAGCAGGGGACGTCAGTGCAACATGTAGGTTACCAAATGGAATGCATTTCTTGGCCCTCTTGCCTCCTAGGATGGGTACTAAGTGTCCCAAGTATTACCACAAGTACCAGTACGCACATGACAATGGTAATCTCTATGAAGAGCACGCCTTAGGAATGACCGACCTTTCTATGGGTATATCTTACGAATATCATAGCCACAATAATGGGATACACGGTGATTGAATCACAAACCCCGACGAATATGTCAGCCTGCTGGGGGCCGATTCTCCAAGGCTTCCGATTCAGGTTCATCGCAATTCCACCCAGCTGCCCCTTCGTCTGTAACATCGTACGGTGCTGGTGGTATGAATGAGGCTAGTGGGCTCGCAAGCCACCCTGGTGCCTCCCAGGGCCCCCTAGTGACGAAACTACGAATCGATTAGTGAAATTACCTAAGCATGTCTTCCTGATTCGGACATGCTCAGACTGGTCGTGACTCGTGAGTGTTTCGACACCTTTTCAAAGGTTCATCCATGGATCGGGTTTAGGGGTGGTGCGCGGAAATTCAAGGATAGCAGGAGTCTTTCAGGTATTGTGAGGTATTATGGTCGCGCCGAGACTTTTCGAGGCTCCAGGCCTTGGGCTAGTACGATTCCAATGAACCTGTTACCGTGAATGGTAACTTTCTGGACCTGTGAGGCCGGCATCAAGAAAGCTTGATCGGCCGAGAAACCACGGCCGGAGGCAAAACTCTAGAACACCAAAGACTGGTTAAACGTTTGGTTTGCTAGTAATGTACTCGTAGTTCTCCCTTGGCGGGAGTCGAGAGCATGATTGCCATAGGCAGAGCACTCGACTCGTCTGGTACGAATCTGGCTAATAGTATTCAGCCACTTTTTGTCGGCTATGACTAATACACCTCTCTTTCGGAAGATGGACGGGCTCCTGACAGGTCGCGAGCTTGTGTTCCGCTAGGCTTTTGGGATTTGCTCTGGTATGAGACAAGTCGATGAAGTCCTTCTTAATATCATGACAGACATTTGAGGGTTTCGGTACCATGATTTCAAAGATGTCGGAGCTATCGTATGAGGCTGTGGCCTAGGAGTCATGCAACATATCGACGCTCACTTTCAGGATTGGTGCCCTAACTGTTTATCGAGTCGAATGAGGATACAGTAGCACCAATCGACATATGGGTATGCTGCATTGAGCGCTGGTTGCCTGATCAGTCGAGGTTATTC